GTTCGGATAGAGCAATCCATTGGTGGGGTCACACGTTCGGTTCAATTCCTGTTCAGCGACTCTACGTCAAAATAAAACACCCTCGTTAGACAAAAAAAAATTAGACATAATTATACAGACTTGAACCCGAGACCTTCTTTTCCGAAACTAACGCCTTTACCCTCGCGGCCACATATTCCAGGGTGTGACAGGGTGACGGGGTGCCATCGACGAGCAGGGCAGGGGCGGTCTGTAATCCCAGCAAGATTTACGACCTCGCTAACAAGGGATCATGTGGGACCTAAGTGCTGCCCTTGCACCACGACCGGGAACCGGGAATCACCAATCGGGGTCGCAGTTTCCATAGCGGCTTGCAACTAAAGTTTTTTTTCAAAAAATAACTCAGCACAGTTAAAAAGAGTGGTTCGAGGAATTTTTTTTTCGGGTGTACCAGTCGATCCGCGGACAGGTGTGGCCGAACACAGCGCGAGATGACTCGAGTGCCTCTGGGAGCGGAAGTGAGGGTAAATAGTCTGCCCGCTGCTGACATAGCACTCGACGAGGCTCACGTTGGTGCAGAACGCACGGACTGGAAGATCCCTGGTTCGATACCAACCACTTTTTTCGTTTTTTTTACTACTTGGAGCGCGGGTTGGATCAATTCATCCGTCTTACTTTCGTCCCCCCCAGCCTCATTGGCGAGCAGGCAAGATTCCGCTACACTGTGCTACAATGTAGAGGATGCATTTCTTGCCTGCATGAGAGACGTCGAGGCGTCGCAATCTGGCCCACTGGAGAATGTCGCTCTGTCTCATGGGGCGTCCCTGTGGGTGCGAGAGAGACAGAGCGACGTTACGACTCTTCGGAATCCACGCAGCGGTCTCCGCGCGGCCCCGCAGTAACCCCGCCTTTCCACTTAAAAGCGACTGTAAGTGCAGAAGCTGCTCTCAGTCGAACAACCACTCTCACGCGACCATACCTTCCCAGTAAAGACGCCAAGCAAAAACGGAAAATTTAAAAAAAAATTTAGACAGAAACATACAAAAAGTAAAAACAAAATAAATACACCAAAAGTGTATTTTTCTTAAAAGAAAAAGGGTGCACTAGATTTCTCTTGGTCACAATGGCCGTTTTCCCGCTTGCCATTCTTCCGCTGCGAGGCCCTTTGGTCTTGCTGGCCAGTATCTCGGTGACGTGACGGTGATGATGATGTGTGGAGGGGGAGGGGGGGAGGAGGACCGGCGAGAGTGAGCGTGAGCAACGGAGAGAGGGGGCACCGAAAAGGACCCGCCGCCGCCGCCGTGCCGCCGTGCAGAGCAGATGATCACAGTGGTCCAAATCGAGGCGGCCCGGCGCGGCAGGGCGCGGCAGGGCGTGGCAGGGCACCACGCGGCCGGCCGGCCGCGTGGTGTGGGCCGGGCCGAACCACACTTGGTGCCCAGAGGCTGCACAGTTGCACAGTTGGTTCCATTGGCGGGCGACGCGCCGCCTCGCAGCGACCAGTGTGTCTGCCCGTGTGCATCTGCCGCGCCAGCCCCCGGCAGCCCATACGCCCCGACCGCCCCGACCCACCGGCTCACACGTCCGACGCGACCAGCGCGACCGCGACGAGGGTGGCGGTGCGGCAAGAGTGCAGTGCGCGTGTGTGTGTGAGTGAGAGCGTGCGAGTGTGACTCCGTGCGCGCGGTTTGACGCAGTGGTAGTGGACCCAGCCGTCTCGGGCCTCCCGAGGTGAGTTCTAGTCAAACTCCAAACCGTTTTGATTCTCGGAAGAAAAAAAGTTTAACCCCTCCCTTTTCGCAGCAGAAAAAACAACTAAAATTTCAGATGAGGGCGGTCGCGGTTTGGATTGATGAGTTTGATTCGGTGATAAGCAAGGCGGTGCATTCACCTCGCGGCTGGCGGGCCTGGCCTGCGTGCGACAGAGACAGAGGACGCGTGATTCACGATGAGGCGGCCGCGAAGATCCGAACAAACTTACAGCTTCGGCTTGCGCGGCGCTGTTGGGGCTTTGCGCTGCTTTGCCCTGCTTTGCGTGCACTGGTTGTACTTCGGGCGGCCCGCGCGGCCAACGGCGTCGGTGGGAGGGAAGGGGTTGACAGTGTAGGATCGGTCAGGGTCAAGGGCGCGCGGCGTGGCTTGCCCGGTGCGTTCTGCTCCTTATCGTGTGCGAGCCAACAAAAGCAACAAAAACAACAAAAACTAAAAAGCGTGCCGAACGAGACGAGTCGAAATAACCCGCGCCGCCGATGCGGGGCGAAAAAAAAATAAAGGGAAAAATGGGGACAGTCGGACAGCCGGGCCAGGCGCGCTCTGACGATAAGACTGGGCGTGTTTTGGCGCGCGGCGCGATTCCACTAGGCTTTGGTGGAATCCGTGGGCCTACACTGTAGTTTCAGTTTGATCCGCGCCGCCGGCCGCCGCACTGCTCCGGAACGGGGTCGGCGTCGTTTTTAGACCCGAATCGAATCGGATTTTCAGGCTCCGCAGGTCGCCGTTTCCCACTTTCGGAATATTTGGTGTCGTGGGTGGGGCAGTGGGGCGTCCACTAGAGGGGCCGGCAGCGTCTCCAGGGACATCTCCAGGGGCATTAGCACGCCTGCACAATTAAGGCCGCACTGGCCTCTCTCTCTCTCTCTCTCTCTCTCTCTCTCTCTCTCTCTCTCTCTCTCTCTCTCTCTCTCTCTCTCTCTCTCTCTCTCTCTCTCTCTCTCTCGCTGTGGCGCACATCATGCCTATTACCGACGTGTCCCGGCCCCGCCCCGCCCCCGCGCACTGCGCGAGCTACTTATAGAGCACGGCCGTCCCAGCGCGGCGGCGGCGGCCGGTTCAAGTACCCGGGGGTGTTCTTGTTTTGTCTGACCCCGGACGGACAGACGGACGGACAGACGGGCGGACCACGCCGCCACTTGGGCGGCCGCGCCGCGCCGCGCCACGCCACCGCAAAGCAGCGGGGACGCATTGTGCTCGTCATGATCGTCGCGACCGTCGCGCCGAGGATTAACGGGGGGCAGCGCGCCGTTCCAGGGATCATGTAGTGCCTTCGTCTCCTCCAGGTGCTTGCTTCAGTGTGTGTGTGTGTGTGTGTGTGTGTGTGTGTGTGTGTGTGTGTGTGTGTGTGTGTGTGTGTGTGTGTGTGTGTGTGTGTGTTCGGCGCACGCGCGCAACGTAGGTACTCACCTTTAATTTTTTTTCGGCCACACCGTCGGATCCCTGAGCAACTTTTTGAAAACTTTCCATTTAAAGTTTCCCGCGGCGAAATTAGCATCTCCTGGCGTGGCGCCGTGGCTCGGTGCGGCGTGGCGTGGCGGTGGGTCCGCGCGTCCAGGGGGATTGGGGTCAATAATGAAATTTGGCTTGAGTGCGCGCAGCAGGGCATGGCAGGGCAGCAGCGGCCTGGCCGCCCCCTTGAAGCCTCTTGCGGGAGGAACGGAGCATGGAGCGAGTTAGCACCGTTTTAGGCGGAGCGAGGCAGCAAGGCCGAGCCAGGCCGAGCACGGGGGGCGCTAGGCTGTGCTAGGCTGGCGCTGTGGAGGCGAGAAGCCACACCGCGCCCCGCCCCGCCACACCCCGCGCCTGCCTCCTTATCGCCGCTGCCACTTGGCTGGCTCCGGCAGAATGGGGTGGGGCGGGGCTGATGCAGGCCGGACAGCGCGGGGCGGGGCGGGGCGGGGCGGGGCGGCCCGTCGTCGGGGCCAGTTTGGCGTCGAAGGCGGTCGAAGGGCCGCTAACGAGTCCATCAGCCTATTCCATTCATTAGCCGAGGTTCTTTATTGCTCGTGCCCCCCTCCCTCCGGGGAAAGGGGCGCGGCCCGTTGTTCTGGAGGGACAACTTTTCCCTGGGCGCGTGGCGGCACGGCGCGACACGGGGCGGCACGGGGCGAGGCGCGACGGCGTCCAACGTCTTGACTCGCGCGGACCCGGCCCGGCGGCGGCAGGGTCAAAGACCGCCCCGCCCCTTCCCCCTCCCCCGACGACTTATCAAACAGATGATAAAAAAACTGCCATAAAGCGGATAGATGCGGCCATTGATCTTTTTTTTCCCTTTTCGACCTCGCGGCGCTCCAAATTGGGACTTCCCTGCGCGGGTGGCAGTAAAAGGCGATATTTCCTTTTATCGACCGTCACGCTGTGCCAGCCTTTGGTCCGAAAGGGTAATATTCGACGAGATTCATCAATTGCAATAAATGTCCAAGTTTGATTTTATGTTTTAATCCTTTTGCCATTGCTCACTAGACACAATGCGCCTCACACTGTGCGTTCTCGCTCCGTCTCGTTCTCGGCCAGCTCATTAGCCTCGCTGGAGCTGCGCGCCCCGCGGGCCAGCCTGGAGCGCGAGGCCGAGGACCTACTCGAAACTCGAAACTCGAAACCGCGCTCTCGATGGCTGCCTGTGTTGGCGAATGGCGACCAGCCGGACCGGCCGGACGGCAGCAAAAGTTGCCGCCGGACAAACTGGCTTCCGGTGTGCTGGCCAGCTGGCTGCATCCACCCCGGACCCCGGCCAGTCCTTTTCCCTTCCAGTTCTTTGGCCGTTGATCGCGGTCGGCCCGCCAAGCAGCGCGTCCTCGCCAAACAGGACTCGAACCGAACGTGTGACCCCACCAATGGATTCCTCGTTCGGAGAGCAATCCATTAGTGGGGTCACACGTTCGGTTCGAGTCCCATTTAGCGACGCTGGAGCTCAAAACGCGTCTTGAGTTTTGGCCGCGTCCACCGGTCTTCTGGCCCACTGTGCCTCGCCTGGCGCCCGCGGACTCGGGGGTAGGCAGCCCCCATCCCCGAGCGACGCCGGCGCGCGGCGGGCGGCCTACCCTCCGTTCCGCGGGCGCTCGCCCCGTCGTCGGGCTCCTCTGCTTCTCTCTCCGCGCAGCCTAAGTAGACCAGCTCCGTTTCGTAGCGCGCTCTCTCTCGCACCCACACGGCACGGCTCGTGGAGCGAGACAGCGCGTCGTCGCGTCGTCACGGCGCTGTGGACTGATGCCGCTAAATCACTAAATCCCCGCTTTGTCTGTCTGCAGGGCGCCGCTGCAGTCGGGCTCCGACAAGGCCACGCCCACGCACGCCGTGTCCGTGGGCGCGGGCAGCAGGCCGGGCCGCCAGGGCCGCCACCGCCACGACATGGCGCGGCCCGGGCAGCGCGTGGCGCACTGCCTCCGCGCCAACCTGCTCACCACCCTCACCGTCAGCGGCGTGCTGTCCGGCGTGGGCGTGGGCTTCATCATGCGCTCCGCCAAGTCGTCGCCCTGGACGCCGCGCGAGGTCATGTACGTCCAGTTCGTCGGCGACCTGTTCCTGCGCATGCTCAAGGCCCTCATCATCCCGCTGCTCATCTCCTCCATCGTGGCCGCCATCGGCGCCCTCGACCTGTCGCTGTCCTACAAGATCGGCGCCAGGGCCATCGTGTACTACCTCACCACCACCGTGCTGGCTGTCATCGAGGGCATCATCCTGGTGGTGGTGGTGCACCCCGGGCGCGCCGACGAAGGCGTGGACAAGATCAAGCGCGAGGGCACCAGCAGGAACGTCACGACCGTGGACACCCTGCTCGACCTCGTCAGGTGGGTTCAACCTTGGTTCAAAACCACGTGACAAATGACGTCCGCTTTCGCGAAAGGCGCCGAGCTCTGGGCCTTGTTAGTGCTGGGCGGGGCCGGCAAGGCCAGAGGGAACGAGTCCTGCACTGGGGGAAACACAGACACAATCAAGTGAAAGACACGCTGTGCTGCCGCACCGTGCTGTCCGTGCGGCCAGGCCAGCCGGGCCCGCCAGCCCCGCCAGCCCCGCCTGAGCTTCTGTGTACAAAGCCCTCCCCTCCGAACCTTCGAACCCCACCCCGGGCAAGACGCCCGCCTCGGCTACAGCCTTGCCGCGCTTGCCGCCAACCCCGGCCGCCCCCGCCTCCACCCCGCACCTGCCCGACCACTCCAGCCCGTCCTCGCCGTCCTCGCCGTCCACGGCGTCCTCTCCTCCCTTGATCGCCCGCTCGAGTACTCGACGGAATGTCACAAAGAGGTCACTTTGGAGCGACGACTCCCCCGCGGTACCGAGAATTCAGACTTCGCCTTTTTGGTTTTCGTGTCGCCGAGCCGCTAATAGGTCTCCATCACGTTGCCGGGGCGCGCGGTATGAATGGCAAAACCGAAGCCCGCCGTCAGAGGGCGGCACCGCGGCACCGCCACTGTAGAGTCGCGAAAACGCGCCCGCAATACCACCGCGAATGGAAACGGTTCGCTCTGCTCTTTTTTCCACACAGTTTCCACTCTCTTGGCCTGATATTGACGTGTATCTCTCTGTCTCTGTTTTCCAGAAATATTTTCCCGCCGAACTTAATTCAAGCGACCATCTCGCAGGTGAGTCATCGTCGGCAACGTTTCCAACTTGTTTTCTGCTGTCGGGAGTGAGGGGGTCATAAAACGACGGTCCGGTTCGGACGAGGTACCGCCCTCGCTGCGGCCCCGCCCCGAGCCACCCCTCCTGCCGCCCCCCGGGACATCGGGGACATCGAGTCGGCATCGCGAACCGCCCCCCTGAAATTAATTGCCACGCCGCCGCCCATGACGCGAAAAGAACTCGGCAAAACTTTGCCGATCGCTGATTACGGAAACGAACAATTATTATCTGTATTTTGCGATACATTTCGGACAGAGCTGGCGAGCACGCGAGCCGGGCGATAGGCCTGGCTGGCTGGCTGCCTGGCTCGGGGGCAGCGTTGGCGGCGCTGGTGGCGCTGGCGGCGTCGCGTAGCTCTATAACGAGTTTGTTCCCAGTATCATCCTGATCTACGGACGACTCCTCGTGAAATAGTACTGTGCCGAGCCGAGCCGAGCGAGCGAGCACAGCCGGGCCAGGCGGCGGAGCGGCGGCCCGGAGGCGGCGCGGGGATGGGGTGCGATGGCTATGACGATCTCATCACAATTAAGGCCTTTCGCGCCAACAATCCTCCCCGCCCCCGACGCCCCCGCCTGCGCCTTCCACGTCCCCGGCAGCCCGTCTCGTTAGCGACAGCGGCCGGAGCGACTCGAACCCGCGACCTCGCACTCTAATCACTCTGTGTTCGTGTTCCAGTATCGCACGGTGCTGATTCCGCCCAAGCCGGGCCGCAACGTCTCCGAGGAAAGTGAGTAGAGAGAGAGAAAGAGAGAGAGAGAGAGAGAGAGAGAGAGAGAGAGAGAGAGAGAGAGAGAGAGAGAGAGAGAGAGAGAGAGAGAGAGAGAGAGAGAGAGAGAGAGAGAGAGAGAGAGAGGGTTGAACAGGACAGGACGCATGACGAAAACCACGCCCCCGACGAACCGTCCTGCAAGTTAAACCGAGTCCGGCCGACTCGAACCGCGGACTCGGTTCAATGATTGAATTGAAGGGCACTATCGGTGCCGTCATCAGCACTAACCACGGTGGGTGCTAAGTCCCTGCGGCCTGGTTGGTGTAGCAGGCCGGGGATGGGGGGGGGGGGGGGGGGTCTGTGCGGTGGTTGCGGCGGGGTGGGAGAATCTATCGAGGAAATCGCTGATGCTGGCTGTTAGGCCCTGGCGTCCCCTTCAACCCCCTCACCCCCCTCTCCCCACCGAGCTGCACCAAGCTGGGCAGCGCGGTCACGAGCACGGCGTGATGAGGACACACCGTCGTGCCGCCTCGTCCCGCCGGGGCACCTACAAGTCCCCCGAGCCCAGCGGGCCCCACCCCCGCCCCCGCCAGGCCCCGGCCACTCTCCACTTTTTTATTTCTTTCCTCCTTGTCGTCGCTAATGGCTAATTTGATTAAATTATGTAATTACTGCAGGAGCACGACGACGACGAGGTGGTGAAATTGTTTATCCTGCCGCGCTGCCGCGCTGCCGCGCTGCCGCGTTCCTCCCCGTCCGGCCATTCGTCCGACCCGACAGACCCGACAGACCCGACAGACGCGACAAATTGAATGAATTAAAACGGACGGCAACAAGCGGGACTTGCCGAACGGTAACGGCTTCCTTGTGTTGCAGCGATGAAGAACATGCTGAACTGGGAGATGAAGGGCGAGTTCACGGACGGCACCAACGTCCTGGGGCTGGTGGCCTTCGCCGTGGTCCTGGGCATCGCCATCGGCAAGATGGGCGAGCGGGGGAAGCCGCTGCTTGAGTTCTTCGAGTGCCTCGGCACCGCCATGATGGACATCACCAACTGGGTCATCTGGTAAGGGGAGAGCGACGTCGTGGCGCAGTGGTTAAGACGACCGCTTGCGGTGAGGCAAGGCCCGGGTTCAAATCCCCTAGGGGGGCGGGACGGGGAGTTTATCCCTTTAGCGAGGTCTTGGGGGGGATCTGCAAGCAGGATAGTTTCTTTTTATGTGAGGAGCAAATAAAAGTCAACTCTTGCGACGAAAGTCGAGGATCGTTGTCACAGGGACCCTCCTCGCCCCGGGTCTCGGTCAGCCGGTCGCACAGTGGGCCAGAAGATCGGTGGAGGCGGCCAGAACTCGAGACGCGTTTTGAGCTCCAGAGTCGCTGAATGGGACTCGAACCGAACGTGTGACCCCACCAATGGATTGCTCTCCGAACAAGGATTCCATCGGTGGGGTCCCACGCTCGGTTCTAGTCCTGTTTAGCGACTCTGGAGCTCAAAGCGCGTCTGGAGTTTTGGCCGCCTCCACCGGTCTTCTGGCCCACTGTGCGGCCCAGCCTCCGTATTGCTGGCGCTCGCTTCTCCTCGCCTCGCCGGCCTCGCAAGCCTCGCTCGGGGCGACGCCAAGGCGACGCTAAGCTAACAGTCTCCCTCGCTGCCGCGGCTGCCGCCAGGGTGTCGCCGGTCGGAGTCCTGTTCCTCGTGGCCTCCAAGCTGCTCGAGATGTCCGACTTCCGCGTCATCGTGGGCCAGCTGGGCATGTACTTCATGACGGTGCTGCTGGGCCTCTTCGTCCACGGCTTCGTCCTGCTGCCCATCCTGTTCACCATCGTCACGCGGAAGCTCCCCTTCAAGTTCCTGGCCAACATGGGGCAGGCGCTGGCCACGGCGTTCGGCACGGCGTCCAGGTAACAATGGGCCCCTGCGGGCTCGCCTGCGGGCCAATGAGGAGGCTACCTTTCTCGGGAAACTTGATACGGCAGTGTGGTAGTGCTGCTGCCGTGAGCGCGGAGTAGGTCCGGTCGCGGGGTATCGCCGCGCCCCGCGACAGCGACTTGCACGCGAGGGGTATCGCTGGACTCACGCCCTCTGCTTCGCTCTGCTTGCAGCTCCGCCACGCTGCCCGTGTCCATGAACTGCCTGGAGGAGTTCAACAACGTGGACATGCGCGTGTCGCGCTTCGTGATGCCCATCGGCGCCACCATCAACATGGACGGCACCGCGCTGTACGAGGCCGTGGCCGCCATCTTCATCGCGCAGGCCCGGGGCATCCGCCTGGGCTTCGGCCACATCGTCGCCGTCAGCATCACGGCCACCTTCGCCAGCATAGGCGCGGCGGGCATCCCCCAGGCGGGGCTCGTCACCATGGTCATGGTGCTGGACACCGTCGGCCTGCCCGCGGAGGACGTCACCCTCATCATCGCGGTGGACTGGCTGCTGTAAGTCCCTCAAAAGCTAAAACCTACAGGAACACACGTGCGGGACTTGAACCCGGGACTGGCCTTTGCTCCGCAGGGACCGCTTCCGCACCCTGGTGAACGTGGTCGGCGACTCCCTGGGCGCGGGCATCGTCAACCACCTCAGCCAAGTGGAGCTGGAGAAGATGTCACGGCTGCAGCACATCCAGGCCGGCAACCCGGGCAACGGCAAGAGCGACGGCAACGTGGCGGAAGTCCATCTCTAAGCTTGTACGTGGGTGGGGTGGGCATTCCCTGAGGCCGCCTAACCTAACCTAACCTAACCTAACCTTGCCTCCTTTGGTTCCAATGCAGACGCTTCTGTTGCAGGTGGCGGTGTCACACTAGGCGTGTGAGGACGGGTGCTCGACGAGCACCCTTCTGGCTCTCTATGTCGCGAGGACGCTACCTCCATGGAAACCGAAGGCCGTCATGGAGACAAGAGAAATGAATTGAGGCGTCTGGCCCGTCTGGCAGAGCGGAGAGCACCGGCTGAAGGGCTGCACGGCTGCACGGGGGAGAGGTGCTTCTTGTCCCATCGAGGGGCGATCAGTGATACAGTCACCTCGAGCCAGGAAACGAAACGAAACACCAACGCTTCACGGTGAAGCAGCACGCTCACGCTTCCACTAGAGCAGTGGATCGGCTGGGTGAAGAGGATTATGTGCCATTCAAATCTGAAGATCTCATGATCTGGCATTGCAGCAGTAAATATATCGAGGCAGAGTGTACGCTACACATGTTAAGCCGTTAAGTCAGACTATATAAGAGATTTAGATCACTTCATGCTAGGATCCAAAAAAGCATAGATTCAAAATTGGTTCAGTTAATATTTGTGTTTAGAGGGATGAAGGTGAAATGAAGGCTTTTGTCATAATTGTGAGAGAGCACCTTTGCTTAAGGTGGCTCCACAGTTTGCTTTGCGTTTGAATGTCATTAATGTCTCCTACTTGGGTCTGAAACATTGCCTACTGCCATATAAGTTTTATTAGAACATGTGGCTCAATCGAAAAGTAATTTGTAGGAAACAGTTACCTTTACCAGGAAAGCTTTTATGTGTAGAGTGATCACGGGAACATTTATTTGCATCATGGAAAATTAGGCCTCCACACAATATTATGATGAAATTCGTGTTCATGTGAAAGAAGATGCCATACTTTCACACATAGATTAGAGAGTACTCTGAGAATATGTACTGTTACTTGTTTCTCAATATGACAAATTAATGTTTGTTTTGTGGGGGAAAGGCTGTAATGATCTATTGTACATGGAAAAGCAAAGCATTAGTTTAAATTTATTGGCATTTATTTGATACGAATTTAGTTAACACCCTCCACATAAAGAGTGTTATTAATTCCGAAGTTTTACCAAAGAAGGGCATTAACAATTTACATCAACAGATTTACCTTGTTTCCTGTTTGTTTTTTACTCCATCAAAGGATGATTGCACAGGTGGTCCATTTTTATGTTATAGTAATTGCCTGAAACTAAATTGCCATATATGTGTATTGTTAAGTTTTGGTAATCTATTTCTGAGTACTTAGTACAATTTCTATGAGTATTAAAACATAATTTTTTTTATAAAAAAAAATAGAAAAAAGGTAATGGAGACAAGAAAATATATCCTCTCTTGCTAAAATTTCAGCTTCACTTTACCAAGTTAGTTGGACTTTGAAGGCCTCTTCACTATGTTGTTAATTTATAAGCTAAAAAATATTTGTTGAGTTCAATTAACTGACTTTATCATATTTTCCTGCCTGTGATGCTTGATAAATGTAAAAACTTTGACTAATTTTTTAATTTAAAATTGTTGGAGACAGCAAAAACTAGTCTGAAAATATTTGCGAGGTTGATGGTTGTTAGAGAGAGAAATCATTAGAAAATGCTTGGGGTGTTCCAGTAGGTTAACAAAAAACACAAACTACTGCTAGCAGCTCACTTCACATTTGCCCTTTTGTACAATAAAGCATATCACAGTGATGAGCTACACAACATTTCATGTAACATTCTCATCGTGATGAAACTAAAAAATTCCTCTCTTTCTATGGAAGAAAAGTACCAGAGTTGTTGCCCTATTCAATTCTCTAGTTACAGGTGAAATTGACACATAATCAGACTTGTGATAAGATCAGTCATCAAAAATAAATAACAAAAGAGTAAATCACAGGAAAAAAAACTTCACAGCCAATCAAAAGTGATCATCTCTTTGACTTTCAAAGACTTGAGATTTCACACAAAAACAGCAGAAGTGTAACTTAAAACCCTTAGAAAACAGTTTTAACCAATGTAAAAGAAAAACAAAATACAAAACTTGTAGGTAAAGAGCAAGCTTAACTCTGTAACCCTTTGGAATCCTTGGCAAGTATTATCAAATTTATCTAAATCGTTAAGGGGAAAAGCTTTAGGCAATAGTCTAGTGCATTGTCCAGCTCTTTTTTTCTCAAACTATCTTGTAAGTATATGTGAACAGACAATAGTTATATTTAATTGATGTAGAAGATGTGTCTTGTACATAACTTGCCATGGTAACTACATTTGCACATGGCTCTCTCATTGTTGCAATGTATATTTTTTGCTGAGAACATGGGTAACCATGCCTCTTGAAGACATTACAATGACAATATATATATATTATAGTGTTAATGACATGGCTTGACGGTTGTTATTTAACTTTGACCTATCCTCCACAGAACACTTTTTGCAACTCATTCAAAATCAATACAGGAGAAAAATAATTTTTCATATGTGACATTAATAACATTACCCTACTTTTTGTTGGCCCATTCAAAATGATCACAACGAGCTCTAGGATCATTTTTACCACCCTCACCCCGAGCACAGGCAAAGAACTTTTTATTTAAATTGGGTCCTTTCTTTTTCACTATTCTTTCAACACATGGTTCTTTGTGACCCTTACAAAGAGGAGGTGGACGGGGCCCAGTAAGCATATTCTTCCATGCTGAAGCAGCAGAGGAGCTTTTCTCTTTTCTTTCAACTGTTGCTTCCTCATTGACAGGTTTCACATTTCCATTTTCGGCGCTAAGCTCATCTGACACTGAAGAGCCCTGGCTGGAAGAGGTCCCATCGTATTGTTGATCTGCACTGCTTGAGGATTTCTGAAAGAAACTGGAGATGTGCTTTTGGGTAGAACTACCTTGGATTTTCATCTTTTTACTGATTCCTTTGCTGAATATTTTTGGATCATCCTGGCTTTTTCTCTTGAAAGACTCATCCTCAGGCATTTGTGAAGTTTCTTCGGCCTTGTCACTAGAGATCAGACTATCACTAGACTTTTTAATGAAGAATGACAATAGTTTTTGCTGCACTCCAGAGAACTCCGGGTAGTTTTTAATGCACGCAGATGGACACTTTCCCGACTGGAGAAGTTTAACTTTGAAAGTTCCAGCCACAGGGCAATGGTCACTGCCTAAAACTTCACTCAAAACTGAAGAGTCACTCATGTGCTGGATGAGATTCCTATCAACAAAAATGTAGTCAATTCTTGATCCGTAGTTTGTAGCTCTGGCATTAATCATTGTATTCCAGCAAGTGTACGCATCTTCTTGTTTGGGGTGGAAAAAACGGAAAGAGTCAACCATTTTGGAGTCGTTGGCAGCATCTCCATCACAGGTGAGATTCATGTCACTTTGGAAGGTATCCACCAAAAATGAATTTAGCCATTGCCTAGAAGGATTTGCTTCAAACTCCTCCTGAAAAGTGAACAGAAAAATTTAACACCACAATAATAGTTACTGCAAAAGTTAACATTTACAAAGGTGAAGAACATAATTCTCCATACCTGACTGACGTTTTCACACCTGTCAATTTGACGATGACTTATGTTGATATCCCCAAGAATCATAACGTAAGATCCTCTACTTCTTACTGCACTCGCTCGTAATTCCAATAGTTTGTTGAAGCGGAGCTTAAATTCCAACCTATCAGGTCTTTCAGGATCTGCCCGAGGGCAATATACATTGAAAATTGTTAGAATACTTTCAGACCCATTCTCTTTCTATTGAGGCAGTAAAAGTCACACTATCAATTAAAAGTATCACATAAAATGTAAAACAAAACAGCAGTTGAAAGAATTTGCACCTGTATTTTATGTTGGGTGATGACTGTTCTTCCTTCAGAGTCCAATCTCTTTAACTCTTGGGGAGAGAATTCATTTTCTAAACCATCATAGCATCCTACAGTATCAAACTGCGCTTTGCTTTGCAATATCCCGCTGAGACCCTCCTCTGCGCAAATTGGAGTAGCTGATTCCCGACAAAATGTTGCAACACCTGAGCACAAACTTAATGTTCAGCGCAAAATTCATTGATGTATAATCCAAAACTTGAGGCAGAGAAAACTGACCTGAGTATCCACTTTTTGTTTTCGAGAATGAAAAATAGGCATTGTACCCATCCACTAAGGCTGTAGGTTCATCAATCATATCTCCTGGAAAAAGAAAAATCCGATAGAGGAAAAGCATAAATGAGTAAGGAAAAAAACTGGACAGGCAAAGTTTTACACACTAGTAACTTTGGTTTCTTGTAAGCAAATTATATCTGCTTCCAGATCATCGAGCATTTGCTTCAAGTTCTTGACAGTGCGGATTCCATTTATATTCCAACTTATTATTTTAAAACTATGTGGAGGAGTAGATTTGCTTTCCACCATCTTAAACTTGGTCAAACACAAATGTCAGTGCCGGTAATGGCAATTTTTTTCCAAATTTTGGAGGAAAGGAAAGGTTAAGATTGATTGTAAACAAAGCGATGGGCGGGCGTGTCGTCTGCTTTCAAACTTACCAACATCGCGCGCTTTTTCTTGCCAACATAACAAGGTGGAATAAACGCGGGAAGCTGGCTGTAAAACTTACTTTCTGTAAGATTTTAAATTCAAGAGAGGATACGGGTATTTATTTTTTTTACAAATAGCCTAGTTGAAATAGTTGCCATCCCTTCGACCCAACCCTCTCCTCAAAAAAAGGGGGAGGGGGTTTAATCTGTCGTCTGTGATCTAGTTCTACACTTGTCAACTTGCCCCATCCGCATTAAACTTTGCTTAGCTTATGTAACGAACGGGTGATATCAGATAGAGCAAAGTTCGAAAGCGATCACTACGCCTGACACTGCACGCGCTGCGCGTGTGTTGTGTTGTCGTTACGTAATAGCCGTAGTAGCCACACATTCGAACCTCCCGCCTTGCAAGGCAGCCAGCCTAGAATCATTAATGTCGCTCGAAGAATCGCGCCAGATCGCATTCGCGTGCCGATCCCGCCTTCTGGGCTGGCCGCATTCCGTGTCCACAAGTTTTCTCCCGCGGTTCGTCAAGGCTCGTTTTACCACTCGCCTAGTTAAATTATTTTTTTGGACAGTGCGTGTGGAGCACTCTGTTTGTTTTGGTTTTGTATGCAACATGTTCCTCGCTCGTCCTCCTCGTCACATGGTGCAATGTTTTAATCCCGCCTTGTGTCCTGCTTAGTAAGTAGTTGCTGTCCCTCTTTGTTTGCGAAGAGAGGTGCGTCATTTACTTCTCAAGAGCTCGCCGTTCGCCTCAACCATGGACGTCAACCAGGCTAAGGACAGCAACAATGCGTACCTGTGGGTGTTCTACAGCTTTGTTTCCTTCTGCTGCACTAACTATTGTCTAGGCTTCTTTGTGCCAAGCAATGCATCAAACACACCCCATCAGGTCTGGAGATGGAAAAATATTGCAAGCTCATTGGTGCACTCTTCCATCACTGGAATCTGGTCTGTGATTTGGTAAGTTGTTTTCTCAGTTTATCTAGGTTAGTGTTCTATGGTATCTATTGTTGTGTCAACAATTTTTAATGGTTCTTGGTATTTTGGCTCTTGTCACAGCTTCTTGCAGATTCCCGAAATGCAGAATGATCTCATTAACGAATTTGCTGTGTCCGCTCAGGGTGTGATATCCCTGTCTGTTGGTAAGTGCTAGTGCTTACATGTACTGTTTGTCATTTATGCATCCATCGTCGATTTTTGTTCATGCAAGTCATTGGCCATTTTCAGGGTACTTCATCTATGACTTTGTTGACATGGCAATCCATGACCGTCGTCGCAGTACTGAGCTTCTGTTCCATCATGTTTTGGTAATTTTCACCCTCCTCCTCTTTTTAAAAAATTCAGTTGTTTTCTGTCATAATAATTCTTTGTAACTGACTTCAGGTGATAACATGCTTTGGTTTATCCGTGTGCACTTCTTATTATCAAGGGTACTCACTAGTTGCCCTTCTAGTTGAGGTGAACAGCATATTTTTACACCTTCGTCAGTTGATGCTTCTTTATGGAGTTTCAAAAGGGGCCCCTATATACAAAGCAAACAGTGTCCTTAATTTAGGTAAATATACCCAGCCTGGTGTTATTCTGTCCCATTTTTCCTGTGTTCTCATCCTTAATGATCTATTTCAGGTACCTTTGTGGTATTTAGAGTATTTGCAATGGGGGGCATGCTCCAGTGGCTGTTGTCTCACAGATCTGAACTAACTGTAACAGTTTTTGGGCTTGGTGTATTTTGTAAGTCAAAATACAATACTGTTCAGAAGACAATCTGATCAGCTCATTTCCTATAACTTTGTTTGTTTAATTGTTTTTCAGCTCTCATTGTGATTATGGGAATGAACTTCCAACTTCTGTATCGGGTTCTGAAGAGTGACTACTTGAAGAAGTCAAAACCAACTGTCAGCAAGCTTGCGTCAAGCACTGAGGTTTCAGCTGATGTGCCAATCGTTCAAAAATCAGACAGTGGTGCCCATCCTTCAGTCCAAAACAGTAAAACTTCTGTACCTTCTTATGAAGCTGAACTTCTGCTACCCATTCCAAATGGAGCAGATATGAAACTTGACTAAGATTTCTTAACTTTAAGTTGCCATGGTCAAACAAAGCACATGATCTGGTTTTTTTCGGGGGGGCCTTTTTTTATAAATATCACTGTTCTGATTTGATTTTAAAAATGGAGCTAAATCTGCCTGCTTAATGCTGTTAATTCCCATTGTGGTGAGCCCGGTTGTGGTTGAATGACTTTCAAGATTAGAATTTTAGTTCCTCACAGCATTCCTGGTGCTGAATGCACAAATGTAAAAGACGGGAGCAAATAGACGTATTTTTGTCATCTCTAGCCTATTCCTTTTTAGAAGATAATGTTTGTAAAGTTAACCTAGCTGCTCATTTCAAGGCTGGACTGAAAAATCATTTATTTTCTAATTGTTTTGTTTTGAGATAAGTGTAATAGTGTGCTTGAAAAACAAAAAGAGTTTATTTGTCTAGTCTGTAGAAGTACCTGAATATGTCCATTTCATATAACTCAAAAGAGTTGTTAGAATTTTGTAGGTAATTTTAGTAATGGTTGCCTAGGGACAGGTAAGCAGTAGATTATGTCAGGTTGATGAGAGTGTTGTGCTAATTATGTTCTATTTCATGAAATACTGAAGATGCTCATATAAAAATTCATTTAGTTATTCTTGCTGACCAATGGATTACCTCGCTAGCTTTTTTTACTAAAGCTGTAACATTGAAGTATTCTTGACACAAAAGGTCCAAATCAAAAACATTCTGAAAACTTAAGTCCCCTAACGTTTTAAGGTCAGTATTATTGTATTATTTATGCAAGGAATTCATTTTATTTTTCTACCTAGGGGAGGCTAGCACCTTGAAGTATTCATTTATGCTGCCTTCACCTAACTTTAAAGTCCTAAAGATTTTTGGGTAAAGTGTCACCCCTCCATAATTTATCGGGTTTTCTCTGTCAGCATTGTGATTTCAGGAACCAACTATTATTTTAAGGAGACATCACTGTGTTCATAAGCTTGAATCTATTTTTTAAACATCTAAGTCATGTAAACTAACGCCTTCATGCCTAAGTTATATGCACCAAGCCATGCCTTAATCAATGCTCATGTAATCAATCCTTGTTTAAATTGTACATGACATGTTAAATTATATATTTATGACTTGTTTCAGACGAATGCGTTTTTCCCCCCTTTCCTTGGCCACTCCTTGATGACGCTGGGCTACGCAGGGCTGGGCCCCGCCGCGTGACTCCTACACCAGCAAGGCCGGCAAGGCCGGCAAGCCAGACCGAGCCCGGCTATTGATTGTACCAAGTCGATTCGATTCGCCTTGTCCCTCCGCGACTCCAAGATGGCCCAGCCCGAGCCTGCCGACGACGGCGAGACCGCACTCATTTCGGAGGGACGGTCATTCCCCCAGTGCGGCGCTTCCGTGGCGATTGGCAGTGCCGTGCCCGCAACGAAACAACAACAAGGAGCGGCCCGTTGCATTCCGTGTTGTTTTTGTTTTTATTTTTAATCTAAACGTTCGCAGTGGCGGCGTTGCGTGCACGCGGAGTACGGCGTACGCGCGGCCCCGCGGTGGAGTACTACTCGTAGTACGGTGGGCTGCCCGCCGCCCAGGACGGCGTAGTGGCCGTAGTTCTCGTGGCGGTCGCGGCCTGGGGCTGCCCGCTGCCCGGGGTATGAATAAGGCATTATTGGGTCGGGGCGGGCAGGGCTGCGGGCAGGGCTGCGAGCGAAACTAAGCGAAACGCCACCGCGAGGGGCCTTGGCGTGCCTTGGCGCGTGGCCGCGCGTGGCCCTCTTGGTCTGCCGCTGCCGCGGGCCTTTCGAAAGCAGCCCAGGAATTTAGCCGCGATCCACTGCGATACGGGCTGCGGGCAAGGCTGGGGGTTGTTGGACTGAGAAATTCGGGGTGGGTTCCTTTTGGCGCCGGTGCGCGGCAAGTGTTTGGCCTTGCCTGCGGGTTGGGTTGCCTGCGTGTCAGGCGGCCCGAGCCACCTGGGGCAGCGGCGGGCGCGATGGGTTGCCTAGCTGCCGGCGCCTCGCGGACGACAGGGCCGCTCTGGTGGATCCAGGCCGGTCGACATGGACTCGGAATACGACCCGACGATTCCGTTTCAAATTCCTGCTCGATCCAAGGCGGCTTGTTCTAGACGCCCTGCCCGGCCCTGCCGCGGCCCAGGATGAGGATGACCCCGGCAGGCACTGGGCCGACCGACCGGGGCCGCGGACCCCGGCATGGCCCATGGGCCCAACTAGCCGGCAGCGGGCCGATTTCGAAGAGGCGCTTGGTCGCCCTGTCTCTCTCGCACTCGTGCGGGACGCCCCGCGAGTGCGAGAGAGACAGAGCGACCAAGCGACTCGATTCGCGTTTGCTGGGCTGACTCATGATGACGGCGGCGTTGGGTAACATTACGCTGCGGCGCTGCGGCGTTGGCCGAGGCAGAGGCGCTTAGCAGCGCTCCGTCGCTCTGCCTCTCTCGCACTCGCGGGGCGTCTCGGAGGGGTGCGAGAGAGACGGAGCGCGGCCCGGCCGGTAATTTAAATCGCCGGAAAGGAAATCGACCGCCATTTATTTTCTTTTTTCCCCGCGCCGCAACAAGACTTACTTTTCGCGCGTAACCTTGGCGGTCTTTTTTCTCTCCCCCTTTTCGAGCGTCATCCTCGTCGCTCACTGCGTGAAGGCTCTCGGGGGGTCGTCCACAAATCACGTAACGCCCAGGCCGAGATAGTCTAACCTAACGGGGTGTGCGCCGCGACGCCGCATAGTGGGCCAGAAGACCGGCGGAGGCGGCCAAAACTCCAGACGCGTTTTGAGCTCCAAAGTCGCTAAATGGGACTCGAACCGAACGTGTGACCCCACCAATAGATCGCTCTCCGAACGAGGAATCCACTGGTGGGGTCACACGTTCGATTCGAGTCCCATTTGGCGACTCTGGAGCTCAAAACGCGTCTGGAGTTTTGGCCGCCTCCACCGGTCTTCTGGCCCACTGTGCGCCGTGGGAACGGTGGGGAAACCGATCCAGCAAAAGCCAACACGATACTCGGTACAAGGCGGACGGAAGTGGCAAGCCCTGGGCAAGCCGGCATTGGCCACGGCGAGCATGTGTGTGTGAGTGTGTGAGAGTGAGGGCTGAACGCCCAAGGTGTGGATACTGCAACTTGCCGTCGAGGTCGGAGCGCAGATTGCTGCAATCACTCCCACACTGGGAGGTGTTAAAAAGACACGCCATCAGCCGTGCTAAACGCTGCCATGTTCGCGCATTCGCGACCGGAACGGACGGCAGTGTTGTCACGCTAGGAATGCCAAAAGCTTTGACGAGCTTGACCTCAGCTCAGGTGTGCCGCGTGACCACCCCGCCTCACCCCAGTGGCGTGGTCGGCCTGCGGGGTGCGACAAGGGGCTCGCTTCCTCTCCACTTGTCCTCACTTCCTTCCTGCTCCCCCTCCCCCCCTCCAGCTTCCTTCCGGTGTGCCGACAGACAACACTCCTCCATTCATTCATCGGCTCGGCATTCCATCCCCCCTCCTAACCCGTCTTATTCTCACTACTACTACTACAATACTACTACGGTGGACCCATTCATCCACCCGGCGTAGTTTAACCATTCCATTGCGCGTGCGTTCACCTGTTCACCCATTCTTGGAGGAGGGCCTCCGTTCACGCATTTCACTCCCTTTCTTCGGCTGTTGATTCGTTTTCCCGTTTTCCTTTTCTTTCTGCCTCTTTTTTTCCATTTGACGCAGTTGCGTGTCCCCGGGCCGACCGACTGCCGACTCCGGGTGCTTCCGGCCGGATGGAGGCCCAGCAGGCTGTCTCTCTCGCACCCCTGCGGCCAGCGGGACGCACGCGGGACGCACGCGGGACGCACGCGGGACGCACGCGGGACGCACGCGGGACGCACGCGGCACGCCCCGTGAGTGCGAGAGAGACGGGGCGACGAAAGCCCCGCGCGGGATCAGCCCGCTGTGCCACCCTGGGCTCCGGCTGCTCCGGCCGGAGGTGCCCGGAGGTGCCCGCACCGGAGGCTCCGTCAGGTATCAATCGTCTTTCGGACCGGAAGCGGGGCGAGGCAAGCCAGGCAAGCCAGGGGGCCGAGGGGGCAGACGAGCTGACCCGACTTGCCGGGCTGCGGTCGCGACATTGCACCACAGCCGTGGACCCAGAGCAGAGACTGATTCTGAAGAGTCGTCGCTATGTCTGTCGCACGGCTAGGGCTTGGGGCGGCTTGGGGCCGCAGCCCGTAATCTGACCGGAAGGTTTTCAAATTCCCGCCAAGACGCGGAGCCCAGCAGCGACCGCAAATGGCGGGAACTCGACCGCGGGGTAATAATATAACGCAATTTACACGCAATCGGAGTGTAAGTGCACTGCATGATGGCGACCAAGCGACACGTTCGGAAGTGTCGAAACGCGAATCGTGTGGAAAGTAGGCCGAGGCTCTCGATCAAACCCGTAGAGAGAGACACTGAGTGTGCAGTGGCGAAAGAAGAAACTAGCCCAGCGATTTGCGCGCCCAGGGATTTGATTTGAGTGCCTCGCGCGCGGAGTATCCGCGCTTACCGACGCCCCCCTTCCCTTCGTTACTTCGTTAGGCCCAGCTGGTCCCGCCGGTCTCGAGTGTCAGACGCCGTTGGTTGGCCCGGCGGTGGCGGCGGTGCCGGCGGTGCCCGTCGGCCGGGTGCATATGCCCACGCGAGGGTGGCGTGTGCGGGCGTGGCGTGGCGTGGCGCGACGGCGTCCGCACCTGGCAGGCGCGCCCCGCCCGGGCCTCTACCCGGGCCCCATCCGGACCCACCCGGTGCAGGAGTGCAGGCTGCTGCTGCACCACTGCTGCACCCACACCGGGTGTCTTCGGTCTTGGTTTTCCGGAAGCTCCACGCCGTGCCCTGGCCGTGCCCCCTTGCCTCCGAGCCTCTCCTCTCCAAGGCAGGGCGCACGCCTTACGCCCGCACCACTCCACACGTGCGTGCGTTACACTGTATCAGCTCCTCTCCGCCCCCACGCACCCCGACGGCGCGCCCCAGCAGCAGGGGAGCGAGAAAAAAAAACCAGAACCGTTACTCAGTTTCAATATCTTGCCGCCCGCCGCCGCTGTCTCTACCCCACGCGAGGGAGACTCTCCGCAGCCGCCGAATGCGGAGCAACTCGCGCGCGGAGTATCGACGGATCGTCCTCAGTTTGAATGTTTGAACGGCCGGCCGTCGTCCTCCGGGTGCTCGTGGTTCTGCGTGGGCATGCCCCCGGCACCAGGACCGGTAGGTAGGCGTCGTCGCGGGGTCCCGCCCAGTGGCGGCACCGCACAGTGGGCCAGAAGACCGGCGGAGGCGGCCAAAACTCTAGACGCGTTTTGAGCTCCAGAGTCGCTAAACAGGCCTCGAAACGAACGTGCGACCCCACCAATGGATTCCTCGTTCGGAGAGCAATCCATTGGTGGGGTCACATGTTCGGTTCGAGCCCCATTTAGCGACTCTGGAGCTCAAAACGCGTCTAGAGTTTTGGCCGCCTCCACCGGTCTTCTGGCCCACTGTGCATGGTGCTGCGCGCTGCGACGCGCTGCGCATGTTGCGATGCCGGAAAGTCGCTGTATTACTCGGTCGCTCTGTCTGCGTCGCACCCTCACGCAGCGCCCCGTGAGTGCGAGAGAGACAGAGCGACGCGCTGGGCAGGTGGCGGTTGAGTGACCGGACTGGACCAGGCGCGGCATGGCGAGCAGCAAGCACGCCCTGCCCCGCGAAGGGCCGAGCAGGCAGAGCAGCCCGAGTGGCTGAATCATCGCCACGCTGCAGAATCGGATACCGAACCGCGGCTCAGCGCGGCAGTGGCAGCAGTCGCCTGGCGAAATCCCAAATTACGGATTTCCCCGCGACTATCGGCGCATCTCGCAACGACGCAGAGTGTGCGTGCGACAGAGACAGACGGAAAGTGCGGTCGAATTCGGTTTTGGAAGGTACTTTCAACGCGAGGGTACCTGGCATTGTGTAACGTCAGCGAGCTCGCTCCGGGACAGCCCCGCGGTCCGGGCAGGCCGACGATGACGTCCCGTCGTCGTCCAGGTCGAGCCGAGTCACTTTGACGACATTGTTTCTAGGAGCATGGGATGGGTCGGCACAGTCGGAAGCAGGAACAGGGGCCGCTTGTGACAGATAACAGGCAGTACACTGTTTCCGCTAAAGAGTTTGCGAGTGCAGCGCTTCCCTTTGTTGCGCTGTCGGCCTGTCGTCGGGGCGGGGCGGGGCGGGGCGGGGTGAGGCGGGGCGGTGACAGAGCGTAGCCCCGCAGTAAAGACTGAATGACACTGGCAGGATTGGCAAGTCGAAGTCAGAGAGGAAGCGTGGAAGCTAGCTTCCTTGAAACGCGGAGCGGATTTGGCTAAGCGAGTCCCGTTGCCCCGTTCGACTCTGGCTCCCCTGACTCGCACGCTTTGTGGCGGTAATACTTCGGTGGTGTATGCTGCGCTATGCGGCGAGAGAGACAGAAACACGGACAGACAGAGAAGGGCTGCAGCTGCGCCGCGTTGAGCTAGTCCGTCCGTGCCGGTTCGCTGGAGCCCAGCGCGGAGCGGAGCCTCCAGGGATTGCTGGAGTAGAGCATTGGCTTTGCGCCTGTTTGCGCTGCTTGAGTCCCTAGCCGCCCCGCCCTGCCCACCTGAACGCGTGGCTGACCAAGGGGAAACGGACATGGCCGGCGAGCCTCCGCCAAGCCAGCGCCGCCCTGCCGGGCCCTGCCGGCCCCGCCGCCCTTCGAAGACCACACCCAGGCAAAGGTCCAACAGCCAAGGGCCAACAGCCAAGGGCAGAGGGGACAAGGACCCGCCAGGACCCGCCAGGGGGGAGGGTCAATAACAGTCAAGAACCAAGGCCAAGACCTGCTGTTAGGTTAGGTTATGTTAGGTTAGGTTAGGTCCAAGAAATGACCCGGCACTGCCGTTGCAGATCCCGACCCTCGGGTCGCCGGGTGCAATCCTTTCGACTCCGCGGCATCACTGGGAGGCCGGAAAGAGCAGCAACGGTTAGGCAAACATTCCCACAATGCATCGTCGTCGTTTAGGGTATGCCTATCTCGGAGTGGTGGCCACGTCTTGATTAGAAGTTGTCTACGCGCGTTCGCGGTAAGCAGCGGATGAGACGAGCAACCCTTTAGATACTATGGTAAGTGTGTGCCTCATTTTCGCGCTCATTCATGTTCCAAGCAACTGAGGAGCAACAAATTAAATTTTGATCGTTTTATGCCGTCTTTTCTCCATTTTCATTTTTATTTTTTGCCTCCTTTGTTTTGCTTATGCACTTTGCTAACGTTACTGGTCAACTGGGCTGGCTGAAATCCACGAACTGCGCGTTACCCAACCGCTTTGATCGGCCATAAGGAACGGGCACCGTCCCGCCAAACACGCAATTCGCAGCTTTGCCGCCTTTGGCTTTGCTTACGCGGGCAGCGCGCCTGGCAGTCAAAACACGGTCTGGCTTTCTACACACTGTGATGTGAACCCTCTGGAAGAGCACATACGCCTCCAGGCTCCGCAGGCCTCGCCGCAGGCTCCAGGCATCTCCAGGTGTCGGGCATAACGTTCATAGGTGTGTAACTGGCACCTGCGGCCACGTGCACGCACGCACAACCTCACACACACACTCACGCACTCACACGCACGCAGGCACCGCTCCCTTTCTCTCCACCACTCCACAGGAGCACATCCTTCACATTCTGCAGTCTCCGCTATCGAAAAACGATGCAGTGCGGTAAAAAAATAGTTGAAAAATTGAAGAAAAAGGAAGAACGTAGAGGAATTGAAGTTTGAATTTTTCGCTAAGTTTGCGTTTAAACGGTACAAAAGTGGAACGCCCTGGTAATGAGTGGCGTGGATGAATGGTCGATCGTTCCAGTGTTCCAGTCGCTGGAACAGCCAAACGACTGGAGGGAAACGGGGAAACGGAACAATAATTATTGCAGCGAAATAATCGCATTCTGCGCCATGCCGTTCCCAGGGCGTGCGCCTCCCCTATAAAGGTACAGTAATATTTTTTCTTCTTCTTCGAAATGGCACTTTGCTCGCGCACCTGGCCAACCTGGCCCGCCGGCCATCTGCATGTGTGCCTTGGGCTGCAGCTTCCGGAGTGGCGGGGAGGGGGGGGAAGGGGTGAATAGAGAGGGTGCGGCCCTGGGTGCGGCCCCCGAGCCCCGAGCACAAACAGTAGCAACCCCTTGTGCTACATGCGGAGCACGACAAGGTGCATACATATTGGGGCAACGCACCACTTCCCTTCGGCTGTGCCGTCAGGTAACAACGAAAAATAATAAAAATCAGACTCAGAGAACTGGTATTCGAACCCCGGTCGTGGCGGGTACGCCGCCGTCCCGCTGCCGCGCAGGCTGGGAACGGGCGGAGATGGTCGCCGGTTCAAATACCTACTTCACAGCCATAACGTTTTTTATTTTTACTTCGTTGCTTCGGACGCTAGTTTTATTTCCGCTTCTTCTTTTAACGTTGATTTGATTACCGCGCGGCGTCGCCGGCCGGCCAAAGTGACCCCCCCCCCCACACATTATTTTTCCTTTTCCTGGCGAGCGCAGCTACGCCTCCACTCCAGCGTGTTCCAGCTCCAGACTCCAGTCCAGCATGCTCCAGCAGCGGCGGCGGCTGCAGGCTGGAAGGCTGGAAGGCTGGAAGGCGACGCGGCAAAGCGCGGGCGGATACGAATGGGGCGGGGGTGGGGGTGGGGGTCTGTAGTAAGGACGGCGCGCGGGAGCGGGACGGAGGGGGAGGGGGAGGGGGAGGGGCAGGCCGCCGCCCGGCCACGCCGCCGCCGTCTGCCTCTTCCCTTCCTTCTTTTCTTGTTTCTCCTCCTTCCTCTCCCTCTCCTCTCGCCTCGCTCAGTTCGCCATGCGGCTTCGGAGCGCGTGCGTGGTTCGTTGCAGTGGCCCTCGTCGTCCGCGCGTCCTGCAGGCCGTCGTCTAGGCCGTCGTCTAGACCGTCCCGCCCGGCGCGGCGCGCGAACCGGCCGCCGGTCCCACAGTGTGTCCCACAGCCGCAGCGTGTGCAGCACACGTTCCCCGCGCTGCCGTTTGTGTTATTGTTGTTGTTGCTGGTTCGTCTGCTGCGAGGTTATTGTTGTTATTGTTATTGGTGGCCATTGGCGGCATCGAAGGGCGAAAGCGTGCGAGTGCGCTGTGCGCTGCCCTTCATCGTGTTCTAGTGCATCGGCGTCGTCGGACACCGCGGCTCGCTGCAGCCGGCGGAGATTTTGGATTACCACGCCTCGAGGTAAGAGTCCGGTGTGCGAGGGAGAGAGAGACAGACAGGGGCACGCGCGCGCCTTTTCGCGGCGGCTTCGGCTTCAAGGGGAGTGAGAGGGGAAGCTGGGCTAAACGATCCCGGCAAAAAGGCGAAATTCCTGTCCCTGTCGCAGGTGTCGCGCCGACGGCGACGTGCAGACGGGGTACGGAGTGTGCCCACAGTGCAAGCTGCCTAACAGTGTGCTGTAGAGTGTAGCTGCTGGAGTGCGAAGTGAAGCGGACCGTGATGGAAACCCAGGGGTCCTCGACGTCCTGGACAGGACCATCTCCGCTGTGCATCGCCGCCGCCCCCGCGCCTGGCGGCCGTCGCGTCGCTCTGTCTCTGTCGCACGCCGACGGCACAGCCGGCACGCCCCGCGAGTGCGACAGAGACCGGCCTCTTCGGAATCAGTCTGCTGGAGTGGTGTATAAATGGATTCTCCGCGCCGCGCCGCCCAGCGCGTCGGGAGAGGCGGCAGTGTGGCAGCCTGCCGGGCCGGGAGGGTGCCATGGTGCCATACCGGAAGCTCTTCCCCCTTCGGGACAGGACTTCGGGACCAAAAATACGTACAGCGGCGGCCCGGGGGGACTTGAACGCGCCGCGCGCCGCGGGCCGCGCCACTGGAAACGCCGTCAACATATTCAAATGAATTCATAGGGGCGTGCAAGTGCTGCAGCGTGGAAACTCAAGTAGCCGAAATTGTAGTACCCCTGCCGCCTCGCCGTCGTGCCGTGACCGTCCTCGCCACGCCAGCTTTCACGGGGATCCTGGTGCACTTTGCAGCCCCCGTGCCCCGCCTGGCACCCGCTGGCCCCGCTGCCCCCTTGCAGGTCGCCTTCGAACGGTGGTCGTTGGTGTTCTGCCGTCTCGCGCTTGGGACGCTACGGAGGTATCGGTCTTGTTCAATCTCGAACGCACTTACAATAATTTTACGAACATTTCGTGTCCGAGCACTAAATGTTCATTACCGATCGAACTAATTATGTGTTCGGTTCGTTCGTGTTCGTTCGGAGCCGAACATGTTCGCACATCTCTACATGGTGCCATACCGGAAGCTCTTCCCCCTTCGGGACAGGACTTCGGGACCAAAAATACGTACAGCGGCGGCCCGGGGGGACTTGAACGCGCCGCGCGCCGCGGGCCGCGCCACTGGAAAACGCCGTCAACATATTCAAATGAATTCATAGGGGGCGTGCAAGTGCTGCAGCGTGGAAACTCAAGTAGCCGAAATTGTAGTACCCCTGCCGCCTCGCCGTGTCGTGTCGTGCCGTGCCCGCCCCGCCCGCCGCTTTCACGGGGATCCTGGTGCACTTTGCAGCCCCCGTGCCCCGCCTGGCCCCGCCTGGCCCCGCCTGGCCCCGCCTTGCAGGTCGCCTTCGAACGGTGGTTCGTTTGGTCGTTCTGCCTCTCTCGCACGCCTACGGGACGCCCTACGAACAGCATCAGCCTGCCGATCGGCCGACGGTGCTGACGGCCAGGGTCACGCGCTTTCTAGGCGCCCCCAGGACGTCCCGTTCCCCGCATGGCGCGGCCGCGCGGCCCCTTTGCCACGGCCCTCCAAACTCGAAATCGCCGAGCCCGCATCTCATAGTGTATCACGCCAGGCCATCCGTCGAACGGCACACCAGGAACACCAGGCGGCTGCACCACCCCGCACCGCGGCGTGGCGAGCGGTACTACTCCTGAAATCGGCCCGCCATCGGCCGGAATCGACCGGAATCTGGCCCCGGGGCACAGCGCACAGTGGGCCAGAAGACCGGTGGAGGTGGCCAAAACTCCACACGCGTTTTGAGCTCCAGAGTCGCTATACAGGACTCGAACCGAACGTGTGACCCCACCAATGGATTCCTCGTTCGGAGAGCAATCCACTGGTGGGGTCAAACGTCCGGTTCGAGTCCCGCTTAATGACTCTGGAGATCAAACCGCGTCTAGAGTTTTGGCCGCCTCCACCAGTCTTCTGGCCCACTGTGCAGCGCTGCGCTTGGGCCCTTCTTCCAGCAGGGCCTTTCTCCAGAGGCGGCGACGTCTGCGTCGATGCGTGCCTCCGCCTCCAGATCAAGATAGGCTCACGCTGGAGGCCCCCGCGCCACGCCGTGCCGTGCCGCGCCGCTCGGGTCGTGACAGTGAGGCGATAGACGGCCCCCGCCACTTAGCCGTCGACAACGACGGCGCACTTTGAGGCGCCGCCCACCGGGACCGTCGTCGCCGTGGTCGTCGCGCACGTGGCGGACGCGTGATCACCGCCGCCGTGCACGTGCACTGCTCGGCCTGCTCGGCGTCGGCCAGGATCCGAGTGGCGCGGCTTAGCTCCGCGACGCCGGCAGCGTCAAGTTCAGGGTCACTTCATCCGTCCTGCCAGTGTCCTGCCCTGCGAAGCTCCGCGAAGCAGTGCCAATGCCGAGCACTGCCAAGCCGCGGCGAATGCAGCGGGGCGGGGCGGGGCGGGGCGGGCTAAATCATCCTGTCGAAGGGCCCGCCGTGCTCCCGCCGTAATGCTGTTAATTGCTCGGCGATTTTAAGCCTTCCCTTTCTCGATGGCCGAGGCGGGCCTGGGAGGCGAGGCAGGCGGGCGCTCTACTGGCTGTGGGCTCTATACGTCGCGGCCCGGCAGGCCCGGCCAGCAGGTTGACTTCGTTGAAGGCTGAGCCAGCACACTGCTCCTGCAAGAAGGCAGCTTCGGCTGCATGCTCGCGGGCCCCGCCGCGCCCTGCCTCGCCCTCGGCGTCCTGGAACCGCGCGCTCTCTTCGCGTTCGGCCGCCGATCTCGCCCGAATGCAGTAATCATAGGGAGGCATAAAACGGAATGGACTGTTTTGGCCAGCTTGGCTGGCCTGGCCTGCGGGCCGCGGTGGCCGTCGCCGGCCGCTGCGCCCGGAGGTGTGGGCCGGCGCGAGCCCGGCGCGATCACGAAGTGCCTGCGGTTGGAGGCTGGGCGAACCGAACTGGGGGCACTTTGGCGTCGACGCGGCCGATAGGGAAGGAACGCGGGGCAGCCCGTCGCCTCGCCGTCGGCCTCGACGCCGCGAGCTCCATTTCCCACGTCCGCCGATGAGACTGACTGACGGACTGCAACAGCATTTCTCTTGCTTGCTCTGCCTGTCGTTGGACACGGCGCCGCGCCGCGCCCCGCTAGAAGGCCCTGCAGGCCCTGCTCTTGTTCCTGTCGGCCTGCGGAGCCTGCGGTAACGGCACCCAACTGGCCGCCGAGCTGATGCTTATTAAAGACGTGCGTTGAGTGAGTGGCTTCGGCTTTCTCGACCCCGATTTTTTCCCCCTTACCTTTTCGCATTTTTTCCCCCTCTGAATATTTTGGGCAGGGCGCGCGTGGCGCGGCGTGCGCAACACGCGTGCCCGTGCATCACGCGAGGTAGACACGCCACTGCGTTGCCGTGGCGCCGTGCGTCTGGCCGCTCTTGTTGTCGGCCGCAGGGAAGGTTGTTGTTTTCGCCTGCAGTTGCGACCGTCCGTCCTCCGTGCAGCGTGCCGAGCCACGCCGGGCCGTAGCCGGGCAGCGGCGGCAGCGCGGCAGCCCCTTGGGGGGCCCTTCGCCTTGGCCAAGGTCGACCGCGACGCGACGCAACGCGACTCTTGAGATGGCCGTGCCGTGCCGCGCCGCGCCGCGCCGTGCCGCGCCTCGCCTCGTCGTGCCGCGCCTGTAATATGCCCCAGTCGAGCTGTTTTCCGTGAATCGCGGCAAACTGCTGCTCGGTCGGCAACGCCGCGCGGGCCTCGCGGAGTCGCGGACTGACAAACAAGCAATTTTCTTTTTCTGGAACAGAGGTTCAATTTTCTTTCCCTGTTTTCGCCCCATTTCAATTAATTACTCTGCGTGCAGTTTTGCGTGCACTCTTTTAATACTTAATTGTTGTTCGCTGAGGTAAACACAATGCCGGGCAATGGTTCATGTTTCTTTGCAAAACCACCGTAGTTCGTGTTTTTCATTTCAGCTTACTTTTACAATCTGATTGAATTTCTTTTTTGGCATGTGGACGTCATTTTGGCGTTGTTTCCTTCCCTGCTGCCGTTGCTGCCCCACCGGGGGAATGTCGCGTGCTTCGAGTGCTGTGCCCGGGCAGGCCGATTCCGAGAGTCGTTCTCGTCGCTCTGTCTCTCTCGCACTCACGGTGCGGCCCGTGCAGGTGCGAGAGAGACAGAAGCTGCAGTCCAGTGCGGCCGCCGTGTCGTGTTTTGATTGATATTGCCGGCCGCTCGGCCCGCCCCGCACCGAGGGGGCTTTTAATAGTAAATAAACGGTGTGGCGCCATTGGCCCACGCAGCGAGCAGTGATGCAACCAGGTTCACAACGGCGACGAAAAAAAAAAAAAAGGTTCAAGTCGTTGTCGTGCCAGTGGCCCTGGGGGGCTCCGCGCGGTAATGCCCCTCATTGCTGCGATGAGCAATTGGCGCGTACTTGCTCGTCGTGCGCGGCGTTAGCGATACCAACATCGGGAAAAAAAAAAAAAGAAAAAGGAGAATTAAGATTGGCGGCGTCGCGCGTGCCGGAGAAGGGGCAAATTGCAGAGGTCGCGACCCGCATAGTGAATGAAGAAAGCATCCGAGGAATGTCAATGCTGCGCGCCGAGCTGTACGGTGTACTACACGCAGGGCGTGAGAGCCCCACCGAGGCACGGAAGACCGGTGGAGGCGGTCAAAGTCCCGGACGCGTTTTGACCCCCAGAGTCGATAAATGGGACTGAACCGAACGTGTGACCCCACCAATGGATTGCTCTCCGAACGAGGAACCCATTGGTGGGGTCACACGCTCGGTTCGAGGCCTGTTTAGCGACTCTGGAGCTCGAAACGCGTCTAGAGTTTTGGCCGCCGGCAGGCGCCGTTCTTCTGGCCCACTGTTCGAGGTGCTGCGAGCGGTAGCGGCCGACAAATTGGACGCCCTCACGAAGTCGACCAAAGTCCCCGGGGTGGAAACTGTCAGAAGGAAACCACAAGGGCCTCTAAACGTCCGCGGGATCACCCACAAATCTCGAAATGAAATTCAACGGAATGCAAATGCCAGCGACTTTTTGGACGTTTCCGAGGCGATACCAGCAGCCTTTCTTTCCGTGGCATTCGAAGGGCGAGGGGTCGTAAAAAAGCCAACGGCGCCGCGGCTCAAAAAAGTCGAGATTTGCATTTCGTTACACTTGGCGATGTTATCCGTCGCGATGCAGAGCGCTGGCGGATGCGTGATCCCGCCCATTTTTCTCGTTTTAAAACACTCGAGGAAATTGGGTTGTGCAACGACAAACGCACAGTGGGCCAGAAGACCGGTGGAGGCGGCCGAAACTCTACACGCGTTGAGCTCCAGAGTCGCTAAACAGGACTCGAACCGAACGTGTGACCCCACCAATGGATTCCTCGTTCGGAGAGCAATCCGTTGGTGGGGTCACACGTTCGGTTCGAGTCCCATTCAGCGACTCTGGAGCTCAAAACGCGTCCAGAGTTTTGGCCGCCTCCACCGGTCTTCTGGCCCACTGTGGAACGGGCCGCGCTTTTCGAGGGCGGCGGGTGCTGCACTGTTTGACTGTTACGCGGGCGGCTCGTTTCCGGGCGCCGCCTTAGTCCACTTAGTTCGGCGAGCCGCGTAAAGGGGATGGATGGTACCTGTCCGCTCCAAGCGGAGCGAGAGAGAGGGAGCGAGCGGAGCAGGAAGCACCACGCCCATAATCTTAACGGTGGCGGTGCTGGGGCGTGCCATGGGCCGCCATGGGCGTGGCGGGGGCCGGGCGGGGCGGGGCGGGCGAGCCGGTGGCGGCCCCACGCTGCAGCACGTCCTGCAGTGCCAAACCCACACGCAGCGAGCGCAGCGCAGTGCGGGGACGCCCTGGACGCCCCCGACGGCACCGAGACGAGAGGGCAGCGGGGGCGGACAGGACAGCCGCCCCCCGCGCCGCCCCCGCGCCGCCCCCGCGGTCGCGGTCACGCGCTAGTAACTAATAGTGTAAACGGCCTGGCCGGGCGGCCGTCGTCGTAAAATGTTGCAGGGCCCCGCCATGGCCGCGCTGCGCCGCGCTGCGCCCAAGCGGGTGGTGCTGCAGGTGCGCGGCCCGGCGGCCCGGGCCCTGCCTGCAGCAGGTCCTCGAGACCGGTATGTAGGCCAGCTGGTTCGGCCGTTTGGCCACGCCGCCACGCCGCACGCAAAGTCTGGACAAGCCAATACTGTGCGTCTGGAGGGCTGGCAGGCGAAGTGTGCCGCCCTGCTCGCTTCGCCGGTTTTCTCCCCGCCGTCTTTTTGTCTTTCTTCGCGAGGAGGATGAATTGGAATGACGTCCGGGTGCGTGTGTGTCGGTGTGTGTGTGTGTTGTGACACGAATTTAAATGGGCGTGGCCGTCGCGTGGATTGTTATGGGCCACCGCGGCGTCACGTGCGTGTGTGTGTGTGTGGGGGGGGGGGGTCACCGCCACATTGGCAGAGCGACTCGTCCGAGAAAGTGAATCCTCACCCTGTCGCTTCGGTGTCGCCGTGTCTGTGTCAGCGGGCTTCTTCGGCGGCCCAGGAGGCGCGTCTGGGTCCCCCTCCTGGTGGCACCGGGTCGCCCTGCTCCACCCCGCTTGGCAGCGCTTGGCGGCGCTTGGCAGAGAGATGACCACTGACCTTTCCCTTGACTCTCCCCTCGCCTCGTCTGTCCGGAACCAGGTGCCTGCATTCCTATACGCAGGAACCCCCTTGGCCCCGCCCCGCCCCGCCCCGCCCCTGCGCGTTCAACCTGTCCATCCGGTCCCCCCGCGTGTGCCTGCCTGGCCGGCCTGGCCGTTTTCAATCTGAATTCACTCTCGTTGGCCGAAAGCGGTTTCGTATTTTTAGCGGTGGCCCTTGAACCGCGCGCGCGTCTTCGCGTGTCGCCTGTTCTAATAAGCCTCATGGCCTGACTGGACTTCCCCCGCCCCGCCCCGCCCCGCCCCGCCCCGCCCCGCCCCGCCCCGCCCCGCCCTTGGCCCACGCGCGACTCTAATTGGCGACATGAAGGAATCTCATGACGCCATGGTGCGGCCGACGTCGTCGGCCGGCTTGGTCGGCCAGCTAGTAGTCGGTGCTGGCGGTCACCGGCACAGAGATCCATTCATGTTCATTTTTGAATCAATTTTTATTTTCGAAAGTGAAATACAGAGGAGTGACCTGCACTGCTAACTGATTTGGTTGTTTCCAGATGGCGGTGCCCGTGGCCATGCCCGTGCTGCTGATGGTGCTGCTGGCCACCTGCGCGCGCTGTGCCGCCGCGGACATGCATCGCGCTGACATAGGTGAGCCGCCACTCCGTTGCACCGGCCGCACCGGGCGCACGCCCACACGGCGCGGCCCCGCTGACCCATCGCTTCTCAGCCGCCCCGCCACGCCACGCCACGCCCTTCTCCGTTCGGACAGGAACTTTTGACGCAGTGATTAATCGGCTCCGGGAAGTGGTTGCTGCTGCGGCGCACTTACTTCGTTGCAGTTTTACCGCTCCGGACATGACATGGGCCCATTGGGCGCGGGTACACTAAAAAGTGCTGTTACTTTTTTTAAAAAATCAAAAGTTTTTTTGCTGCTGTTGTTGTTTGGTTTTTATTCCAAACTCATTGTATTTTCGGAAAAGCAATTAAAAAAAAAAAGTTTAAAATTTTTAAGAAACTTTTTTTAAAAAAAATTGGAATTGGGTCAAAAAATTTGTTTCTTCAATTATTTTTTTAGCCAGTGTACCCCCATGGCGTGACCGTCGGTGTGACGACTGTCTGCAGGGCGCAGGGCTGTATAGGTACGCAGTGCTGCAGAGCTGTGAAGAGCTTTGCAGGACTGTGCAGGGCTTCGCGGCTTCGCAGCGGCCGGCTATGCCGAGTCGTTTCGCCGCTCTGTCGCACCCAAGGCGGGTGCCCCGCGAGTGCGACAGAGACGGAGCGACGAGGCGACCCTTCAGAATGTGACGCCTGGTGTGAAAGGGAAGGCCGCCTGTGTCCACAGCGGCAAAACGGGGCGGCACGCGTCTCGCGAGACGGCCAAATCATTTCTCTCTCTCTCTCTCTTCTTTTTCTGTGTCGAAGCTTTACCTGTGCGTCCGATGAGGCGTTCGGACTTCCCTCCGGAAATGCGCCGACGTCGCCGACGTCTGCCGAGTGGGATGGCCGGGATGGCCGAGCGAAGGGCTCCGTCCCGTTGCAGTCCGATAAGCCGATGCCCGCAAATTCGCAAAGCCGAGCCCCGTCTCTCTCGCACTCACATCCCTCTACGAGTGTGACAGAGACGGAGCGACCAAACGGCTCTCATGAATCGCTCGGCAGCCCAGCGCGAAAGGGACGGAAGGAAGGGGGATCTATCGGTTCGTTTTGCTTGAGTTTGCTTGGCTTCGCCAGAAAGAGAGAGAGAGAGGGAGACAGGGCGAGCGTGCAGCAGTACCAGCAGGGTGCCTCAGCATGTAGTGTGTTTTCATGGAAGTTTGATACATCGCTCAACGGTTCCGCCGGTGTGCCGGTGCGCGCCAGTGCGCGCCGACTGCAGCAAGTGCACTTGACTACAACTGGTGGCTGGCTTTGGCCGCTTCGGCTCGCTGTGCCCAGGCTGCCACGCCGTGCGAATACCGCGTCGACATGCTTATTGGCAGGCCGGCCCGCCGCGTGTACGGCAAGCCGCGGCAAAGCCCAGGGAAGGGTAGGCAGGGAGGACGGAGTGTGTACGAGGTGTGTACTTGTTGGGTGGAGTGTAGTAGAGTGTAGTGGTGCGCGCATGCGGAGCGCGGGGCAGGCTTCTGTGCGACCGCCCTGGCCGCGGGCTGGCTGGCTGCATGGCTGGCTGCATGGCTGGCTGCATGGCTGGCTGCATGGCTGGCTGCATGGCTGGCTGCATGGCTGGCTGCATGGCTGGCTGCCTGGCTGGCTGCATGGCTGGCTGCATGGCTGGCTGCATGGCTGGCTGCATGGCTGGCTGCATGCGGCTGCATGGCTGGCTGCATGGCTGGCGCCTGGCTGGCTGCCTGGCTGGCTGCATGGCTGGCTGCCTGGCTGGCTGCATGGCGTGGTGCATGGTCTGGCTGCAGGCTGGCCGGGCTGATGCGGCAGCATGGGCTGCTGCGGCTGATGGCTGCGCATCTGGCTGTGGAGCCAACCTCATGGTCCATCGAGGTTAAGCGGAGGTCCGCTGCGACAGGGAGAGCCCATGTCGCGTCGCGGGCCTTGCCATAGCGTTATGCCCAGGGTGCCTCGAATTTGAAATTCAATTCCGGATTCCCGGAAGAGGCCCACCTGCACTCCGGACGGGCCATGCGTGGAAACACTATGGCCGGTCAGAGCGAAGAGGTCCGCTGCCTGACAGGGAGAGCCCATCGCGTACGAAGGGTTGCCTAGCTGCGGGCGCCTTCGCGAGAGCTCGCTTTTAGACTCCGCGAAATCCCGAACCGATGAGCCCACCTGCCTCCGGACGAGTCCCGATTTTTGTTTTCGTTTGGAAAACAATAATGGCCTGTCGGTGGATGTGCCGTGCTCCGGCTGAAGTGCCTGTTTGGTTTTCTCGCCGGGCGGGTCCTGTTCCTGCTGTCCGTGGGCCGCCGTGGGCCGGCCCGCCTCGGACCCGCTGCGCCGCACAGTGGGCCAGAAGACCGGTGGAGGCGGCCGAAACTCTAGACGTGTTTTGAGCTCCAGAGTCGCTAAAGAGGACTCAAACGGAACCTGTGACCCCACCAATGGATTCGTCGTTTTGAGAGCAATCCATTGGTGGGGTCACACGTTCGGTTCGAGTCCCATTTAGCGACTCTGGAACTCAAAACGCGTCCGGGACTTTGACCGCCTCCGCCGGTCTTCTGGCCCACTGTGCGCCTTTCCACCTTCTCACCGCCTTTCTCTGCCTGGTTCTGCTGCAGGTGTGCTGGTGGACCTTCACGTGGCGCAGGAGGGCGCCGGCGGCGCGCTGGGCCCCCAGGGCGGCCAGAGCAGGCGCTGCTCCGCCCTCAACGTGGACGCCGTGCAGCCCGTGCTGGCGGCGCGGTGGGCGGCCTCCGTCGTGTCGTCGCAGGCCCACCAGGTCGCCGTCGGTGAGTGTGAAACCGAGAAACCTTTTCTGGCCGTCCCCGCGCCGTGTCTCTACCCTCCTCTTCCCTCTTGCAGACGTCAAGGTGTTCGACACGTGTGGGGACCCGGACACGGCCATGCGCGACGTCTTCTACGCCGTCAAGGAGGCCCTCGAGGAGCAGGATGTGCCGCTGCTGGGTGAGTAGCGGGTACCGGCCCCTTTTTTGCAGTGTGTTTCACTTTGTGTCATTGCAACTTTGTCAATCTTGCAGGCCTGGTCGGCCTGGGCGAGGCGGAGGTGCTCAGCCAGACCGTGAGCACCCTCCACGCCTTCAACATCCCCCTGGTGCTGGCCTCGCCGCGCCTGGCCGAGATGATGGCCCCGGAGGACAACACCCTGACCACGGCCCCCGACATGGCTAGCATAGTGCAGGTGTGACACCCTTTTTGACATTTTTCGTTTCGATTTTCCTAAAAAAATATTTTTTTTCACTAATTTTTTTAAAAAAATTTTAGGGTGTTGTGGAACTCGGGCACGCGCTGGGCGTGTCCTCCATGTCCGTGGTGTCGTCATGCCCGCACAGCCTGGGCCGCTTCAAGCACGACCTGGACGCGCGCGGAATGCGCCTGGCTCGCCAGCTGCACGTCAAGAAGCACCTGGCCGTGCTCGGGGACGTGGTCCGGACCTTCTTGGAGGAATCCGTGAGTTGCAAGGCCCGGTTCAGCCCTTACACTGGAAGAAACTATTTTTTCTAATTTTTTTTTTTTTTCCAGGAGGAAGGCGAACTGTGGCCCTGGTCCTGGACCCCGAGGAGATCAGCGCTTTGGCTCAAAGCCTTCGCAGCTACCGCATTGCGTCCGCGCAAGGTGCAGCTCATCACCGGGACCATCGGCCTGAACCACAACCTCATGCGGCTCTGGAGGAACCTGTTCGCAGGCTCCTACCTCATCGAGCCCCACATGCCCGAGCTTCCAGACTTCCGCAACTATTTGCTTACAACCTTTAAGGTAGTTTGCTTTGCACATTGTGGCTAATTTAGTTATCTCATTTGGCTTTTACTGATATTTTTTTTTTTAGGAGGCACAAACGGATGTTAATGAGACATTGGTGAGAGAATACATGTCCATTGTGTATAGCTGTCACTGGAACGATGATCTGGAAACTGCTCAGAAGAAATGTAAGGACTTGTCCATGGTGGAACTCTCACACAAACTACAAATTAATCCTGAGGTTCGTTCTCTCTACTTGCTAAATTTCTCCGGATCTTAATTGTCAGTTTCTTGCCTTGTGGGGAAAATCAGCAAATTTTAATTTGATAATGTATTTTCAGGTGACATTTGTGGTGAAAGCTGTGTCTGCCTTCTCGGCGGCTCTCTTCTTGTTGAGAGTTTCTCGTTGTGAAAAGAGTGGGATGGCCGAGCCTTGCCTGTCCTTTTTGTCTCCCAACCCCAGCGGCTCTGTGCCGTTGTCCACACCTTTGTCGCTGGCCAGGAGTGAGGATGTGATTCCTGGCAGCAGCAATCTCCAGCAGGAAATGCTGTCGATGCTGTCGCAGCTGAGTTTTACATCCGGCCATGATGCTCCATTCGAACTCTCGGGCACAAGAAGGCACTTGACTCGTGATGGTAGACTGGTGGCTAATAAGTACACTGTGGCTCGCATTAGCCAGGAAGGAGATGTTGTCGGGGTAAATTGCTTGTAGAAATAATTTGATCAATTTCGATTTGTCACTTAATTTTTATGGAATTATTTAAACCATATTTTTTTTGTTTAACAGATTGGGTGGTACTCGGATGACAAGGGCCTACTTATTGATTCATCCATGCGGCTTACCAGCGCTCAGAGAAAGTCATCAAACTCTGACAGAAAGCAACCTAGGGGATTCTCGTCTGACTCCAGCTATCCAATGCTTCAAAAGGAACCTCAGCTAGACAGTTTGACTGTAGTTGGGGAAGGGGTTGATGCCAGGAAAGTTAGACCAGATAACTATCTTGGCCGTCTCTGGGCTACCATAATGGTAGCTATTGCTGCCGTGGGTATCTTGGCCACTCTGTTCATCCTGGTGTATGTTCTCATCAAAATCTGCGACGGCACGCTAGCTGGAAACCAATCACTTGGGGTCCTGCTCCTTCTGGGCATCATGACCCTGTTTGCTTGTGTTGTACCATTTGTTTTGCCAGTGAGCGAAACAAAGTGTGGGGTCAGAGTAATGGCTTATCCAGTGGCTCTAGCTCTCTGCTATGGCATTCTGCTGGTTAAAGTAATGCAATTGCGATCCCTTGTCCTGCTGGGATTGGGCGGCAGAATCTCATACTTAAACCAGTACATCATACTTTTCTTCATTGTTCTCGTACAGGTAAGTGACTAATTCCATCAGTTAGTTTTTATGCGTTTTTTTAAGTTAGACTTCTGTAAAATTAATTTTAATTCTTGTTGTTTTCTGTTGTTTAGGTGGTCATCAATGTTCAGTGGTACATGACCAATGGACCACACTTGCGGATTGATTCTGAAGGCACTGCTTACTGTTTTGTGCCTCGATCCGACTTTTTGATGCTGCACACATACATTGTTATTTTGGTCATTTTGGCCTTTGGCTATGGATTATCAGTTTTGAAAATACGCAGAAACTACAAAGAGGGCCGATGGGTTACACTTGCTGCTTTCCTGTCACTGCCTATATTGGTCGTGTGGGGTCTGGTATTGGGTTTGGCTGCTGACCGATATGATGAACTTACTACCTGCATGGCTCTGATGCTGCTGGCTCTGATCCTCATCTTGGCCATCTTCATACCCAAGATGAACACCATATCAAAGCAGACCAAGCACTTCAAGCACAAAAAAATGCATGTAGGCGCTGATTCAGTCAATACCATTTTTAGCAACTTTTCTGACTTACAACGGACTTCGTCCAGACTGCATCCTCACCACAGCAGAAGGCCTACATCTGGTCATACTGGCCGCATCTCTAGGTCCTCTCCAATGACTATAGTTCCAACACATGCACCACACATGTTGCAACACAATAAGCACCTGTCTGTGCCTCACATGGCAGATGCATATTCAGACTATGTAACTAAAAATCCTATTTATGAAGTAACTAATGGGGCTTACCCTTAATACCTGTATGTTTGATATGGGGTAAATAATTGACAGTGTGATATTTTTCTTTCCAAACTGCAATATGCTGTATGGACAATGTAAATTTCCTTTCATGATTAAGACTGATATGATGTGCGCTCCTCCTTCTAGATGAGACCCGTTTTAATAATTTTCAAGTTGGACTATGGTGTACATACAGGCACTGCAAATTCACTAACAACTTTGACCCTTATAAAAGAAATTATAGATGTGCAGTTTCTGTCATTGATTTCTGTCTGTATTTTTCATTTCAAATCATGCCCTCCTCCTCCAAGCCAAACTAGTTTAATTTAATCTATATTTCTAAGCTGGGCCTGACTCATGATTTATAATGATGTTTATAATTCAGTGACTGTCATGTAATAACAATATAAGTATAAAGGTATGACTTGATTATTGTCGCTCAGGATTACTTTGTATGAATGTTTTGTTCATAAATGAACTTTTCTGGTCGCCCCCTTATTAAAAAAATGTCTTTTGTATCTTGTATATATTAATATATATATTTGATGTTTGTAAAACATGTACATATGTATAGATTATTTCTAGTTGTGGACCAAGACTAGTATTTTCCCTTCTGAATGGAGAAACGACTGGCACTCCCCTCAGTCCTACTTTTTGTGCATATAGTGTACATTCTGTGTGTTATGCATCTCTTTGAGTTGGTGCAACTAAAGCTTTGCTATTTTGAATGGTTAAGGCTCTGAGGATTGTATTGTTAATTTCCACACATTTGTGTAATAAAGGTGAACAATCTCTAAACCATCATCAATGAAAGAAAACCAAATCATGTAAATTATTTTAAGGCAACGTTGTATTTTCCTTTATGTAAGCGAGCTAACTAATGTTTGACCTTAGGTTTCTGTTGCCAATTTGTTCACTATATCTTTATGTATAAGAAGCCATTTCTTTGCAAACTAAGTCATTATTTATTCAGTAACTTAACAAGTAATAAAAAATTGAATTGATGTCTGTAAAGATATTTTCCTTTATCCCCCCCTATTATACTGATTCACCTCAAGGAGTATTTGCCACTAAGACATGATGGGATAGCTAAAGATCTGGAATCGAGATCTTCAGGGATAGCTAGTGGGTGTCCAGCCTGAATGCCCAAGGAGAAATGACACAGCAGAGCAGATACGAAAATAAATATTTTACTTCCCAAGCAAAATGCCATTTATGGAAAACCTGCACCAATGTAGTTACAATTCCTAAGGAGCGCCGAGCACAGTTTCTGGTGAAATGCAAATTTTATCTGAAAATACACTACATCATGCTTCGTAAAATTCGAGACTAGATATCTTGGCAAGTACTTCTCTTCAAAGCCCATAATAAATCTACTTAAGCATTCTCAAATGCATCGGGTTGAATGTGAAAGAGCACAACAATGATTCTTTGGACTGAATGGAATTATAAGAAAATTCAATTTATATTCTGCAGCAGATAACAATTGCCTCAAATGCTTTATTCGACTTCATTTAAACAGCTTTGTACTATAGCATTCACGTTAGGATATAAATCCAATCTGCTTATTCAAATTACTCTCGAGTTCACAGCATATTGAAACATAATCTCAAAGAAAGTTTAACAGGAAAAAAAAAACAACAATGTCCCGAGTATTCAACAATCATAACTCACCACATCTTACTTACATCAGAAACAATCTACTCTTTCTTTTTTACATTACAGAACAGTCTAGGACTGTATCATACCTTATAATAAAATTGGCTCACCAAATCTTGCATGGCAGAGAGTGAAGCATACAATGTCCTCCGTTATCAATTTTACATTTTTTTAAAATACCACATTTCTAGAAAACTACCGTCTGTGTTTGTGATGTGCACAAACTGGCACTGGAACAGCTTACGTTCCCGTCATTAAACTAACACTGGGATAAAACCATACATGTTTTTCAAAAAAGAAAAAAAAAAAAAAGTTTCTAGCAAATGTAGTCTTGCAATTTTAAGATACTTTGCATTTTTATTTTAAGCTTGCCAAATATTTAAGAAGAGAGAAACAATTTTTTGGAATTCCTGAGTTTCATAACAAATGACATTTTCTTTGTTCATATTTATATAAAATAAGCTCTAAAATATGCACTGGGTTGAGTGAGTCTGTGGCAGTGGCGTGATAAAATAATTTAAATTAACATAATTTGCCTTGATTGAGAAAAAAGCCCAATCACTAGTACCACTAGGTTGATTTGCATCTAGTTATATACAGATAAAAGAATCTGGCATTCAGTAACAGTACGGACTTGCTTTTACATTGCCTTTGATAGAACAGTAGGCAATGTTTACTTTACAAGATTATTATAACTCTCCTGGAGATGAGTTTGCTTTACAACAATTTAATGGAAATCTTTGAGCAGTTAGATGACACCTACTGCAGCCTACAGAGGGTGATTGATCAGGGTTGAGTCAATTTTCACTTAGAGCGGGCTCCAAGAACTTTCTTAACAGCAGTTACCACATCTTCTGCTCGGGGCAAGGCATATACTTCCAAGGATTTGGTGTATGGCATGGGCAGATCCATTCCGGTCACTCGAACAATTGGCGAATCTAAGTGATAGAATGCCTCACCTGAAAAGTTTAAGTTCAATTAGTGACACTTAAATGACAGTAATTCCAAAACATTGTTGGGGGAAAGAATACAGTCGCAGAGATTACTTACTTTCCATGATGCGAGCAGAAATTTCTGAACCAATTCCACAGGTTGGCCATCCCTGTTCAACAGTGACCAGATGATTTGTTTTCACAACAGACTGCTCAATGGTCTGAGTGTCGAGGGGTCGGAGAGATCTTAGGTTAATAACTTCGCACTCAATGCCCTGCCCAGCCAGTTCATTTGCAGCTTCCAGAGCCAACTCCACAGCCTTCGAATGTGCCACCAGGGTAATGTGGTTACCTACAGAAAGTATTGACATAAGTTTCAAAGCACAAAGAAAGCTCAACCACATAGGTAAGACCCATGAAATAAAGAAATATACCTGGTCGCTCAATTTTGGCTTTGCCAATGGGCAGAACAAAGTCTTTCGATAATGCTTCATCAGACATGGGGTACTGATTACCATATAGGAGCTCATTTTCTAGGAACACTACAGGGTCAGGGTCCCTGATGGCGGCCTTTAAAAGACCCTTGCAGTCTTCAGAATTGTAGGGGGAAATTACCTGCACAGAATAAAAATGTATTACCAACATGATTTTGGATGAGTCAAGTAAAATCAAGTAAGACAAAGAACAAATTTTAAAAAATACTCACTTTAAGACCTGGACAGTGGGCAAACCACGCACCGAAGCACTGAGAATGCTGGGCACCAACACCAGCGGCGGCTCCATTGGGGCCACGGAAAACAATTGGTACGGATATCTAAGTACACACAGATAAAAACAAAACAATGACACTATAGCAAACCCTATACAAAGAAAAGTACTGAGAGTTAAGATGTCAGAGGCACTTTTCTTACCCTTCCAGCAGACATGTAGTATGTCTTGGCTGCTGAGTTAATAATGTGGTCAATGGCTTGCATTGAGAAATTGAAAGTCATGAACTCGCAAACAGGCTTCAAGCCAGCCTGAAAAATATCAAAGAACAAACAAATAAATATAAACAGCAGTCTAGAGGCACGCAATTTTTTTTTTTAGGAAGAGTAACCATTACTTACAAATGCGGCTCCAGTACAAATGCCTGCAAAACCAATTTCCGTAATGGGTGTATCAATGACTCGCTTGTCACCATACTTTTTCCAAAGGCCTCTTGATACCTTGTAAGCACCATCGTACTGGGCCACTTCTTCTCCCATGATGAAAACACCCTCATCTCGCTCCATCTCTTCATCCAGGGCTTGGTTGAGAGCATCTCGGACCGTCATCTACAAATGGCAAGGAAATATCTTGAGTGCACATTATTTGGATCAAGGCATTACTCAAAACATAATCAATACATGAACTGATCTCCAATGTGTAAAAAATTAACTGCAGGCAACTGTCAGAGTTAAAATACAATTTTCTTAGGAGGAGACAATGAAAATTTAACATTATGTGTGGATCTATCTTTTCCTTTTACACAGATTCCAGGGTAATATGGACCACAGTGCAAAGTACCCATTCCATGAATACATAGAGCAAGTCTATAACCTAACACACAGTACATGACAGGAATCGTTAAGGCTACAGGCGAGCGGGAATTTGCAAGCAAACAAAGTCGTAAACAATTCAAGAAAGTTGTTCTGACAATGTCCAAGAAGCCGGCAAAGACGTGAAACCACACATCGTCTACACGTCATTGGTACCTGCTGGGCGCAGGTCACCCTGGAGGTTGAGAAGGCCCGTCGGTTCAGGACATTGGCTGCCGTCTGAAACAAGAACGACACCGCTTAATATGGTTTCGGCGAAAATACGGAGAAAAAAGCAACACACAGGCATGGCGAATAGTCAAATTAGCAGCTGGGATCTCACCCTGAGGAACATTTTCGTTGATGGAGTCATAACCATTTTCCCCAACCCTGTATCAGACGACACCAAAGGAGGAGGTGAATGAGACGGGGCCTTGCGAATGTCACGGAACGCTGATAGGTTCAAGGTTAAAGAATGATAAATGTGATAGTGGGGAGGATGTGGCAACTATCGAATTTGAGGATCCTCTCTTAATTTTTTCTTCCGTTGTACGTTGAAAGCACTCTCTCACAGAGAAAATGGATTGCAGACCCGAAAAGTTGGCACCAGTTGCCATTTTGCGTGAGCCCTTTAAGTTCGGGGGGTTGGTGCTCCCGCGCGACGTTTCGCTTTTGTCTTTTCTTCCCTTCCCCGCCCTTCCTTACCGTCGTCTGCTTTACTTGCAGACGGTTGATCACCCCAGGCGGGTGAGTTTTCTGCGATTTTCTTCTGAAATATTTTTCGACTCGAAGGTAACAAGTGTTGAGTGCTACCGGGTTCTCCTTTTGTTCTAGAAACCATTCCAAGATGATGCAATCACTGTTCGAAGCTTCGAAAAACAGCCCGTTCTTGAGCCCGATGTCGGCCAAGTGCGAAGGCAACCAGCTCGTCAAGGGGCGGAATATTTCTGCCGCCTCTGTCGCCGAAGGAGGTAAGTACTATTCTAAGAACGCGCTCTTCCAAAAGCTACGTTTTCCGAAATGATTGGCATATTTTTTTCGACTGACATTTCACCATGTTTGTTTGTTGGGAGGTCTTGTCTTTGACATTGTGTGTCCAAAGCAAACTTGTTCTGACTGGGATTATTCCCCTATATTTTTTTGGAAGGAATGGTGCTGCGTCTGGAAAAAAATGTTAACTGTTCTCAGTTTAATTGAAAATTTTCTGTTCATCCCTTTTTATTATGGACTAAAATTTACCTTGCATACAGTCACAGAATTTTAATTCAACATTCAGTTTTATGTAAAAAGTTTATTCTTTACATTCTTAATCATATGCTTAGTTCACTCCTGGGCATGTGATTTCTAGAGAACACTGTTCTCATCTCTTTCACAAAACGACCTAGAGACTGGTAGAGGGAGTGCTTCTTAAAATGTCTTAAAATAGACTTGGGAGGGGAGAGGTGGGGCAGCAACTCAGCTGCTGTTGCGGGGTTTGGCGTGTGAGCTGGCAAGTGGCCAAGCTTTACAGATCACGCTGTCTCTCAGCCTTGCCTTCATTTAGAATGAGCTTGACACAGATTCTTTCATCCTTGCTGCCTGACCTTCAATTCTGACTAAAGGGCAGATCAAGTGCACTTCTAATTAACTTACTGTTCAATTCTTTTTGCATCTTAATAAATACTGTATTTGACCTCCCCCTTTTGTTGCATTTCTGTTTAGACAGCTGCGAGTTTGGTTCCAACAAATACTTTGCACTATGCGCTCTTGGTGGTATTCTGTCATGTGGTATCACTCACACAATGATTGTGCCACTTGACTTGGTGAAATGCCGTTTGCAAGTCGACCCAGCCAAATACAAATCAGTTTTTAATGGATTTAAGGTAACCCTTTTTCTTGGTGCTCCACCTGATGCTCATTCAAAATTTTTCTATATTATCCGTTGTAAGTACTCAAATTAATTTTTGTCTCTGTTTTTAGGTAACTCTGGCAGAAGATGGAACACGTGGTCTGGGTAAGGGCTGGGCCCCCACTTTTATTGGATACTCCCTGCAGGTAAAATTTTTTCTCAACTCGGCTATGCTTTTTGCAGATTTTTTTGCTTGTTGTTTTGTGTCAGTATTGCATTTCAGTCTGATAACAGGAAATCTCACTGAATGTTTCAGGGTATGTGCAAGTTTGGGCTTTATGAATACTTCAAGGTGTTGTATTCCAATGCCATTGGAGAGGAAAACTCTTACACATACAGAACAGTGCTGTACCTTGGAGCTTCAGCCTCCGCCGAATTCTTTGCTGATATCGCTCTCAGCCCATGGGAAGCTTGCAAGGTAATGCTTCAATTTTTTTATTTAATTTCTCCCCTTGAATTTAAAAAAAAAAATTTTTGTCTTACTTATTATGTGTTTTGTGTTTTTGATAGGTGCGCATCCAGACAATGCCTGGTTTCTCCAACACACTCCGAGGAGCCATCCCCATCATCATGCAGGGTGAAGGTCTCAACGGTTTCTACAAGGGTCTGGTTCCCCTGTGGATGAGGCAGATCCCTTACACCATGATGAAGTTTGCCTGCTTTGAGAAGACTATTGAGTTGCTTTATGCGTAAGTTCAGTAACTGACACTTTTATTACTATGGCCTTTAGCCAAGGAAAATTTTCATAAAATGTTATCTTGCCATTTTTTCCCCCAATTTTCAGTTATGTTGTACCCAAGCCACGTGCTGAATGCACAAAGGGAGAGCAGTTGATTGTCACCTTTGCTGCTGGTTACATTGCTGGTGTGTTCTGCGCCATTGTATCTCACCCTGCCGACACTGTTGTGTCAGTTCTCAACAAGGACAAATCATCCACTGCCATGGAGGTTGCCAAGAAACTGGGATGGGCAGGTAAGATCAATATTCAGCATGCTAGTGCAGACCTGCAAACGTGAGATGTATAAATTTGCCTAGAATATTAATGTGGAATCTTCACTTTCAGGAATGTGGAAGGGTCTCATTCCCAGGATTGTCATGATTGGTACCCTGACCGCTGCCCAGTGGTTCATCTACGACGCTGTTAAAGTGTACCTCCGCATGCCCCGACCACCTCCACCAGAAATGCCCGAATCAATGAAGAAACGCCTGGGTCTCACTCAGTAATACAATCTCATCATCCGTCTCTCTCTTTGTAGAATAAATTCCATTGATGCAACGTTAGTAGTGTTCCTCAAAGAATGACAAGCCACTTTCAACTTTCCATCCTGCCCTTTTTAATGTCAGAGTTGCTCAAAGATCATTTGCAATGTTACTTACTGTTGACTGCTTAATATTTTAAACATCTAAAATTTATTGAGTGAATGAATGTTCATTGAGAGAAAGTTTAAACAGATTTAACAGTTATTTAGCTAATAAGGTGTCTCAAATTTATTATTAATTTAACTTTACTTGAACTTCATTTCACTTTGTGCCAATCTAGTCATTGTCTACATCCTTCTTACTAGAATTAATTTCATTCAGTATTAATTTCAAGGGAAAATGTTCTAGTCAGAATAAGTTTTGTTGTACAAATGGTGCCAAAGGACTTGATGTTAATAACTTAATTTATAAACAAAAAATTGTTTCTCTCTGCATCAAATTTTATTTATATTTTTTTAATGACAGCCCTATAGTTAACCCCATATTTTATATCAACGACGAATCCATTTAAACCAGCTGTTTTGACAGTGGTCTTTACTTGTAGTAGTACTCTCACTCTTCATTTTTAGAAGATGTTGAAGAGTAAGCTCATAAAATTTTTACTGATGCAGCAGGTCTGTTCAAGTATGTTTTATATGGAATATTTTTACTGTTGACCTATGGATTGTTCTGTTTAAATTGGTTGTTGCTGCAATGCTCCAGGACTGTTGAGAGTAACTGGAAATGAAGTCGGTTCAAGTAAAGTTGAAGGCCTCTCATTTTTACGCCCCCTGACCACCACACCGCTCAATCTGCGAGCCAAAATTAAACGGGGAAGAAGGGAGGCGGGCGATTGCGCGGCCGTCGCCGCGACCTACCTACTTAGGCACGGGGCCATGAAGTGATTTGGAGTGGTCTAATCGCTCTGTCTCTGTCGCACTCTTGGGGCGTGCCGTGGGGGTGCGAGAGAGACAGTGCGACTCGTGCTCCGCCATCAAGCCGTGGCCACGTGGGTCGGGCGTCGGGGCAGACCGCACGGCGCGGCGAGGGCGGGCATGGACTTGGCCAGCGACGGCTGCCCCGGGCTTGGCCATTCGGCCGGGCTTGGCGCCTCCGCCACTCCACCGCCAAACACGACGAGCCGAACGTACGGTGCGGACGGTGCGGGGTACGGGTGAGGGCGATTGCTATTTCCATCGCGAGCACCGCGGCTCCGCCCGCACTGCACCGCACTATTGCCATAACAAAGTCCGAGACGGCCAACTGGAAACATCGGGCCGAGATGTAGCAGTGTCGCAACGCAGCGGCGTTTCGAAATAGCGGCCAGCACACCCTCTGCCCTCAGCACACTTTTTTTTTCGTCGCGTCCGTCCGGGTCCGGGGTTGTTCCGGTGTGGGCGCGGGAAGGCTGGGCGGATTGGACTGGACTCCGACTTTGGTTTCACGGTCCCCTGTTGCCGTCGCGCTGCCCGGTCCGGCTGACTCTACAACTTGCCGTGCTCGCCGGCGCGGCCCCGGGCGCTCCGAACGCCTGCGAGGTAGGCAGCGGCGCTGCCCGTGACACTCAGGAGCGCGGCGGGTTGCCTGCCGGCGGTTCGCAGGCGGTCCGCGCCGGGCCAGCGACTGCCTCTGCCGTTGCTGGCTGGACCACTAGTGTCCGTGCGCCGATTCAGGGCCGACCTACTAGGCCGCCGACCGAGCCTGCGTGACAACCCATCCTGAGAGCGATAGTGAATCTCAGTGGCAGGAGGCTGGCCGTGCGTTCGTCGAAGTGGCGAAGGCGGAACCGGCGTGGGTTTACCGACTCCCAAGTGGCAGCCACCACCTTGCGCAATAAACGCTTCAACTGTGACAGCACTTGTGCGGCCCTCGCCCTCGCCCGGCCGCCGCGCAATAGCTTCATGGCTGCTGCACGTCCGCGACGAGCCGGATTCGGAAACAAGCAAGAAGGACAGCGCGAGCCGCGGGGCGTGGCGTGGCGGGGCGAGGCGGGGCGTGTTTACGCACCCCTGAAGGTCCAGCGCGGTCCACGCACCGCCCGGCGCCACCGGCGTCTCCCCGCCCCGCCCCGCCCCGCCCCGCCCCGCCCCACCGCGCCGCCCCACCTCACCCCGCCCTGCCCGGCCGGCGTCGCCAGCCCGGTAGCAACACAGCAACGGCGGTGGCGAGCGGCTAGAAAAAGAACCAAACCCATGTGTAAAAGAAATTCGATCAATCACCTAACTTTCTACGAAGCGCAGCTGTTCGAGGTGATTTCTGTAAATCTCAGGGTTCCTCAAGGCTGCGGGACTAGAAGGCCCGCACGTCGCGATACATGTCCTCTGGAGCGTCCTTCGCGCCGGCACTGGAAGACGCCTCGACGCGCAGCCTTTGCCGCAGACTCTCCCTCCAGTGCCAAAGTGCGGCCATTGCGGCCGGAGGGTCCACCTGGCCGCCACGCACGCCGCCGTGGACGTCGCCGACGTCACGGGGGCCAAGTGCACTGCATGCACCGAGGGTGGGGGTGGGGGGCGCCGGGCGGGGGCGCCGGGCGTCGGGCGAGGCGCCGGTAGTCCCGTCAAACCGTCAAGAGGCGCCCGCGCACTCGCCGCGACGCCCAGTCTCGCCATTTTGCTCGAATCAAGTGCGTTATCTAGCGTGCCGCCACCGCGTCCCTGCTTCCCCGCGTCCACCAGCGCCGCGAGGACTCAGTCGCAATCCTCCCGCCGTCATCCACGCTCCGTGCGCGAGCACCCTGCCGCCCAGTGGCCGTGCTGCGCCGTCCTGCCGGCGCGATCCTGTCGTACTTCGCGACCCTGTGACCGCTCTCCTCCACCCTGTGGTCGCACTCCAGCTTCGTGCGGCCGCGCTGCGCCACCGCCGTCGGCCCCGCCGGCGTCAGCGCGTCCGGGCATTGCAGCGGCATTGCAGCCCGCCCCCGCCAGCAGGGTCGTCGTCTAGACTGACGGCCGCCGGTCCAGCATGGCCAGGACGGCCGATTCAGCGGCGTGCCGCGCCCCCGCGCACGTGCTCAAGTGCGTCGCCTTGCTGCTGCTCTGCGCGTCGGTGTGTTCAGGTGAGTTCAACTTGCTGCCGCGCCGGTCCGTGGTCAGATTTTCCGACGGTAACCCAGTGCCTTTGCCCGCCCGGCGGTGTGGACGTTCGTGGCGTCGAGCAGGCTGCGGAGAATGCACTCTAGACAGGCCACCCGAAATCCAACACTCCCGGAAGAGGCGCGCCTTTGACCCGCCGAGGAAAAAAGTCTGACCGCGTGTGAAAGTTAAAAAGTGCGTGGCTTTGCCTCCGGGGGCGACGCTCCGCCGACGCGGCTCTTTAGAAGGGCGTCGTCAGCTGGCGGCCTGGCGGCCTGGATTACTAGAACGACGCCCGCCCCACCTGCCCGCCCCGCCCTCGGGGAAATCGGCTGCGTTCGGAGGCAACCCGCGCTCTCCGCCAGGCCGAAGCCACGGCACTGCCAGCATGCTACCCGGCCGTTTCGAGCGCGGCGGCGCAGCACAGCGCGGGCAACCTTGGTACTCGTTTTTCGCTGGCTCGGCAGCGAGGGTGCGTTCTGTGCGTTCCACGGTGCAGCACTCGGTGCATTCGATCGGAGCGAGTGTTGAAACTCGCGACTGCAGACTGCACCGCGTCGTCGCGGCCGTCGTCAAGCGCGTTTCGCCGAGGGGGAGAGTTTCGTGAATTCAAGTAACTTCGCGGATTAAATTTATGTCGATGCCGCCGATGGGTTTGGCGTGGGCTGTTGTTTCAACCTTCCCTGCTGGCACCTCAGAATACACGAATCACCGAGACGACTGCCGGGCACTTTTTTGCGGTGTAAGCATCTTGAATACTCCCGCCTTCCAGACTCGCCCGTCACCGTGAGGGCGGAAAAATAAAAATGAGCGTGTCATCGTTTTTTCGACGACGGGATGACGAAAGTAAACAAGAGACGTGTCTTGACCGTCCTCACTGTTACGAGATGTGCGCTCAGAATGGCTCAGTGCAATCTGCATTATCTGGCGGAGTGATCCCTGCAGCACTCTGCCAAAATAACAAAACGAAGCGGTGATATCAGCGAGCGCGTTGCGTTTCTGCGTCCGCAGGCTTCGCCGTGCACAAGCGACACCCTCACCGCGGCCACCCGCACCACGGCCACCACCGCCAGCCCCCCGTCGTGGACGCCGCCAAGGCCGACGCCCCCAAGGTGGCCGCCTCGCACGACGCCCTGCTGGAGGCCATGAGGGCCGCCGACCTGAGCGACACCGCCTGGGGCTCCGGGGACCACGACGTCGGCGAGGGGGTGCCGCTCTTCATGAAGATGCTCCTCAAGGAGACGGAGACGGGCGACATCTTCAAGGAGCAGAACCAGCCCGTGGCGCCGCCCGTCCCCGGCAGCAGCAGCAGCAACACCACGCTGGCCAGCTGCCTGCAGCCGTCCAGGGTGTCCGTCGGTAGGCCCCCAGCACACCGTTATCTTTTAATTAAAACCGCGGAACAGTTTTTTCACGCGTTTGAATGTTGCGGTTCTGCAGGCCGCGCCGGAGAGATGGTGGTGGAGTTCCCCCACGACGGCGGCAACGGTAACGGCCTCTCCGGCTGGTGGCTGGTGCTGGCCCTGCAGCAGGGCCTGGAGAGCGTCGCCGACCTCCACCTGGCCGTGTACCTGTCCGGCTCCGAGGAGCGGCCCCTCGACGTGGAGCTGCTCGCCCAGCACCCGCTGCCCAACGCCTCCTTCGTCGCCGTGGACGTCACCAAGGCTGTAAGTGCGCGGGGCCCCTCGGCCACACCTTCGAGCCAATCAAAACAAAACCGGGATGCCTTTTAGTTTTATCGCGAACGGGCTCTGCTTTTATCTCACTCTTACTTGTGCTCTCATTCGGGAGAACGTGACTAGGAAAACAAGCCGTCTCCGCGTGGCGTGTGGCGTTGCTCGCATATTTCTGGCCAGATTATGTCGATGACTTCTGACGGCAGGATTTAGCGCGACGTGCCTATCGCAGTGGAAGGGCCGGTGGGATGTTTTTCCGTGCTGGGGTTTGAACCCAGAACCTTCGTGCCTCAGTTTCGTTCAACTTGAACTCTCTGCCTGCAGGTGAACGTCACGGCGGCGCACTCCTGGACGCGGTTCATGATCGCCGTGAAGTCGACGGGGTCGTCGGGGTCGTCGGCCGACTCCCCGGCGACCGCCGCCACGGTGCTGGAGGTGGCCGGCTGGGAGCGCGGGCCGCTGCTGGTCGGCGCCCTGGACTGGGGCCACGGCGCCAGCGCCGACGCCGACAACGCCCTCAGGGTGTGGAAGGACGTCCCCCACGACGTGCTGCACCCCCCGAGGCCGCGCAGCCGCCGCCGGTCGCACCGCCGGACGACGAGCGCCACGACGGAAGGCCCGGCCTACACCTCGGCCGAGAACCCCCTGAAAAGTAAGTCGCGGCGAACTCCAAATCCGAAAGCCTCGTCCTCTGGCCTCGTTGTTCACGAACCCCGTCTCTCCCGCAGACGCCGCCAAGGCGGGGCTCGAGGCGCCCCAGGCCGGCGAGCAGGCCGACGCGGAGGAGTACTGCCACCTGGAGGCGTGGACGGTGTCCGTGGCCGACCTCGGCTGGGACTTCATCTCGCAGCCCAGGATGCTGGACATCAACTTCTGCGTGGGCCGGTGCCCCACGCTCCTGCTGGACAAGCACTTCAACGCCAGCACCAACGCGCTCGCCCGCACCGGCATCAAGAACACCAGGTGAGTGGAGCAGCGGTGCCTTAAAGGCGTGCCGCGTGGGTTGCCTATCCTCGGCAACGCAGGCGCCCTCACTGACACCCTCACCGTCTTTGTTCACAGGGGGACCGAGGCGGCGGGGAACATCCCGGACGCGCAGTGCGTGCCGATCCGCTACCGGCCGATCGCGCTGCTCATCAAGCAGCGCAGCGGCCAGGTGGACCTGTTCACGAGCAACGACCTGAGCGCCGACCGCTGCGGGTGCCGATAACGCCTCGGTGCCGCGTGCCGTGCCGCATCGTCACCGTGCCCCCTCCCCTCTCCCTCCCCCTGGGTCCGTGCCCTGGGTCACCAGGCCGCCAGGCCGCCGAGAGGGCGAGGACGCCGAGGACGGCCGAGGACGGCACGGGGCCGTACGCCCCGAGCCGCGGGCCGCGGGGAGGTCCTGGTTCCTCATTGGCTGCGCCCGGCTGCCCCTTATCAGGCGTTCGTCTTGTCACATTTTGGGCCAATCGGACGATGGTGATGGCCTTGGGGCCGCGAGGCCGCCAGGCCTGTCGCCGGGCCCCACTCGAAAAGCCCGAGTCACCAAAGCCAAGGTCATTTGGGTCGTCCAGTGGCCTTGGAGTGCTTAGTTTTCTTAAGATCTAGTGTGGGCTGGGCTGTGCAGGTGCTCGGCCCATGCCTGTGTTGACAACAGCCGGATGTGGCTGCTGTCTACGATCCAGTACAAATACATTTAAGCAAATTCGTCGATGCAGACCTCCTCGGTGTAGCAACTGCTAGTTTTTACGGACGTGTGAAGGGAGTGCTTCGTTTTGTCATCAGGAAATGTTTGTTAAAAGTTATTCTAATTTATAAGTAGATAAATTATTAGTGCATGTTTACATTTTTCCTCTCTCACCTCCATCTCTGTTATGTATTTCATTCAGAAAGTCCTACGCGTACCTGTCTACTATACCACTCCTTTGTTTTGTTGTTAAGTACTAAGCAGAGGTATTGTTTAAAGGTGTATGTGCATAATGATAATTAGTATCTTTCTTAATAAAACATTCTCAAATTTTTGGAATTATTTGGCACGAAGTACCAGTGAGGTTGTCAAGCATCCCCTCTGCAGTTAGAAGGGATATCACCCAGCTGTGACCCCAAAATATTTTTCACGACCCAAAATAGGATGGTTGGTCAATGCCCAGGATGGGAAAAAAAATAATACATTTCAGTTTTAAGCTGTGCTTCAGTATATTTAATTCAATTGCACAAAAGAAATCAGCACAATTCTGCACCAAACTCGTTTCACAGACTGATATACATAGTTTCCAAGTGTAAAACTGCATGATTTTTACACTTGAACACAAAAGGTACAAGTAGAATGGGATTACTGTTTTTTTCCTAGGCAAACAAGGTGATTCATGTGGAATGAGACTTGAACTGCATTTTTCTCATCAAATAGCTTACCTCACTAATTACACACAGAAAGCTTACATTGCAAATTCAAAACTCACATGATACCAATTTATCTTTGACAAGTGTTTGATTGTCAGGCAAGGACAAAGAAAATAAAAAAGAAACAGTTTAGGTAATGTGAGTTTGACAACTGCGTTCAAGAAACAACCACACTCAAAATGAGGAAGATACCATTTTAAAATTACAATTACATACACAGTTGTGGGTTTGTTAATCTTCACAACTGCCTAAATGGCAAAACTCACTTTGTCAAGGAAAATAATACAGGATACACAGAGAGAAATGGCCATAATATGAACAAACATTGAACTGAAATGGAAGTAGAATCTTATTATTATTACTATTTCAGCAGCTAAAAAAAAACAGCATTGTCAAAAATAACACAATAAAGACAAAGACGTCCTATTTGTCATGACGGAATAAAGACCAGTGCCTGAAGGAGACCATCCTGGTTACAGAGATAACAGGGTATTAAAACATTACTTCTAGAAAGGAACAGATAAAAATAAAGCCTTAATTTTTAAACAATATCACACTGATGTGTAGAGATAGTACACCATGATGTTTAACCAAAATAGTGTCATAGATTTGCATTGGTTACAAATCTTCCCTAGAGAATTCCAACGTATTAGAAAACCACAAGCAATGTAAATGTCAACATCTAAAATGTACATTGTGACCAACAGTAATTCAAAGTGACTTCAAATTAAATACAGTTTCATCGAATTTCTAGACTTGGTCAGAATGGGTTTTCTGTTTATTGAATACAACGTAGTAATATGTTGAGAATATGCACATGCAGCAAAGGCATTTCCTCAAATCCTTTGACTATCTTACTAGGTTTAACATTTTACAAATAAAATATTCCTCATTTCATGGAGGTCCAACTTCTGGATTAACAGTGTAATATGATAAAAACATTTTTGTCATAGTCCTATAACAACAATAAGGGTTTGAAACAAATAATGCACAAGCGCATCTCAGTACAAAAGCCAGAAGATAGATAGTAATCTTAGTCACAAACACATGGCAGGAATTATGTATTCTCCAAATTAAGAATTCATAGTTTGTTTCTTAAAAATGCTCTCTATGGTACAGGCCTCAAAAGCTACAGCATTGTCAAAGAGAAACAGCAGTTTATTCTAATGCATCAACTGCTCATGTGCTCGATCTAAGCATAAGTACACCTAATAAATACACCTTTGTAAACTTTGTCTTGGATCACTGAAGACACAAATATCACAAGCGCCATAAAAAATTCATGTGATGACTGGACTGAGATAAGCTCTGCCTCATCAAAATATCATGGCACTAAAACTTGTTGAAAACAGCTTCATCATTTTTTGAGGTTTGCTTTCGCCAATCCAGTCGATCCATTTGTCTTAAATAGGTTGTTATTTTGAGCTGCCCCGCTTTTGCTGGATTGTTCTTTTGCACCACTGAAAGAAGAGAGGGCCAATAGAGACATACAAAGGCTTAAGCCTACTACCATCCCTAGTTTAAAATTCAAACTTACAGATATCTAGTTAGGTCTTCAATATCGACCAACATTGAGTCTTGCTCCATGTGCAGATCGTCACGTTCCATTAGAAAGCGCACTAAACTCTCGTTCAAGTCTGAAAACATATAAAACCAGTCAATTCAAGAATTCAAACAAAGTCGATAGAAATTATATGATATGTCAAAAAATAAACTTACATTCAATTTGAGTATGTAGGTCATTAACAATAACTTGCAACTGTGCAACATTCATTTCAGTCAAAATCTGCCGGCTTAGTCGCCTCCTATCCTCAGGAAATGAAACCCCAACCTGTAAAAAACAAATAATGAAATTAAAAAAAAAAAAAAATTGAGGGCAAAACTGATTGTTTTGGACTGAAACTAGTTGGTGGTTGGTGTACTTACCTTTTGCAGTGTGTGGCGCACCATCTCTGTTATAGGAGATGCATTCTGACGCTGCCTTTCTATCTCCATTTGCATATGAGCCATGTCTTTGGCTTGTGCAAGAGCCATGCGGGCCTCAGTTTGAAGTTGAGCTTGTCGAGCAAGAAAATCTGCTTCAGTCATCAAAGATGAATGTTCTCTCCATTCGTGCTCTGAATCCAGGCGAAGAGGCAAAGAGAGAGGTCTTGCGGGCTGCAGGAGAGGATAAATCATTCTTGAATAATTTATGGTTCCAAACAAGAATGCATGAAAGAAGTAAGAACACGTTGGAAAAGCCACATACCTTAGAAGACATGCCTGGTAACCGCTCTGAAGGGAGTTCACCCTTAGGTGTTGCAGCCTTAGCAAGCGCTGGGTTCACAGAGCCAGAGGCAGATACTTCACCTTCTGATCCAGGGGATTCTGTATCAGATAGTGTCTCATTCATGAAACAGATCTGCAGATTCATCCCTGAAGAAATGAAAAAGAGCAGGATTAATGATAGCAAATATATTTAGGACATAAGAACATTCATTTTTAACTGACCACTTTGAAGTCGTGCTTGCAGACTAGGTTTTTTCCCAGGTTTCTGATCATTGGTGTAATAGTCAGCATCTTCTGTTCCCATTGCCAAGCGACGTCGGATTTCTTCTCTGTCATTTCGCCGCTGCAACAGATAAAAGAAAAGAGTCATGATAAGATATGTGCCATAACAACGCCACAAAAAATCCCCTTGAACTAACGACGCATACTCTTCTTCTGTGACGGGCAGGTGGAGGAGTGTTTGGAATCTGAGAAAAACCGTCCTCATCATCATCAATTGTGATAACTCTAATGAACCGATCTACAATATTGTCTTCATCCTCATCAGTTGGTCCTGGAGGTAACCAGCGCGACATTTGTGGGTCCTTTACATCCTCTAAGTGAACATAACTCTCAGCGGCTCTCAATGGCTCGACATCAACATCTTTTTGAGCCAAAAGGTATGCCCCAACTTTACTAGATCCTAGTTGCACCCTCGACTTCAAGACATCTATTGACTCTGCTAGCCGAGCTGTGTGCTCTTTCAAGTTGTCAATAGAAAGAGAGCTGCTCATTTTGGATGAATGAGTCTTTATATTGGTGATTAAGTTTTCAAACATGGCAAGTCAATGAAATACTTAAAAATCTAGAAATGGCACCCAATATGTGACAAAAAGTTACAAAATATGGCAACGAGGTAAAAATTGTCTAGGAAAAGACGAATGAAGAGAATAACTGTTTGAGGGTTATAATGCACACATGGCTACAAAAATCACAGTACGAGTTGAAGTTATGGCACTCTCGCAAATTATTCAGTCTTTATAGTGTGGGCCATGAATGGGGATCACATTTCACTCGGGCAAATCCTTTCAAACGGAATTAAGGCAGAGAAATAAGTCTAAAATCTCCATCTAAACAGGGACCACTGACACAAACAAACACTTTCACGGCGCCGCCATGTTTGAACCCGACAAAAGGCGGTGGTGGGAGTGGGAGCACGTAGGGCGCCAAGATTCAAATGGAGCCGCCCGTGTGTCCGCAGTGCAACAGCCAGCACACCGCGAATGATTCACCTCCTTGCCATCCTAATCAGAAGTGGACAGGAAAAACGGTGAAAACTACCCAGGCGAAACCTCACACCACCGCAAGACGGCCGCACAAAATTAAAACCTGGAGGCAGATTGGAACCCACGGTGCTGAGGTCGTCGATGGTGTCGAGGCTCTCGTGGTCGTCGTAGGTGAGGTGGTACAGGTCCAGGAGGAAGCGGGTGTCCTTCTTGTAGTGGCGGCGGGGGCCCCTGGAGGGGAAGGCCGGCAGGCTGGTGGGGCCCCTGCACTCGGCGTCCACGTCCATGGCTTCCACGACGACCATGCCGGAGGCGGCGCGGCGGCACGGCGGCCTCGCCCTGAGTCCCGGACAACGGCGACGGCGGCGGTGTTTCCAGGTCGAGGGCTCCGTCAATGAAAGGGCGAGAGTGTGTCACCGTGTCGACGCCCCGCGCCGCCACGCCGTGTCCGATCGGCGGCCCTTGTGCCACGCGCCAGCGAGTGCCTCAGCGCGGCCGAGCTGGAACGGCGGGACGTTGTGCAAGTGCGCCAGGATTTCCCGATTTCCAAATTTCAGCAGAAATTCCAGGAGGCTTCCACGCGAAGATGGTCGTGCTGACGCGCAGCCCGTGACGCCTCCGCTTTTCACTTTCCACTGCACGCACACTGTCTGCCTGGGTCTTCTTGGCGGCGGCGGGGAACGCGCGCGGGGCCGCGTCGACGCGGCGTGCCTCCTTCGAGGAGGCCGGCGAGGTCCGCGACGACCGAGACCGGGGAGCCGCGAGTGGCTGACTGCCTGACTGGCCCAGGGCTCCGGACTGCAGCAACTCCGGGCGGCTCCGGGCCCACGGCCAGCGCAAACTCCGGCGAGCGGGCTGCAGGGCCCCCGCCGGAGTAACCGTCACAGACCAGTGCGCGCCGCGCCGCCGACACGCCGCGCCACGCCGCGCCACGCCGGCAACGCCAAGCACCGCGTCACGTCATACTAGCACGCCTCTCCTCAAAGTACTGCGGCATTGCACTGTACGGGCGCGGACGAGGGAATCTCCGCGCGGTCCAGGCATGTTGGCCCGGCGTAATCGACTTGCATCGCCTCGTTGCCTTGCTACTGCACCGACGGTAACGCACACGCCCATTTCAGTTTGACTCGCCGTTCCCCGAACGACGCCCTGACCCTGCTCACTGCTGCGCCGGTAAAGGCCACGCTGCACTGTGAAAGCACAGTTTTGACGCAGTCCATTCACGCCCTGCGCCAGTCCCTCCGCGCCGGGAAGGCCATGGAGCGCCGCGGGCACGACCAGGGCGCCGTGGAGTCGTGAGGGCCGAAAATGCCGCATCACTAGCAGGAGCGGGCCATGAGACGATTACTAACCGACACTAACCAGACCTGTCTAACCTAACCTAAATCATCTTCAGCACCGAAGGCGAAGACGACAGTCTCGCGGCCGGAAACCGACTCAGTTCCATCGTTTTTCTGCGGTTCCCATCCAGTGGCGGAAATTGGCCGTTTCGAGCGAGAGAATTGGTGTGGTGTCGTTCTCTCTCTCTCTCCCTCTCTCGCGGTGCTTCGCTCCTTGTTGCTGATGTGACGTCCAGCGACGACGGCGAGGGGCGGCGGGCCTAAGTCACTTGACTGCGAGGAGTTACGACAGAGCAGGTACGCCAGCGGCCGCGTGCGAAGTGAAGCTCCAGGCGCGAGGCGAGAAAAAAAAGGCCGCGCCTCGCCGCGGACGCGCGGGGAAGTCCAGCGGAGACGGAGCGACGACTGCCGACGCCGCGGACGCAGCCAACCCGTCAACGCGTAGCAACGAGCAGCAAGCGAGCAGCACCTCGGAGAAAGCAACCCGCCAGGCCGGCAGGCCGCCGGGCAGGCAGTGTGCCCGCAACAAGGCGGCCTCAGCCTCAGGCAACGCCAGGCAACAGGCAACGCCGGTTCTGTTGCGGCATTGCGCGAGTGTGTGCGTGTGTGTGTGTGTGTGTGGGGGGGGGGGCGGTCACCGTCAATCCCCCAACCCAATCCCCCGCCAGGTGCAAAGCGTCAAATCTCACTTTTACGGAATGTCCATAAGCCGGCCATCACACCACCTGGCGGGCGCCGATAGGGCCGAACGCGCCAAAGTGTGGCGAGCCGGAGGCTGAGGCTGAAGCCGCCCACAAGCATAAGCGTTGTGCGGCCAGACAAGCACTGCCCTTTTCCGGAGCCCGGCTTGCTGGCGACCGATAACGCCTGTGAGGTAGGCCACTGGCTCGGCCCGGAAGACGCCGGTGAAGAGACGGTGGCCCACCTCGCGCCTGACGTCCTCACAGGGGCGAGGTAGGCCGCCGGCTGCGCGCCGGTGTGTCGCGGGACGGAATGGTGGCCTACCTCGCAGGCGCTACAGTGGGCAGAACCGCTCCGAGATACGCGACTCTTCGGAAACCCTGAGATAAAGTAGCAAAGTCATCGCGGATGAATCAGCCTCGTACTGCCTCTCTGCGGACTCGAGAAAACTTTGAGACGGAAAAGACTAGCAGGACGGCCACCGGAAACACTGACCTTCCTCTGGGCGTGGCGGAGGGCCACCCTCCTGACCTCGTCGGCCACCATGGGCGCGCGGAGCAGGCGGCGAAGCGCGGGGTCGCGGCGGACCTGCACTGAGTTCAGCTCGTGCATCATGGAGCGGAGCGGGAGCGGGCCATCCCGGGGCGTCGCGTCGCGTCGCTGCAGCCAGACACACAGTCTGTCACCGCGGTGTCGCACTGCCGCAGGTGCTAACCAGGAGGATGTTGTTGTTGTTGTCCTTGTCGCGTGCGTCGCGTGCCTCCCGCCCGTCGGTACAGTCAGGTCGGTCCGGCAGCAGCAGCCTGCCTCGGCGAAAACGCGGCGCGGCCCGGCGTCGAACCGCGGTCCTCGCGGCGTGGGTGCCCTGCGGCGGCGACCTGGAGTGTCCTGCGCGCGGCGGTGGCGGTCGCGCGTCGCTAGACAGGACGTGAACCTGGTTTGACCGGTAAGCCGTCGACCGGGCGTCGGGGCACGGCCAGGGCGGCGAGGGCGGCGACACGGCACGGCGTGCCCGGGCCCTCCCTGCAGGGCGCGCGCGTGTACTGCCGCGGACGGTACGGGCCTACGGGCAGCCACGCCGTCCACGGCACACTTGCGCCACTATCGCGGCCAATCTTCGCGCCGTGCCGTGCTGTGCCGAGCGCTGCCTGCACGCCAAGCGAAATGACTGATAAAGGCGGAGCGGCTGATCCCCTACGATGCCAGCACTGCGCGGGCATAAACGCAGCGCGGACAGACAGACGGACAGACTGCCGAACCGCGCTGCCGAACAGTCGGGCGGACGGACAGACAGACAGGCAGACACGCGGACGGAGGAAAAGGCGACAAGAAGTCTCGGCAAACTCGTGTTTTGAAGAAGAGTGCGTATTTCCCTTGCAAATTGGGCGGCAAATCCAAACTGGCCCGCGGCGCTCGGCGGGGAAGGGAAACTGATGATAAAACTCGCCCCCTTCCACCGCGCCACGCGTCTCCTGGAGAGTCTCTCTCGCACCCCCGCCGGGCCGCACGGGGCGCTCCGTGAGTGCGAGGGAGACGCCTTACTTGTGCTTGCAGTCCGGCGCCTCCACCTCCAGCACGCCCAGCACGCATGGCGGGGGCGCGGCGACGCAGTCAGCTGTCCGCAGTGCGTGGGCCTGGCCGGCCTGTGTGACACACTGTGTGGCGCACTGTGTGGCACACTGGGGCCGGGCCCGCGCCGCCAGAGAGTGCTCTCTGGAGGGCAGCAGCTGCAGCCGCGGCGGGGAGGCGGCCGGACAAGCGGAGCCAGTGGACCGCCTCATATCGGATTCGGATCCCAAACGAAAACATGACACACGGAACTTTGACCCGGCCCCGACCCCGATCCGCGTCGCCGTCGTCGCCGTCGTTGTCCAGGAAAGAGACACTCCCCCGGGGACTTCATGGATAATTCTCGTGCCAGTAATGCGGGGCGGCGCGCGGCGGGTCAAGCTAGCCAACCCGCCATGAAATATGCATCAGCCGTTCTGCGTTCCGCTCCTTCCCGCGGAGACGAGTAAAATTGAAGGCGAGCACGACGCCGCTCAAAGTTTCCACAAACAGTCGCGTCGTTGCGTTAGGGCGGAGTGGCGGCGACTTTGGAGAAGTGCGAATCTCAACGGGGAAAGGAACGACGGAACCGGAACTCTCGTGGCCTGCTCGCTCCGCCGCGACGCAAACCGTCCCGCCGTGCGTGTGAGGGGCCGCCGTAAGCGACAGCGGTTTATGCACGCGGCGCTACGCCGCGCCGGTGGAGACTCTGTGCGCGAGCGCGGAGTATCGCCGCCCAGCCGTCCGCCAAAGCAGCGCGGCGCCAGGCGCCCGCAGCCGCCAGGGTAGGCAACCCAGGCGACGCGCAGGGCGAGCGGACACGACGGCAACCTTAAGGCGGCGGCCTTGGACTGCACAATTCATGGAAGCACCCCGGTTCTTAATTTGACTTCCAAAGAAATTGTTTTTGCACCGCCTTTATTGGACAGCTCCGTTTCCATCGACATTTTCCAGGCGTGGGTTGAGGAGCCGATGTACCGCTGTGGCGCTCCGATAATATCGAATAATCCCGGGCGGGGCTGCGTCTTTCTCTCTCGCACCCGCTGCGGCCGTGCGGGACGGCCCGCGAGTGCGAGAGAGACGGGGCGACGACGGCCGTGCTCGGAGCCAGCCCGCTGCCCTGACGTGGCCCTAATCGTTTCCGGGCCCTTCCATTTGTCCGCTGGCGGCACGCCAAGGGCCGCCAGGGCCGCCCGGCCCTAACCTTACCAACCTCACCAACCTCGCCAGCCTGAAGGGCACGCCGCACAGTGGGCCAGAAGACCGGTGGAGGCGGCCAAAACTCTAGACGCGTTTTGAGCTCCAGAGTCGCTAAACAGGACTCGAACCGAACGTGTGACCCCACCAATGGACTCCTCGTTCGGAGAGCAATCCACTGATGGGGTCAAACGTCCGGTTCGAGTCCCGCTTAGTGACTCTGGAGCTCAAAACGCGTTTGGAGTTTTGGCCACCTCCACCGGTCTTCTGGCCCACTGTGCAGGTCCGCAGCAGGGTGCGAGAGAGAGGGAAGCCGCCTGCAGCCCTACAGTGGGTCGACAAGCGACAGCCAAGCGGCCGGGACGGGAAACACTTGACCGCCGTAACGTCCACGTGAGCACCAGAGAATCGTTTCAATAATAAAAGGCTGGCGCCATCAAATCGCGGAGCACTCGCGCCGTCTCTCTCGCACTCGTAGGGCGGGCCGTTCGGGTGCGAGAGAGACAGCGGGGGCGGCGGTAGGTCGATGCCTTCCGGGAAGGAAGCCTGGCAGGCACTGCACCGACCCGTCGCTCAGAAATGCCGATGGAACGAGGGAAGCAGGGAAAGCCAGGAAGGCCAGCACAGCCGGCGATGTGTTATTGTGAGCTATTTTTAAAGCACGGCGCCGACGCTGTGTGGCACACAGTGCGGCGGCAGACCAGCTAGACCGGGGCACCTCGGAAAGGCATGCCTAAGGAAACCGAGAGGACCTAGTGAACGCACCCATCACAGACAACCTCTATCAGGTGGAGAACCCACGTCAGTGGGGAGGAGTATGAAGAAATACCGTAGTACTTACACGATGGCCCGGTTCAACGCTCACCAGCAGAAACAATATTTAAAGATGATACTAACCCGTCGTTCCTCTTCCTTGGCGGCGCGAAGGTGCGACTCGATCAGGTCCAGGTCGATCCGCGGCATGGCGGTCTCGATGTTGTACACGTCGAAACCCCCTGGAACCCCAATGGACAAAGTTGTAATAAAAACAATGACTGCAAAGAGCAGAGTGGCGTGAGAATCAGCAGGTCTAGTCGGAAAGTTCCGTCGGGATTATGTTGGTCGGTAAATCTGAATAATCAAAATGAGATTCGCAGTTACGCTGCTCGACTGATTCAACGGACTTTACAAAACAATAGCGAGAACTGCGGGCTTCGACTTGCCTTTTCCCGGACAGTGCACTGTAAAACATGAATCACCTAGGATCTCGAGGGAGGAGCGCTTCTTGTGGCCGGCGGCGGCGGCGCCGTAGCCGTGGTGGGCGTGGTGGGCGTGGTGGCCCGCCATGGACAGGCGCCTCTCGGTGCGGTCCGAGAGCGGCATGCCGCGCGCCTTGCGCAAGTTCATGGCCATCTTCTCCTTCTTGCGCGGCAGCGTCTCCTTCTCCGCGGCCTCCTTGCTGAACTTCTCCTCCTTGTCGAGCTCCATGTCCTCGACGCGGTTCGAGTCCTGCTTGTCCTTGCGGTGCGGGTGCGGCGCGGGCGCCGCCTTGGCGTGCTTGGCCGCGAGCGGCGCCAGCTTGGCGGGCAAGAAGTCCCTGCTGATGGTGAGGTCCTCCTTGGCGGAGGACAGGAAGGCGTCCGCCATGGCGGCGGCGAGCTTGGGCTTGTCGTAGAGCGCCTTCTTGCTGCAGCCGAGACGGTCCTGGTTCACCAGGTCGAACTTGCAGTCATCCTCCAGGTTGATGTTGTTGTTGAAGTTGGTCGTCAGGTTGTTGTTATTGTTGTTATTATTGTTGTTGTTGTTGTCCTCGTCGTCGTCGTCGTCCTCGCAGTCCGAGCCGGCCGCCAGCTTCAGCAGCTTGGCGGCCAGGTGCTCGAAGCCGGGGTAGTTGGGGTTGACGATGCCGTACTCGTCGTCGGCGAGGGGCGTCGGGGAGGCCGCCGCCGACGTCGACGCGCTGCTGGACGAGGACGAGGACGGGTCGACGGCGAGGTTGCGGCGGTTCGCGTCGGAAAGATCTAAAATAATCAGAATCATAGCAGAAAAGGTTAACACTTTGCAATCAAGCAGTGCTAGAACTTGCCGCCGTGGTACACTGGTACACTGCTTACCCTGGCGCGCGTTACCGCCGCTGCGGATGTTGCGGCAGCCCCTCAGGGGCCTGGCCGTGTACCCAGCGTACCCAGTGTAGCCCTCGAGGGGCGCGCGGGCGGGCCGGCACGGCCGACCCAAATTCTGTAGTTTCGTGTAGTCCTCCTCGATGGCGCGGGCCCTGCTTGCCTTGCTTGCCTTGCTTTGTCCCGCGCGGATGGACTCCCATATTGTGCTGCTGGAGAAGAAAGGCGTTAGAATGAAGCACGGCCCAGGGGCCCGACAAGGGGGCGGCGGGGGGGCGGCGAGGGGGCGGCGAGGGGGCGGCAAGGGCCCGGAGGGAACCGCTGTTGTGGCGCTTGGTCTGCTGCCAGTACAGGCCGCCCCGCCTTTTGCCTACCCTCCAAACCATCTCACTGGACTGCCACACTGCTACAGGCAACGGCTGCCTGCATCTGGGATCGCGGACTCGGCGTTGCCCCCCCCCCCCCCCGGCCTGTCCATTGCATGACTACGGAATCGAGCGGCGCCCTCCACTATTTATGTCGCGAGAACGCGTTCCATTCCGGGTACCTCACTGAACAGGCCGGGTCTGCCTACACTGTTCAATTTTCGCTCATCATTTCATGGGAACGCCAGGGCCGATTTTCTTGACGAATATGCCATCAAACCAGTTCATGACTTTGAGCAATCGAGAATAAGCAGGTGATGCTGTCACTTCGTGTCACTTGCCTGTCGTTGAAGTTGGGCTCGTTGCTGTTGCAGTCCTGCAGCCCCGAGTTGCACCTGGGTGGGAGCAGACAGCAATTAGAGACGAGTCTGGAGCGGCGGGGTCTCTCGCATTAACGCCTCATTAATGCAAGAGTTGTTTTTTTTTCGTCGGTAAAGTTTGCAGAGCACGCGCTTTAAAAGCTTTAGCATCCCCAACACCTCTTTAACTTGCTTTGAACTATTTGCGCCTCCCCCTTACTCATACATGCGACGAGCACTTCTCTCTCTCTCTCTCTCTCTCTCTCTCTCTCTCTCTCTCTCTCTCTCTCTCTCTCTCTCTCTCTCTCGCACGGAGGCGGCGCGCACACCTGCACCCCTCCAGCCCTTTTACGCTGCTCGCCCGAAAGGGCCGAAAGGGGAGAAAATTATCTCTTCCTCGCTGCCCTTTTTAAGGGCTTTGCTGGCTTTGGCGCTTGCAGCCCCCCCCCCCCCCGCTATCGCGACGTCACAATGTCGTTAGCGCCGCGCAGTGCTCGCAGTGCTGCCCTCTGGCGGGGAAAGGGTGCACTACGGCAGATTAACAAAAGTTAGCAGGCGGTGCAACGGTGGGGGCGGGCACCCCTGGGCACCCCGCCCTGATAGACGACTCCCCTTCTCACCCTGGACCAGAGAGAGCCGCGCCAGGACGCCGGGACCGGACTAGGACACTGACAAGTCGACCTTCGAGTGAGCCAGCTCGGAAAAATAAAAGAAGAGGGGAACTGGATACGCGCGGGTCGGCTCATTTTTCATACTCACGAATTTGGCCTAGACTCCGCTGCAGCCAGGGGTGCCATCGAGTGCTTCAGACGCATGGCGGAGGCCTGGAACAAAAGACAAAGACCAGTGAGAAATGTTGTCGAGCAGGTTTCCGTAATTTCTGTTTCAAGTTTCCGGAAATCAAGTGGCAAAAGAATAATGACAAAAAAGACGGCGAACAAGGAGTGTCCTGAAGCTAGCCACGTCGCGGACGGTCGCGGACCGAAGGGGGTGGGGGAGGGGGAAGGGGTGACGAGGATGTGGTTCAAAGCATGTCGCCTCGCCGGCACTCAGACACCGAATTTGCATGTCAAACGAATCCGAATCTGAATCTAAATCCGAACCAGCATCTGAATCCGAACCCCCGAGGGGATCCGTGTCCTCGTCATCTTGGCCCTGGACTCTGTTCGCTCTGTTGCTGCGCCGCCCCGCCCCGTCGGCCTCGCCCAGGAAAGGGGTTGTAAACCTATTCGGAAAACGAGTTCCGTTATGGGGAAACAAAGAGGAACGATGGAGTGGATGGGGCGGAAGGGCCTCAAAGAAAGTCTTAATTGCTGCGAAATTGGAGGAAATGGACGGCGACCGGGGCGGCCGGGCTCTCGAGCGGCGACGACAGGGGGAGGGGGAGGGGAGGGGAGGCCTACCGCACAGAATATTGCCAGCACAGCCCCTCTTCGGCCTGGGCGGCCCCGGGCGGCCCCGCACCCCACTCCACAGTTTGCAGCACTGGTGTCAAAGAGCTCTTAAACCGGGCCGTAACCCTTCCACGCCCCGCCCCTCCCCGCCCCGCCCCTTCGCGAACCACGGCAGTCCTCTCGGCCGTCATCGCTTGGACGCATCCCGGAGTGCGTACACGGGAATACAATATACGCGCCCCCAGCGCGGGGAGAGTCCCGGACAGGCGGGAGAGGCACGGAGAGGCAGCGCCACTGTGGGGAATCATTAGACGGGCCGGGCCCAGGAGGATCGATTTGAATGAAGTCGGGAGGGGCGGAGGGCAATACCTTGCCTGGCTCGCCGTGGATCGCCGTGGCGTGATGACGCAGGCTGTGACGTCGCCGACCACGCAGCACGCAGAGTCCGGGCCGAGGCCACGAAGTGCGAGTCCCAGCCCGCGCGTCCGAGCGTCCGCGCGTCCGCGCCGCGGGGACGCGTTAAAGTTTAATCCTCGTTTTCTAAAAACGGCCCGGCCAGCCCTTTCTTGCAGTGGGCTGCCCTGCATCATGGACTGCATAACGGGCAGGTCATCCTCTCAGTCCGCCCCCGCAGCGCCGGCAGCGCAGCCCCTTGGGGGGCTTCCCTCACGGCAGGGCCTGCTCGAGCACTGTGAGGCCGCTGGGACCCCAAGGGGGCGCCCTGCCACGCCCCGCCACGCCCTGCCACGCCCTGCCAGCCTCAGGCCACACCATTCCCAGAGAATTAACAGACCCGCTGGGTTAGGTTAGGCCACTGGACCGCCGTGGAGAAGAAGCGGAAGTAATCACAGTGTACTGCCAGGTCGCTGGCCGGGACGAATCGAATGTCGATCGGGCGAGCGAAGCGACAAAAAACCGGACCTGGCCGAGGTTGTGTGCGGTGCCCTAGGGTGCCCTAGGGTGCCCTAGGGTTCCAAAGGGCCAGCTGCACTTGTCCGGTCGATATGTGCCCCGAGCGTTGCCTGCACGCCAGGCCAGCCCGTCCTGGCCACGCCAAGGCCCCGGCCCAGCCAGGCACACAGTGGGCCAGAAGGCAGCCAGAAGGCCGTTGGAGGCGGACAAAACTCTAGACGCGTTTTGAGCTCCAGAGTCGCTAAACAGGACTCGAACCGAGCGTGTGACCCCACCAATGGATTCCTCGTTCGGAGAGCAATCCATTGGTGGGGTCACACGTTCGGTTCGAGTCCCATTGAGCGACCCTGGAGCTCAAAACGCGTCCGGGATTTTGGCCGCCTCCACCGGTTGTCTGGCCCACTGTGAGGCCAGCCAGGCCGGAAAGCCAGGCAGGCCGACAGCGGGACCAGCAAGGAAAACAAAGACTGCTTCACGTACTTGATGAGAAATGAGACTGCAGACTGCAGTGCCGACTCCCACGAGGGAACGGCTGGCAGGCCGGCGGCGGCGGGGGCGGGGGCACTGAGCCGAGGGGAGGGGAGGGGGTGGACATTCCGAGGACGTCAACTCAGATCCTAGCGACGCGCGGCGCGCAGCGGGTGGAAAACTTGCTCTCCTCTCACCGAATATCCGCTACATTTCGGCCATGAAACGAGACGACCAACACGAATCACCTTGAAAGCCCGTGCCCGAATAAAATAAAATGGACGCGACGCGCTCTGCTCTTTCGGTGGCTGTGGTCCTCAGTGTCGCTTGCAGAGGTAAAAGAAGAAAAAAATGGAACCGTTTCACGTTTCTCCGTTTTCGCAGTCTTTGGTTTTGGAGTGACATGACATACTCCTCGCGGTTGCAACCGTAATGTGTCCAATTTGGGGCCGGCCGTGTGGAGCGTGCGAGCTGCACTGCCTCTGGACGCGTCATTTTCGGGCACGGCTCGCGGCCCACCGCAGTGACGGCTTCCCACGCGGAATAAAAAAAATAGAGAGAAAGAAAGAGGAAGAAAAGCTGAATAAGACGAAATGATGAAGTCTAACCGGCGCTGTCAAATCGCATTTCGAATCTCCGTGCCGATGCGCGCGGCCTGGCGGGGGCCTGGCGGGGGTGTGCGAGTGTAACGGGGCGAACAAAGCCGCCGGGCTGCGTCCGAGTCTGTCTCTCTCGCACCCCCAGGCCGCCCCGGGCCGCCCTGTGGGTGCGAGAGAGACAGAGCGACTGGTGGCTCCTGCCGTCATGTCAATAACGTCAGAAGCCGCCCCGCCCGCGTCAATCATGACCACCACCACCACGGCGGCGGCAGGGCAGGGCCGGCAGGGCCACACGTGAGCAGCAGCAGCGTCGCTCTGTCTCTCTCGCGCCCCCGCGGCCGGCGGGCGCCCTTCGAGTGCGACAGAGACGGAGCGTCGCCGTTCGCGGAATCAGGCTGCACGAGGGCGCGGGGAAGCGCGAAGATTTTGCCGGGGATTTGGACGAGCGGCGCGGAACACGCGCCAACGAATACGCGCAGCTGTCTCTCTCGCACTCGCACGCCACACGGAGCGCCTCGCGAGTGCGAGAGAGACAGTCGCCTCCACGTCGCGGCGGATGATGGAAATAAGGCCATTACCTCGCGGAGGATGGAAGGCGCGCCAAAATGTCACTTTGGTTTGCGCAACCACTCCCTCAAGGTAGGGATCAGCCGACACGGCGACACGCCGACTCGGGAGGCACACCGTAATGCTATTAAAGTATTCCCCGCGCTCTGAGCTTCGGGCGGCTTCGGGGGGCCCGGCATGGAAAGGGGGAGGGGGAGGGAGTAAGGTCAAGCGGGGAGGCCCAGCACGGGGACGAGGCCTGCTAGGGCGACTGGCTGGGAAACTACCGTAGACTGCCGGAACACGCTGGACGTTTGCTGGAGGCTCACTGGAGGCTCACTGGAGGCCTGCTGGAGAGAGACAGCCGGGCAGCTAGCTGCGGAGAAGCAGGGACTAAGTAAAGTGTCCACGTTTCCAGCGAATCCATTCTTTGGCCACCGCTGCACTGCAAGTTTTAACAGTGACGCAGAGAGCCACGGCGCGGGGAAGCGGTCGGGCTTTGCTTAATGAGTGGAAACGGCTGGCCTCAATGTGTGTGTATGTTGTATGTAGATTGCGTATGTGTGTGGGTGTGCGAGTGTCGTGGGCTTTCAGACAAAGTAGGTCACTTGCACGCCCCGGGCTGGCCTGCGCGCCCCGCCCCCGCCCCTTCATGCCGCCACTTGCAACTACTGAACACACCTAGAGACGAAAACGCTTGGCCAGAGTGCGCGCGCTTCCCGGCCGCCTCCCTCCGAGGGGCTGCGAGGGGCTGGGGGTGCAAATGCAACGTCCGTGTTGCACTTACAGTGCCCCGGACTGGCGTGTGGGCTTGTTTGCTACGCTGTCAGCCCGTCAGCCCGCAGTGCACCGCGCCCGTCAATTCCATACACCGTCAAAAACAAAAGTTACCACCGAGCTAAAAAGGGCTATGAAAGGGACTGTGTCTCGCTGCTTTGTTTAAGTTTCCGACGGCAAAAAGTGGGGCGAAAAAAAATTTGGTTGTGAGGGATGTTTGCCGCCACTCGTTTAAAGTACAAAACGCTACAAAATTCGACTTTCCCGTCCGTGTACACCGTAGTCGCGTGTGCGTGGCGCCTGGCGTGACGCGCGGTCCGTCCGCTGCCTCTGTCCGCCTGTCTGCCTGTCTGTCTGTCTGTCTGTCTGTCTGTCTGTCTGTCTGTCTGTCTGCCTGTCCGTCTGTCCGTCCGTCCGTCTGCACTCGGCACGGGTTTGGCGGCGGCACGTCCCGCTCGTATGTCGACAGAGGCCTACCCTACCCACCCCGCCCTCCATCACGCGAGGGCGCGGCGGGGCGGGGCGGGGCGGGGCGGGGCGGGGCGGGGCGGGGGCGGGGCGGGGTGGAGGTAGGCGATGCAATTTCCCCGTTATTCCCAGCCATTCGCGGCCACACTATCAGTATGCATCATCGTTAGCACGTTCGGCTCGGCCCGGCCGGAGTGCGTGGGCGGCGTGGACGAGACCCACCATGATTGGAGAGACCGTCCAATTACAGTGCAGTGGAGACTCAAAGAAAAAAACACAAAAAAATCCCACCCTGCGTTGTCCGAATTGGCCTCGAAACACGAAGAAAGAAGCTCCGTGGCTCCGCTTGGCCCCTCTCCGATGGAGGATGGAGGACGGTGGGGGAAACGGCCATAAATGGACCTCGCCAAGTGGATGAGGAATCCGACATTTCCTGGTCCCGGCCTGGCGGGAAGTTGGGGAGGGGGAGGGGGCCTTGTCGCTAGGGAAATAGATGATGTTCGCGCGCCCCCTGTAGACGGCGTCTTGCAGCGGCAGGAGCGGAGCAGAAAAAAAAACACTTCTGGAGGCGTCAGTGCGTGAGTCGGGCCGCCGCCACGCCGCTACACTCGCTGGAGGCTCCAGCACGCCTCCCTCCCCGACGGGCCGTCGCGACAATCGAGAGGATACATCAACTACAATTTGCCCAATTTCCCCGGCCGTCCCGCCGAGCGTCGCGCCGTTCCGTCGTTCCGCCCGCAGCGGTCCCTCGAGTAGCATGCCAGCGGCCCGCGCGCCTTCACGCCGACAGTGGAGGCGCCGGAAGCGGCGCCAGCGACGGGCGAGGGCCACGCCGAAAGGGGTTGGCCCTGGCGACGGCGGTCCGGGACGATCCGGGGTCCACGACTATCCTGGGTCTGCGGTGACGGGGTCCACGGTGACGGGGTCCACGGCGACGGGGTCCACGGTGACGGGGTCCACGGTGACGGGGTCCACGGTAACGGGGTGCTCGACGATGGAGTCCATGATGGCGGAGATCCACGCCTCGCCAAGTTTTAACCGTGCATTTGAGCGTTATGGCGTCATCTCGCTGCTAGAGAGAGGGAGAGAGAGAGAACCTCTGGACCAAGGGGCGCAATCTCAGCGGGTGCGAGGGAGACAGAGAGAGAGACAGAGGGAGACATTCAGCGGCCGCTGCACTCGCAGTCAGTTAGATGAAGATGGATTTAAGGGGAGCATCGTTCTTTCGGGCAGCTCCGAGCGAGGCACGAGAAAAAGGAGAGAAAGAGAAACGGATGAAACAAGCTAAAACGGCGATGACGAGAGAAGGACAAGGAAAGGCAAAGGACAAAAGGAATGCCGGCAAGGACGAAGGGAGAGCCAAAAGGGCGGCCGTTTTAATACGCCCTCCGGCCTGCCAGCCCTGCTCTCTGCCCTTGACCACAAGGATGCAGCTGCGTGCGTGGGCCCGGCGGCCCGGCGGCCCGGCGGCCTGGCTCTGGCTGGCCGAGTGGACGTTTGGTGGCGTCCGGGACTCGTCCATAATGCACGAGTCAATACGCCGTCTTGGCCATGCCTCGGCGATGCTGGGGGCCCCGCGGGGGGCCGTGGCGTGGGGCCGCGCCCCGGCCGCGCCCCGGCCGTGCCTAGCAATGTCTTCCACGCCACCACACCGCAAAAAAAAAAAAAAAAAAAAAAGAAATTGAAAAGGACAGAGCGAGTGACTGCGTTAGGAGGTTCAAAAAAGACCTTTAACAAGTGGGGCAAGTTGAACGAGGCTGGCGCCGGGCGGCGGAGAGGGAACTCGAGTTAAATGAATCTGCTGGCACTCGCCCTGCGCCGCCCTGCGCGCGCGACACGCCGAGTGGAGTGCAATTAGAACATTTTGGTTGTGTACACTGTACTCTGAGTGAGGCAGCGCAGCAGCGCCAGCCAGCCTGCCAGCCAGGCGCCGGCACACTGGCAAACAGACCCAAGATGAAGAGCTGTTCCCACTTGCGCGACGACGACGCCAGGCGACGCCGGGCGACGCCAAGACAGCCCTGCCCCAGCGCGACGACCCGGCCAGTTACGTGCTTGTCGGGCCGGGCGGCGTGATAGACTGCTTTGAGGCGGCGGGGAGGCCAGGGCCAGGCGGCCACCGCGCGCACGCCTGCACACGATTCACAACATGAGGGCCCCGGGGCACGGCCAATGGCACGGCCGCGACACAATAAGGATGCCAGCGATGTGGAGCCTCGGGGAGGAGGAGGGGGGAGGGTCTTTTTTTCGCAGGCACCCACGCAGCAGTGCGGCCGAATAGAAGAAGGGGGACTGCGCGCGGCGTTGTCGAGCTCGGTGGCTCTGCGAAGAACTTCCCGTGCCCGGCTACCATGCCCACTTCAGCAAAGCACTGCGAAGCTTGCGAAGCTGCCGAGCGCCTGCGGTCCGCGAGGTAGGCAACCCGCACCGCCGCCGCGCGTCGCCAGCGCAGGTGCGGCCTACCTGCTGGGCGGCCGGCCACCACGGCGACCACCGCGACGCGGCACGCTGATCACGTCCTTGTTCTTGTGGCCGGTGCGCGCGGTGCGCGGGGGCGCGGTGTCGCCCGGGATCGGGGGATTCATTCAAGGGCAAAGGGTCACGGAGCCCCGCTCGTCCACACGCAGCCCCCCGCCAGGCCGCGGCCGGGCCGGCCCGGGACGTGCCGGGAATGCCGTGCCACGCCGCCTCGGCCGCAGCCCTTCCTCACCTCGTTGCCCGACTACTATCACCGTAATGCCTGCTAAGTAGGGCTCCGACTGGGAGTGGCACTCCAGGAGTCCCGGACGCGGAGGAGGACCGCGAGGCCTTCTTGCGCTTCGCGGCGTGGCCCGCTTGCCCGACCGGCCCTCCCCCGGGAGAGTCCTTCGGGAACCCTCAGGAGGCCCTTGCGCAGTCCCCCAGGAAGCAGGAGGCCTTTAGAGCAAACGCCCTGCACTCCAAAATATTTTGCAAAAAGTTTTTTTAGGGGTTTGCAAGAACCCCCATTGTCACCCCCTAAAGGAAGGCTCAAAGAGTACCCACCCGTTGAGGGAGAACGATTAGACGCCTTAGATTAGATGCAGTGGCTGCCTAAAGTCAGCCCAAGCCACGATTTCTGCGCATTTGTTACCGTTTCGACAAACTTTGCTGCAATACTGCTCCCAAACTAAGGCGGATAATCGCACTCCGTAACAAAGGTGTTCTTAAGGAAGGCCCAAAGAGTACCCACCCGTTGAGAGAGAACGATTAGCCACCTTAGATCAGACGCAGTGGCTGCCTAAAGTCAGGCCAAACCACGATTTCTACGCATTTGTTACCGTTGTGACAAACTTTGCTGCAATACTGCTCCCAAACTAAGGCGGATAATCGCACTCCGTAACAAAGGTGTTCTTAAGGAAGGCCCAAAGAGTACCCACCCGTTGAGAGAGAACGATTAGCCACCTTAGATCAGACGCAGTGGCTGCCTAAAGTCAGGCCAAACCACGATTTCTACGCATTTGTTACCGTTGTGACAAACTTTGCTGCAATACTGCTCCCAAACTAAGGCGGATAATCGCACTCCGTAACAAAGGTGTTCTTAAGGAAGGCCCAAAGAGTACCCACCCGTTGAGAGAGAACGATTAGCCACCTTAGATCAGACGCAGTGGCTGCCTAAAGTCAGGCCAAACCACGATTTCTACGCATTTGTTACCGTTGTGACAAACTTTGCTGCAATACTGCTCCCAAACTAAGGCGGATAATCGCACTCCGTAACAAAGGTGTTCTTAAGGAAGGCCCAAAGAGTACCCACCCGTTGAGAGAGAACGATTAGCCACCTTAGATCAGACGCAGTGGCTGCCTAAAGTCAGGCCAAACCACGATTTCTACGCATTTGTTACCGTTGTGACAAACTTTGCTGCAATACTGCTCCCACTCTCCTCGTTCGGAGAGAAATCCATTGGTGGGGTCACACGCTCGGTTCGAGTCCCATTTAGCGACTCTGGAGCTCAAAACGCGTCTAGAGTTTTGACCACCTCCACCGGTCTTCTGGCCCACTGTGGGCCGGCTGCTCCGCTGCTCGGCGCTCTCCGTGACTCAAGGCGGATTATTTCTTCCGCGAATGAGCCCGGCAGCGCGCAGCGCGTCATCAAGTCCAGATGTCCAATCCGGCCTGGCGAGGCCGTCTGCTCCCCACCCCCTTTCTCATTCTCGTCGCACTGTCAGCGCTCTAGGCCCGCTGCCAACTAACTTTACCCCATAAAGCTCTCGTAAAGCCCTGCTCAAGGCCGCCCGGCGGGGCTCGGCCGGTATCACAGTGGGGTAGCGCCCGGCGGGGCGCACCTACACCAGAAGGTGGGGTAGTCGCGGCGGCCCGGTCCACCGCCAGGTTGCCTTTCCACGCGGACATGCAAATCTCACTCGGAGCTAATAATATCGCATCGAGCGACCCGGAAGGGTCGAGGGCTGAGGACGCCGCGGTCGCCCTCAGCGAGGGCCAGGTGAGGCCATGGAGGGCGGGGCAGTCGGGGCGGCCGGGGCGAGCGTAGCGCGCAGCGCGCAGGGCGTTGACAGCGACAATTACAATGCTTAATGGCTCGGCTCGGCCGGGCTATCGACTCCCGCGAGCCCTCTAATGCCAAATAAGCCCCACCAGGCCGGCGGGCCGCAGCCGTGGAAAGCCAGGGGCCGGCCATAAATCGACTTGGCGGTTTTCGGCAGCGCGGCGGGGCTAATCTTTCCCGCATTCATTAGGTGGAGCGGAGCGTGCCGCCGCCAAGTTTCTTTCACGCTCGCTTCCAGCCGCCGGCCGCTTGCTGGCCGAGAGGGCGGCCGAGAGGGCGGACGGAAGCATCCCCGAGCATCCAGGACCCACAGCACCAGCAGCAAGCCGCGGCAGTGACCTTTGAAACTCATTGGTCGGTGGAATCACACTCACAGGCTAGAGCTAGGTCACAAAAACGGCGGAGGGGTCTACGATTCCGACTCGGAGCTTGACCCGAACGAGCTTACCATTCCCTTCGGGATGGGCCTTCAGTACGACGGCGGCGTTGTCGGCGGCATGGGTCGCGTCCTCCAGGACTAATATCGGTTGCCCCCCAACCACCGCCTGCGCGGCATGCCTCGCCACGCGGCCCGGCACACGCACGCACGCACGCACGGGCGAGCGAACCGACCGCCGCGCACGCACGCGCGAGCACGACAAGCTCGGGACGAACGAGGCCGGGACTGCGGCCTAGAGACGCGACCAGCCCGACCGTGTCCTGTCTGCCAGAGCCTGGCAGAGCAATGCCCACCCGGACGCCCGGCCCGGCGCCCCCTCGGCCGCGGGGGGGGGGGGGGGGATTGGTTCCCCGACGCCCCGGCAGGCGGCGCTGTTCGCAGCGCGGCGCAAAAGACGCGGGGTAGCGGCGCCGGGCAAAACCCATGTCCATGCCCCTGCCGCGGCAGAGTCCTCCTTTTCGTCGCTCTGTCTCTCTCGCACCTCAGGGGACGCCCCATGAGTGCGAGAGAGACACTCGCGGAATCAGTCTGCGGCGCGGCCGCCCCGCCGCCATCCGCGTTTCCCACGGCTTCTTATCCGTGCCGTGCCGTGCAGTGTGCCTTGCAGTGCCGTGCCTCCCCCGGCCCTCGCCCCGTCACCGCGGCCCGGCCGCCGAGTCCTCCGGCCATGTACCGGAATCCTGTCCGGATCCCCGGATCCGGTCGGGGAAGGGAAGGGGGAGTCCCGCGGCGTTATTCTCCAGGAAAGCCACGCCGCCGTGCCGCCCTGCGGGTCGTTTTCGTCGCTCTCTCTCGCACTCATGGGGCGTCCCCGAAGGTGCGAGAGAGACAGAGCGACGAAAACGTCTCCTGCCGTGCCCCGGGCACACTGCTCAGAGGAGTAGTGCAAGACGGGGGCGCAGTACACGAGCAGCGAAGGGAGGGAAACTCGAAAATTGTCACTTTTCGGTCCTCAGATCGCGGGGCATCCCGCGCGCAGTGACCGGGGGGGGGGGGGGCATCGGAACGACGAGGGACGACCCCGACCGCCCGCGGAGGAGCGGCAGCGAGCGGCAGCCTCCAAAAGGAGCAAAGTGAAAGTTTGCCAGAAAAGGAAGGAAGAAACTTGGTGTTGCTCCGAAACAAATACAGTGCACAGACACCCCTCATAGAAGTTGGCTTCCCCAGTGAAAAGTACTCCGAAGGGGTGACGCGAACGGGAAGGCCTGTCAGGACCCTCCTTCCCCTCGTCTGCTGTCCCGGAGTCCTGGAGTCCTGGAGTCCTGGAGGAAGGCGGAGCGGTCGGAGCGCCCGCCTCGTCTCGTCCTGGCCATGTTTCATTTATTTTTGAACACACCTGTCCTCCGAGGCGAGGGGATGGCCCCTGCAACAAAGTAAGAGCCCCACGCCACGCCGCGCCACGCCACGCCAAGGCACCTGCACTGCTCGGCCATAGGGATAAACTCATTAACCTGCGCGCTCAAGCGAGGTAGTGGGGTCGTCGGGCGGGAGTGGAGAGGCGCGCGGAGGGGGGGGGGGGAGGAGAGAAAGGGCGTAAAGGGAAGCGGAAGGGAAGCGGAAAAGATTGAAGAAGAAAGCGAAAAGGAAGCGCACAGCGCTAGCGGCAGAAAACCCCACGGGAGGGATGGCGAACGAAAGGGGGAGGGAAAGGAGACAAAGCAAATGTCTGAAGGAAACAAAATGAGACATATAATGGAAATAGAGGAAGCAGAAACACGAAAAAATAATAATAAAGTGAAACATAAATTGTAACACTTTCTCATATGAAATGAAAAGGAAAATACATGGATAAAAAAAGGGTGCGCGAGGAAGGAAAATAAAGGGAAGGCGTACGTGACACACTGTAAGGACCGAGGACCAGGGCCAGGGCCGGGGCACTGAGGCTGGGGTGCGGGGCGGCGCGGGGTAACGAGCCAATGTTTTACTTGGCGGGGGCGTAAAAATGAATGCTTTTACGGCTGATGCAGACTCGGTCCGGATCGGCAGGCCGGGGCAGGGCTGGGCCCCGTAGGCGTGGCAGGCCCAGCAGGCCGGGTGGTAAAGGGCCGCTAGAAGGGTCTCTTGAAGGGCCAGACGCGGCGGGGCGCGGCGGGGCGCGGCGGGGCGGGGCGACCTGTGCGGCGTGGGCACTGTAGGACATGGCGCGTGGGTGTGGCAATAACGGGACGGAGCGGGCCTGCTGCTGGCCGGGAACACGCCTATCTCCGAGGCGCCCACACCGCAGCGTGCAACGCGGTGGAAGCGGTGGAACAAGGTGGAACAACTCGCCCTCCGCACGGTGGGCCAGAAGAACGCTGGAGGAGGCCAAAACTCTAGACGTGTTTTGGGCTCGCTAAACAGGCCTCGAACAGAACGTGTGACCCCACCAATGGATTCCTCTTCCGGAGAGCAATCCATTGGTGGGGTCACACGTTCGGTTCGAGACCCATTTAGCGACTAGAGTTTTGGCCGCCTCCGCCGGCCTTCTGGCCCACCGTGCTCCGCCGCCTCCTCGGCGCACAGGGCCATGGCCGGGCGGCAAGCGGCACTTGCAGCGCCAATTCAGTGACACTTTGGCCACACGCTCGCATCAAGTCGACCGTTGGCCTCCCGCACGGTGTGCCTGGGCCTGGCTGGGCCTGGCCTGGCGTCGGACCTACTTCGCTTCGGACTCCCCCGACTAGACGACTCGGGACCTGTGGCGGCCTGGCAGCGAGCTGGGGTCACCCCACAGAGACACCGCGGGGCGCGGCGGGGCGCGGCAGGCCACGGCAGGGCACGGCGCGTGTAAACGAAAAATAATGTTTCACGAAAAAGAATTCCCCCGGCGGGGATAAAACAAGGTGCTTTATGTCTGCGTGGGGTTTGGCGAGCGCTGACACGCGAGGCGGGAGTGGAGAAAGGGGGTAGGGGTGGGAAAGAAAGACAGGGGGGGGGGGACTTGCGGTCTCGGCGGGTCTCGCCGCGGTCAGCGCCTGTGAGGTAGGCAACGCGCGGACACACCTGCTCGGCGGGTCGGCCTATCGCGCCGCCCGCAGGCGCCAACCAGGACCAACCCATGCCGAACGTCTGAGAGAGACTCTCTCCCTCGCACTGACGCGGCCCGCCCCGTGAGTGCGAGAGAGACGGAGCGCGGAATCAGACGGCGGGGCCGGCAGAAGAAAAGAAAGCAGCCAATAGAACGGCGGTGATGCCCCGGGGGGGCTAAGTGCAGCTGTTGGGTCGATATACAGGTGCAGGGCGGGAGGGGAGGGGGAGGGGGGCAGTACGACATGGAAGAAGAGGGGGGGGGGGAATTCGGGGGAAAGGCGGGGAGGGGAGGGGGTGTCCATCATAGGACGCGCCCTGCGCCGCTGCAGTGCACATGTCCGCGTCCACCAGGGCACGTACGCTCGTAAATCCCTGGCCACTATCAGGACGGAATAGAATCCGTTGCTTCGACGAGAACGATGCAGGGAAAGGGGGAGAAAAGAGGAAGGGGTGGGGGGGGGGGTAATCCGATATATGCTGGCGGGGCTGTATCATATCGTCGTGCTCAGTCTGGCGTGCGGCAGCGCTACCCCATCAGCGGCACGCGTGATTCGGCGTGTGTGTGTGTGTGTGTGTGTGCATGTGCGCGTTCGCTCAGTAGGCAGAAAAGAAAATGGATTGGAATGAGAACAGACGGAGCCAGGAGAGCCAAGGCGAGCCAAAGGCCCCGGCGGATCGCTTAAGCTGCACGAGTGTGCTAGAGTGTGGGGCCGTGGGGCCGTGGGGCGCCTGCTGGGTAGGCAAGCCCGCCGGACTGCATACCCAGCAAGGGGCCAGGCTCCACGCCTTGCGACGCCTGCAGCGCCTGGAACAGCGGGGCCGTGCACACCGTAAGTCAGCCCCAGTCTGCGGACCTGCTGCGGCCCGTGCCGGCTCGCCTGTGGCGCGCCTGGAAACGGGATAGCCAGCCCTCATGTTAAAGATGTTGCGCGCGCTTTTTTTTACTCCTCTCTTTCCTTCCTCGGCTGCCTCCCCTTTCTTGTTCCTAGCAAGGCCACAGGAGGCTGCTAAGGGCCCCCCCCGCCCCGCCCCGCCCCGCCCCGCCCCGCCCCGCCCGCCCCCCGCCACGCTCCGACACGCCTGGGCCTCGGTCGGCCAGGCTAGGCCAGGCCAGGCCAGGCCTGCGATAAATAACGGCTCGTTGGCCTATTTGCCGTGTCGCTGCAGACCTGCCGCGCCGTGCCGCGCCGTGCCGGAAGCGGCGTCACCGTGAAACCTCCAACCTCCGAGCGCGGGGCGAGGAGGGGGAGGGGGGGAGGCTCACCGCACCAAGCTCCTTGTGGCTGCCGAGCCGACCACACCCACACCTCCGGCTGTCCGTCTGTCTGTCTGTCTGTCTGTCTGTCTGTCCGTCCGTCCGCTCGCCCCCTCGCACGACTCGCCGTTCCCATCCCTCCACCATAAACGGTATGTTTCGCCAGCCGGCCGCCGCGCCATGGCGCCATCGAGAAAAGTTTGAATTGGTCGTTCCCCGGCCACCCTCGACGGGCTGAGGCCCGGCCCGTCCAGGCCTCAGCCAGGCCGCAGCCAGGCCTCGGCCTCCCCGAGCCCTGCGCCATCCTTCCCGGCCTCCATTGGCCCTTGCCAACAACCGGCGCGGCGTGGCACGGCGCTCACATCCCCATGAGCCATGAGCAGAATCTTCCCGAGCGCTGAGCGTGTCAACATGTAGCGGGCTTTGCTCCGCTGGCGTCCGCCCCCAAGGCTCGGCGTCGCGGAGTCTCGGACACCCATTCCGGCCGGCGGCGGGAACCGAACCACCGCCCGCCGGGCAGCGCCGGCAATGCAGCCATTCCAGCCGATGATGAACGCATCCCGACAAAATCCCGTCATTTTTCATGTCGTCGCAAAACGCCGTCGTAACTGGCCGACGGGGTCGGAAACGGGCGTGGAAGTGGTTTCGGCTTTCGGGCCGGCGATCTGGGCGGGGTGCTCCCGGGTTCGCGTCGACTCGAACCGAACGAGTGGCCCCCACCAATGGATTGCTCTCCGAACGTGGAATCCATTGGTGGGGTCACACTTTCTGTTCGAGGCCTGCGTGAGTCGCTGAGAGAGTCATTGATTTGCAGTGCTGTACACCTTTTGTGTGAGTTACTGCCCTCGGTCTGCCCTCGGGAGGGTGGATTCGAACCCCCCGCTCTAGAATGGATACGGCATGCATTCTCCAATCTCAGCCTCACACCAACGACCCCGTTCGCCCGGCGTTGTGATTGTTAAAACATGGCGGCGCGCTGGCTGGCTGGCTGGCTGGCTGGCTGGCGGGGCTGGAGGAGCGACGAAGAAAGAACCATGCAATCGACCTGGACCAGCAGCGGCTAGCAGCGGCCTAGTGGTTTCTGGTCTAGGATGGGAATAGGTGGAGCAGACACGCAGACAGACAGACAGACAGACAGACAGGCACATCGACCGACCGCCAAGAAGGGCAGACGAAACGATCATTTGGAGGAGACTGGCACTCTTCCAGAGAGGTCCGCGGTCAAAGTGAACTTGAAGAGAGGCGAAAAATTTCGATATGGCGTTAGCGAGCAGTGAGGGGCGGGAGGCCCCTGCTGCCCACGCTGTCCCGCAGCACGCCGCCATGCGCAGGGATGCCCACAGTGCAGGCGCTCCAGCAGTGTAGGCAGTCCCGGCCGGGGAGGCCGACGTCGGGCGACGACGGCCACCTCGACGGACACGTCCACGCCATCGTCACGTTGTCAATCACGGTCTCGATCGTCGGCCGTGGGATGTGCGCCTCGCGCGTGGGGCGTGGGGGCGTGGGGGCGTGCGGGGGCGTGCGGGGGCGTGCGGGCCAGGGCCGCGACCACCACGCCGACCCCGAGGCCGGGGGTCGGTCGGGGGCGAGGCCGGGGGCGTGTCGGCCAGACGGGGCACTGGAGGGAGGAGGAGGAGAGGGAGCAGGGAATGAGGAAAAGACGGCGGGGCGGCTACCCCGGCACGCCGGCACACCCCCGGCGTATCTCCGGGCACGCCATGAGTCATCGCCACCCAGCCATCCGCCATCCGCCTACGAGATCCGGGAAGGAAGGAGCGACGCAAGCAGCGCCGGGGCGGCGAGGCGGCAAGGATGACACACGCACGCACGCACACACACACACACAGAAGGGCGCAAACCCCGCGCCTGTGACTGCTAGGGCGCGACAGCCGGACGCGCGGACACGGCGGCCACCGCGCTGCCCGTGTTGTCCGTCCTAACCTCACTTCGCTCCGCCCCCTCCCCCCTCCCCCGTCCGCAACGCGACTCACCTTGTGGCTGCGCCATGTTCCAGGAGCGCGCTTATCGCACGCGCGACGCGTCACTCGGCGTGACGCGCGCCACCGTCACCGCCTCCTGTCGCGTCACGGCGTCACGGCGTCGTCACGGACGTGTCACGGCCGTGGCACCGCAGACACACACACACGCACACACGCGGGGGCGCGGCGGGCGCGGCCTGGAGCGAGACTAGACGGCGACTGGGGGCGCCTGCCCAGCCACCCCCTCCACGGCGCGCTCCCCACCGCGCCCCACCCCTGTAGTCCTGAGTTATCGATGCATCCCCACCCTAGGCCAGCCAGACCAGCCCTACGAGGAGCCCCCCCCCCTCACTGCGCCCGGAGCCCCCGGCCCCTCCAGCCCTGCGGCCCCACCACCGCGAGGGTCTCCATGGCAACCCCTCAAGCTGTTGCTGCGGCGGTGGAGGGCGGCGGGGCGGGGAGCCCTGCCCGATCCCCCGGCTTGCTCCAGCGGCTCCAGCCCTGCCGGCCGGGCGCATGGCTGGCTGGCTGGCTGGCGCATGGGCAACTCATCAGTATTCACAGAAAAAGAGAGAGGGCGAATGTGAGGAAAGGAATGGAAAGGAGGCGAGGCGAGCAGACGTCATCATGTTTAAGCCCCGCTGCTGTCTCTGTCTTTGTCTCTGCCTTTGTCTTTCCGTTCCGCCGGGCTTTCAGCGCTTTCATCGCGCTGCCGGGCTGCCGCTCGCCCCGCACGCAAAACATAATCAACGTTTTCGCTTGCAGCCGTTGACATGAAGCCTTCAGCTTTTCGTCTCCGTCTCCAGCGTCGCCAGGCTTCACTCCTCGCAGCAGAATCCTTATTTCTGCCCGGCTGGCGACATGTCACGAGTGCATGTGAACTCAGCAGACCTCATCTTCCAGTGTCTCTCCGCCTGGAGTCTGCAGTTGGCGTTGCCGCCGCGCCTTGCCGCTGCGTCTTCTCTCGGCCGTCTCCACGCCGCCCTTGTCGAGGAACAAGATCTGCGCAGTAATAACGGAGGACACGGCACTGCCACCTGCTTCCCCGTCCCCCTCCTCGCCCCGGCCTTGCGGTAGTCAACCGCCCCTCCGCGCCGTGCCAGCCATGGCCTACCTCACACTGGCCTCAGCCTGGCCGCGCTCCAAATTACCTTGGAAACGGTGAAAACTTGATGCACTGGTCGCGTGCCGCCGCCGACGGGGCCGGTCGAGGGTTCGATCCCCGGCAGCGCGGAGCCGAGACCCCGTTCCCTCATTCCAACCCGGTCACCTGCACTGCCGAAGAAGTTCTCTGAGCCGCGTCTCTCTCGCACCCTGACGTTACGCCCCATGAGTGCGAGAGAGACAGCGCGACAGTGACGGTGGTGAGCTTTCACCCCCGACCCACCGCGCCGCCGTGCACTCATACGCCGCCGTGGCGCGCAACGCGTACATGATACTTTACGAGTGTGGGCGTGTAAATTCCAGTTGTTGCCGTGGCGACCGTGGCGTGGGTGGGGGGAAACTTTGAGATTGTGGCGCGGCAGCCTCGGCAGCGCGGCCGCGGCGCATTGGGTATCCGACTTTACAGCTTTACTTCGCTTCGGTTCGCTTCGGCGGGGACGCGAGACACTCCGCCGCCTCAAAGTGGAGTGTTTCGACGTGGACTCCTCCCTGGGACTCTGGGAGTGCGCCGCGTGGGAGAGGCGCGGCTGCGCTGCGGGCTGCATCCGGGCATGTCTCTCTCGCACTCATGGGGCGTGCCGTGGGGGTGAGAGAGACAGAGCTAGAGGCGAACTGCTCGGAGGCATCGAGTGGCGGTGGAATATTGGACAGTGTGCCTCCCGCCGCGCGTTCGGGGCGTTCGGGGCGTCCCCGTCCTCCCCCTTATCCAGCCCGGGCCGCTCCGCGCTGCTCCAGGCGGCCTAGGCCCTTTCCCCAGACTGCAGCGCGCGGTGCCTCGAGGATTCCGCCCGGAAAATATCGCCAACACGGCGTCCTTGTCCTTCTTCGCGTGTGCCTCGCCGTGCCGCGCGCCCCAGCTGGGCACCGCGCAGCGCGCGGCGTGCAGGCCCGGCGCGGCCGCCCTCTATTTTACCTGTACAGTGTACAATTTACGCGCCCATGTATATCCTTGCTTGGAACGGGGCAGAGAGGGGCGGGGCGGCAACCCGCCCCGTCCGTTCGGAAATGATGGCACCGCGCCGCCGAGCGGTCTGTCTCTCTCGCACCCCAACGGTGCCCCACGGGCCGCCCTATGAGTGCGACAGAGACAGAACGACGGAACAACAACTCTTCGGAGTCAGTCTTCTTGGGCCCGCAATGAGGGTGAACGAGAAACACGCGTCTTACGCGTACGCAGTCGACCCCTGCGTCCCCCAGGACAAAGAACCGCCGTGTGCGCGGAGGACAACAAGTAGCCCGCGCTGCTGGCCGCGACCGCCGCGACGGATGGCCGACAATGCCAACGACACCCTCGCGAGCCCTCCGCCCGCCGCGTGGACCCTCCGGGACCGAGACGTCGTGATGAACGCACGGTTTAAGAGGCACGACCAGGAAAGTCAGTCGGTTCTTGCAAAAAAAAAAACTTATTCCTTTTCTCTATTACCCTTTTTTTTTGTAACTTTGCCGCGCTGTTTGGCTGTGACTGACCCAGAGTTTCAATATCAATACCGGATAGTGATATTGAAGAAACTTTTCCAGAGCCCACGCCGCTGAGGCCTACCCGGGAAAAGCACCCCCCCCCCCCCCCCCAAGCCGTAACTGCCTCACGACCGCACGACACAACAGTGTTGCGGGAGTGCCTATCTTCTGTTTGACAGGCGCTCCCTCGCCTTAATCTTTTCCCCTGTCTACCTGTCCCGGTTAAGCTCACTTCGTTCGAAGTCTGTGAGGGGCGCGGACGAAAGGAAAATTGACTGGGTTATTTTCGTAACAACATTTATTTGTCAGAAGTATGAGTCAATAAGATGCTTCCCTCCAAATGATCACTGTCAGTCTCATAATAAATAATTTATTACACAATCAGAAAGACATGCCCCCTGTCTTCAAGTTTACACAATCTTGTGGTAACTCAAGTTTTTGGCTTTCAAGCCGTGTGGTAATAATAATGTTAATGTGCTGGCCAGATCAAAAAAAAAATCTCAATCAAATAAATAATGAGGTACTTTTCCTTGAGAAGTCACAGCTCAGGAGATGGAACAGTAGCTGTAGGAACACGAAGGCCATTTCTACTGCAGATAATGTTCACCGCCTGGAAAAAGACCTTGAGTTGTACTGGCAATTTTAAAGCCCTCTAATAAAACAATGAAGCTGTCATTTGTTGCTGCTATTGAAACCGGTGACCATGACACATAAAAGCAGATGACACAACCCACACTAATCCAACACTTAATGAACAAATATGATGGAAGGCTTAAAAGGAGAGTACGACTGAGCGAGCAATGTCTATGAAAAGCCCAATTTCAAGTGGGGCATTTTTCCCAACAATGAAAAAAGCAAAACATATCAAGCACCAAACAACAAAGAAAAGTGCATTCATTGAAAGGTAGCAGATTCAAGTTACATACAGTTCTTCAAACAAAACCAAAAAACAAACAAAAGGACAATAAGGTAAAATTAAATAAAATAAATATTAATCACAGAAAAATAATACCAAAATGTTAACATAAAAGGTGTAGGTAAAAAGAAAGATGAATAGTGATACATTTACTTTAGAAAAAGATAATAGTTAAAAGTAAATTAAAAATTTCAGAGAGGTGTACTAGGGCACAACTTTCTGAGAACAAGCACATACATAAAGTTTTCCATTCATACACTGCACTGAAAGAATATTAGCAAACACAAAGGTAGATATTTGTTTGCGTGCAAACAACATACAGATCCATTTGGGCTATCTTCACACTCTTGATTAAGAAAGTCCACAAAACATGCCAAAAGGAAAGATAAATACATACATTACCTAAAATTAAAGTAGTTGATTCAATTGCAGTCAAGAGCACTCAGCATGAGAAATCCATCCTTTCAGTCACTATCAGTTTGTGGTTACAACAGTGAAAGAAGAATAGTACTCACAATTCTTAGATTAAAAAAAAAAAAAACAAGAAAATCGGAAAATAGAAAGGTATTTAGACCACCTAATTGTTAGTTAAATATTTAAGGGCATATAGTACAGATTAACGGAAATTACAGTAAATTTATTTTTGGGAGCCCTTTTGGGAAACATTCAGCTAAGGGAATAAACTAGAAACCTTACAACAATGGCATGCTGACAAGAACCACCAACTGGAAGCATCAAGCTCATATCAACATGATTTGATAAGACTTATTTTGAAACCTATGATTTCTAGCAAAACAAGAAACTTGATAGAAATTTAAACCATTCACTAATTTTTAAAATAGTGGCTTTACACCGTGCAATGAGAGCATGCCTCTGTTTTGAGTGCTGAGGTAGTCCGAATGCTAAATTACCACAGTTGTAAGACAAAACAACCTGAATTCATTGACACCAAAAATATTATTTATTATCAAATTTCAAGTTGAAATCAATACCATAACGCGACAGATAAGCTTCTATCTGTTGACACAGCACAAAGGTCTTGACAATAGGTGACCAAGATACAGTTCATTCAATAAATAACAGAGATAACTAAATGTGTCATCAAAGTTACAAAATAACCTAAGGAACCACAATCAATTATCAGGAGATTCAATTAGTTGATTCATTATGTAACTTTACTGATGTAGAAGAACATACGACTAGAAGACACAGTGAGAAAAGAAGAATAGTGACTTCTATGCAGATAATAATAAGATTCTTCCCAGTCACCTACTTTCTGTATACACAATTTGTCCGTCAACAGGAGTGCACACCAACCCCTAAGCAAGGTACATGATGAAATTTAAGTAGTTATTTTTTTCTCCCTTCTACAAAAGGCCCACTCCCAAGCCACATTTGTGTACAAAATTGAAAAACATGTAGAAGGTCCCTTGCAAACAACATAGCATATTTTTTTCACAACACCTTAAAAAGCATGAGCAAAATAGCCCACTTGTAGCTACATACACCATGTATGCAGAAAGAAAACATTCACAGTGACACTGAGAAGAACGTTCGTTCATTGTCCCTAGTTGCCATTCTGCTGCCTTTTTCATTAATGGCACAATTATTATAATTACTTTCCTTATTGTAAAAATTCCTCTGAGGTTTTCCAGAGGGATTCCATAGTGATGTAGCAAATACTGAAGTAGCTAAAGGACAGTATTTTTTAGTGTTCCAAAAGAGAGAAACCTGTCTCTACAGAGAGTGGAGCTACATAACAAACTCAAGAGTTTGTGGCCACTTCACATCAAGCAGGCCATTATATGAAATTTGTTTAAAAGCTGGAAAGAATTTTCATTTAAGAAAAGGAAATTAATCTAAATTTAGATGGAATATGAAAATATCCCGACAGCTTCCAAACAAAATTTTCAAGCAGTGAACAGATGAAGCATAACTAATGTGCTACCATTGAGCCCAATATAGCATACCAGCCCAAGAACCAGACAAACTTTCATAATAGCATGATGGCCCACTTGTCATGAAGTGCCTTTGTGATAGAGAAGACAGCAATTCTGACAGAATTACATAGGTGATGGTGACATGTAAATGAGTATTGCTTAAAACGGACATAAGCATGATTGATAACAGTGATTTAAACGCCACCTCCACTGCGCTCCACCGAAACCTTCTTCATAAGACCCTCTTTCTCAACGACGGCTTCCTGCATCTCAGCCATACGTGCAAACCGTGAGTATGCCACAGCACCAGACTTAATTGCTGACATCATCTAAAAAAGAGAGAGAGCAAAGTGTTAAGGCTACACAAATAGAAAAATGTAAAGAGCATGCGGAGACCACATGGGAACCACCCCGGGGAACATGTGATCGCCTCATGGCATGATACTACAATAGATTTTGACTCTCAGCCATGAGACATGGCACGATGCCAATCACTGGGTGATTACTGGGTGGGGTAGGCTTGGCTTTTTTACCCCTCCTCTTTTTCTAAAACTGAAGTAGACTGTATCAAGTGGTGAGGACAGTACCTGCAGATATTCATCAAGCTCAACTTGGCCATTCATGTTGGTGTCAATCTCTTTGAGGATTTCGTGTAATTCTTCTCCAGACACATCTTCACCAAAGCTCTAAAAATGATAAAATTTTGCAAAAAAAGGGGTTAAAATAAAATCATAAAGACAGTAAACAAATAAAATAGAATGAACAATTACAGCAACTCAAAGATTTCAGACATTACCTTCATTGATCGCCTAATATCATTGATAGATACATAGCCCTTGTGTTCTTTGTCAATCATTTGGAAGCGCTTAATGTACAACTGCATTTCATCCTTGGACAGGTTAATGCTCATCTTCTCCCTGGAAGCACGGTTCACCTGTTGTCCCATCTGCTCAGCAAGGAAAGCAGTAGCCTTTTCATACTGAACCTGTGAAGTCAAATAATATAAAATTAAGTAAATTCCCAAACAAATAATGATTTTCAAAAATTCCACAATTATTACTGCTTGTGCCAAAACCAACCTTCTTTTCTTTCTCACTCCACTTGAGTTCTTCAGCCATAATATCAATAACAGTTGGCAGGGCTTCTTGAGCTGCCTGGTTGTTCAGGAAGGCTAGTCGAAGGCGGCGGGCAATCATGTCAATAGCTGTGCAAGCATACTCTCGCACACCATACCGAATCTTGAAAAAAAAAAAAAAGATATTTTTAAAACACACTCTAATGGTCATACTCTTACTAAGAGAATTAGCTAGTTCTACCTCGGCATCAATGTAGGGGAACTCAGGGTGGATCCTCTTGCCAATAATGGGGAAGCGTTTGCCAGTCAAAGAGGCCAGCTTTGCTACAGCAAAGGCACGGTCACCGTAGGACATTGACAAGTGTTGGGCGACCTCGCATTCCAGACCAAAATCTTGTACAAGTCGAATGTACATGGTAGGAGTCCAACCATGAGCGCCCTCAATCAAAAGACCATCAGTTTGGCATTCTTTGGTAGCAGGTAGCTTGCATGCTAAGGGAAAAAAGAAAACAAAATCAGCGTTACCTAAGACAAAGACAGTTACAGTGAATGAAATTTGTATCTGTTGCCACAAATATGATACCTTTAACAGCTGCGTCTATGGTGTGCTCTGCCATAGCACGGTAAGTTGTCCACTTGCCACCAGCAATTGTCACAAGGTTTGAATCACTGACATGGACAATGTGGTTTCGTGCAAGTGACTGAGTATCCTCTTTGTTAGGGTCTGAGACCAAAGGACGGATACCACTCCATGCCGACAATACATCACCTCTCCTGACTGAAAGGTGCATTTTTATTACAAACTGTTCAAATAAAATCAGTAAGGGGTAGTTTTATGTTCTTGAACATACCCTCAACATCAGGATTGAGGTAATTCTTCACTTCACCCAGAATAAACTCAATCTCATCTTCAGTGGGCTTTGGATCATGGGTTACATCACAAAGACGGTCAGTGGTTCCGGCAATAGTCTGTCTTTGCCAAGGCAGGAAGAAGATGACACGTCCGTCTGATGTATCAGGATCAAGGAGTCCCATCTGGTCAGGGCTGGAATCAGGAAGTAAAAGGCTCTCATTAAAAAAAATATTACACTATTTCTGAAGAAAAGAAAAGAAAAGTTGACAATTGTACCTGTAATATCCAGGAAGCACAATGTGCACACCAGAGCTTGGACAGCAGATTTCTTTCACCTTCTGATCATCCATCTTCCTGATGGAGTCAGTGAAAGGACCAGTGGCATTGATGACACATTTCGCCTTTACATCCCACTCTTTGCCAGTTAACTCATCGCGCAGTGAAGCTCCCTGGACAACCCTCTTGCCTGTAGCGTCTTGGCCGTGGATCAATTTGGTGACACGAACGTGGTTTGCAACTGTTGCTCCATGTCGAGTAGCGGTCAGAGCAATGGCAAGGCACATCCTAGCATCATCTTGTTGTCCTAAAAAATTTTAATTATTATAATTACAATTCTTATACATTATCCTTCTTAACTGCACCATAAGAAATAGTAAAAATATTTGTAAAAATAAAAATGTTATAAAACATGCAGACCAACCATCATAGTAAACGATAGCTCCACAAAGTTTGTCTCCACGCAACATAGGGAAGAGTTCTAGGGCATCCTTCTTTGAAAGGTAATAACTGCTCTTCACACTTTTTGAGCCCGCCACCAAATCGTACATCTTGATGCCCACCCAGTAGTATGGTATCTGCCACCACCTATGCAACACAGGACAATACAACTCCCCCGTTTTTTGCAACAAATAATCCCAGCTCAAAGAACATTGAAACATGCAACACCAACCCACAATTTATCTATGTCCCAATACCCTTATGGCAGAAAACACTCACGTGTATACAGGCAACATGATGGGTAGAGGATGAGTTAAGTGTGGTGCTGACTCCAACATGTTGGTCCTCTCATGAAGAGCTTCTTTCACCATCCGATATTGATCAATATCCAAATTAAAAATCGCTTTTTGGAGGTAACGAACACCACCATGGATAAGTTTGGTTGAACGACTGCTGGTGCCAGATGCAAAATCGTCCAATTCGACAAGAGCTGTTTTCAGGCCTGGTTTAGGAAAGAAAATGACAACGATTAGAGGTATGAAGGAAAAAGTTTTCAAGAATGTTACATCTAGAGCCCCAGGACTCAAGAAAATCATACCCCGAGTAACTGAATCCAGAGCACATCCAGCTCCAGTAGCACCTCCACCAATAATGAGAACATCAAATTCATCTTCAGTTTGAAGTGATTTGATCTGTTCATCGCGAGGAGGGAGAGTGCGTTTTGCTCGTAGTTTCTTTCCACTGATTTCAGCTGCTGAAACTCGGCTGGGCTGCAAAGTAATTCAAATATGTAATGAGTGATTACGTAAAAGTTATTTTTATTTCATGATCTAGAAAATACTCACGGCTTCACTGGTTAGCCAAGACGCAGCAAGAGCACCTGCTCCAAGGAACGCTGTTCCAGCGGCCACCCGCCTCAGGTGAGCGGAAGCCATCTTGATGGTTTCGTAGTGTCAGACCTATTTAACAGATCAATAAGAAGACAAGCATTAACATAATGTAAAATATAAGTTTCAACCAATTTTTTTTTTTTTACAAGTTAAATGTAGGAGTTATTATTTATTTTACATGATAAAAAAAAAAATTCAAACGGAAGATATTTGGAGTTGGAGAATAAAAAAGAATGAGTATTGCATCATCATGTGATAATTCCTGCTGCCACCACATGACTCACTGGCCTTATCACATATCACATACAGAAATTAATTTTTGGGAGTAGCTGCATGTGATAACAAGTGACCCTCATGATTGAATAGCAAAGGGTGATTGATACCAAAATAAATAAATAAAACTGATACTTGCAATCAGTGTTTTGAAAAAGGGTAATTCATGGTGTCATGTACCCAGCACCCAGCCAGAAGACTGTACTACTTTGTACACTAAATGAGTCAAATGATAGAAAAAATTGAATTTACTCTGCTAGTAAAGAAAAGTCCCTTAACAAACATAGACCTGCCATGGAATTTCAGTGGGCATAATACCATATTAAAGGCAGATTGATGCTGTAACCTTGGACCTTGAAATAAAGAGGGAATGGAATGACCTCTCATGAAGGACTCGTCCAACATCAGACATGTCTCAACATTTCACAAGGAAAAAACCTCACGCACTTTTATCAGAGCACTGGCTTACAGACAAGAAAGCCACCTATCGCGGAGATACCACCCAAACAAAAGCCTCAGCGGTATCTAAGCTGCAAGGTTTGATTCCATTCAAGCGGCCGCATCAAAGGCATGTGATGAAACAACTGCCTCTGACAATAGGCCGCCGTAGGCCGTGCGCGGCCTAGGCAAGTCTAGGACACTGCAGAGGACACGGTAGACACATTTCTAGGAACAGAGCGCACTGTTCTGCACTGCAGTGGCTGTCAGGCTGAGGTTATGGTTGCACCCGAAGCTGTCCTACTTGACGGTCTCCACGAACCTGTCAGGGCGACACGAGGCTTCCTCCGGCGCCGCACTGCTCCCCTTGCCGACCTACCTGCGACTCGCGCCGCGGCAGAAGTGCCCGTCGCGCGAGTGACCTTGGTGGGCATAAGTGATCTCATGCTAAGCCCCGCGCAGCGCGACCCGCGATGTGATCACTGCCAGTGGCATGCTAGACTAGCAGACGACTCACGGACCAGTCCGATTCCACGTCCGTTTTCTCGCTCCAAAACGCCCTTTTACCTTATCAAGATAGTCCGATGGGTGCTCGGGGTACTCGACCGTACTCCTAACGGCCAGTTTCGGGGGTCTGCGACATCCAATGGTCAGCTGTTTATTTTAAGGACGGGATAGAATCAAAGTTTTCTACAGCGTAGCAGACGCCTAGCAGACGCCAGGCGACCACTGCCCTGTGGAAGATCCTTGGCGCGGCCCGAGTCCTGGGCGCGGCGCGCGCTTCCGAGGGGGCCGTGGAAGGACATTCTGGCGGCAAATTTGAACGGCAGCGCGGACGTGCCGCGTTACATCCTTGGGCGGGAAATGGGGGGCGACGTCAACGTGCCTCTTAGAAACCACATGGCGCGACTGCCTCCTCGGGGTCACTTTGCTTTGGTCAAACAAAACTAGTGCGTGTGATGAGGCGAATGACTTTTCGCGCCCCCCTCCCCCCACTGGATCCTCGCTCGATAATCTGTGTGACCTTCCCCCATCTCATTCACCCCTGCGGTGACGCGAGAGACTGGGTCAGCTTGCTGGACAAGATTCAGGCCACCGACTCGCATGAACTTGGAGTCGTTGATTTGACCGCAGGTACACGGGTCCTTGGTCAATGTCGTTGGAACCAGTAGTCGTTTACGGCACGGCCAGCAAGCTTTAGTTTCCACTCCACTACTTACAGTGTATACCAAAGTGTATTGACGTCGAAGTATTGACGTCTGACTATTGATATGGGACTATCGACGTCGGATTATTCACCTCGATTGAGCACACAGATGCAAATAATCTATTTTTAAAAAAATATTTTTTGAAAATTTAATTTCAGTGCAGGCCTAGACCTCTATAGAAACAGAGTTCTGCACCGAGGCGAGCGTGATCGGCGACCACGCAGCATTTATCGAGTGACCACTATGTCCTCCGGAACTGGATCCGCGAGGTGGCGGGAACCAGTGAGCCTGCTCCATCCCAACGGAGACACAAGGGCGCCGGAGACGAAATGGGTGTGCGGTCCCGCCAAACACGCCCGCACTACCCCTCTGCCCCATTTGACCTGGGAGGAGCAGTGTCTGAGCGTTGGCGTCGTCCCTGGCCAAAACTTTTCCGCGTAGATTGTTGAGGTTTCTAGCAAGTGGCCCGGCGGCTAATTCTGCGAACCAAAAGCCGTATACGGGCGGCGGCCGAGTCGCAGCCGAGCGGCCGCCGAAATTCGCGATCTTAATGGTCATGATCATAAAAAAGGCTATTTTAATTGTTATTTTCGAACCTTCTCCATCTGAGTGTTATGTACTCTGGATGGCGGTATCAACCCGAGGCAAGGTCACCGGGGAGACGAACCTTGTTTTATAAGCCTATAATAACATTGTACTAGCCAAAAACCAGAACTGCCGGCACCGAGCAGCGCTCCGTCCTGCTTCTTCCTTCAGGCGCTTCGACACTCGTCTCGCTTTACGGCAGGGTGGGGGAGCCCCGTCGGTTATGCCTGGAAGTATTATGATATCAAGTTCATGAGTGTGTGCTCGTGTTGGTGTACGGACACACACACACAAGCACGCGCGCCCCTCCAGCAAACCGCCTGCTGGCCTGCTGCTGGACACAGTCCGAGCGGCCGAGGCTGTCCGAGGTGACGAGGCACCGCGATGTCTTCCGTTCAGACAGACTGGAGCAAGGACTCGAGCGGGTAGGACGTCGCCAGCCCAGCCAGCCCCCCAGGACTCCCACGACCCGGCCGCGTACCTTGCAGCTCGCCGAGCCACCCCGCCGCCATGCTCCACCGACAGGGCCTTCTCGTGCTGCTCGCCGTCGTGAGCGTCGCGACGGCAGGCAAACTGCGTGAGTGCGCGGAGGGCTGCGGAAGAGGGACGCGCTGTTGGCCGTGGCCTTGCCGGGCCTTGCAGTCCGCTGTCAAGGCCACCAAGGCCGGCGACGAGGCTGCGCCCGGAACTGCCTAGGCCCGCCACGCCTCGGAGGGCGAGGGGCGGTCGTTCCGGACGCAGTCCCAGTCGCCGCGGTGCCACGCGGTCCCCTCAGAGGCGTTCACTCCGTTTTCACTCTGAAGCAAGCGAAGTGACTCCGCGTGCCTCGCTTTGCAGCCGCCCACATCATGCGGTGCGCCAGGACGGACCCCAACGTGGACCAGTGCCTGCGCGCCGCCGTGGCCGACGCGCTGCCCAAGATGAAGAATGGCCTGCCCAAGCTCGGCGTCGGCCCCCTCGACCCCCTGCTCATCTCCGAGATGCGCCTGTCCCAGGGCAGCAACAGCCCCGTCAACCTCGACCTCACCTTCACCAACATGTCCACCACCAAGTTCCTGGACGGCGTCAAGGTTGAGAGCATCCAGTAAGTGCCGTCGGTTGTAATTACTGCCGCCAGCCTGGTTCCGATCATGCCGACGATGAAGCGTTTCGCAGCCAACCGATCCCGGACCCTGGTCACCCTGGTTTTTCACGATCGCGACTTTGTGACGGCACCCTGTCTGTTGCAGCTTCGACCTGGACAAGATGGTGCTGACGGCGGAGTCCGTGACCCCCACCGTGCTGGCCGTCAGCAAGTACTCCGTCAAGGGCAAGGTGCTCCTGCTGCCCATCACCGGCACGGGAGACAGCCGCGTGGAGCTGAGTAAGCGTCTCACCGTCTCTGCGAGTCACTTTCGCGTCACTTGCATCACTTTTCGCGTCACTTTCGCGTCACTTTCGCGTCACTTTCGCGTCACTTTCGCGTCACTTTCGCGTCACTTTGGTGTCACTGGTGTCACTTTGGTGTCACTTTGGTGTCACTTTGGTGTCACTTTGGTGTCACTTTGGTGTCACTTTGGTGTCACTTTGGTGTCACTTTGGTGTCACTTTGGTGTCACTTTCGCGTCACTTTCGCAACCTTGTCAGTGACACAGATACATGCCCGTTTCTGTTCGCAGACGACGTGAAGACCAGCCTCCGCATCACGGGCAAGCGCACCAAGAAGTCGGACGGCAAGGACTACTTCGAGATCACCGACGTGAAGGCCAACATGGTGCCCAAGAAGATGAGCCTGCGCCTGGACAACCTGTTCAACGGCGACAAGCAGCTGGGTGAGTACGGAGCACCGGGAATCCCGGTCGGCACCGCCGAATTCCACATGACTCCCGATGGATGCGCATCGCGCGTGCCCATCTGCATAAGTGGCCTGTAAGCTAACGCCGCGCCTCGCCGGCCTTGCCGCCGTTCCAGGCGACACCATGAACAAGGTGCTCAGCGAGAACTGGGAGCTGGTGTTCAACGAGATCTCGCCGTCCCTCAACACGGCGTACGCCGAGCTCTTCAGGAGGCCGGCGCACGCCCTCTTCATCCACGTGCCCATCGACGGCATCATCCCGGAAAAGCTGTGATAATTGTACAAAAATGTGAATTAGACTTAATAAAATAATGAATTCAAACGCCGCATCAAGTGTGTTTCTTTGCGAGAGCGTGCTGATCGAAAGTGATGCGGATTCGTATCGGGAGATAAGGAAAGCACGTGGACCGAAGCGAACCTGTCGTCGGAATACGCCGACATAATTCGTTTAATCGACGCGTTTTGGTATTGTTTAACCAGTTCCACGGGACGGCGTGGCGCCCCCTCGAGCGGATGAGTTTATTATCCGGAAACTGGATTTGAATGGCGAACACAAACTCCTGCCGGCACGCCACTCGTGGAAATTGCCGCGCGGTTTCGCCCGGCCGAGTACGACCACTCCATCCACTCCACTCGGAGACTAAGCTGGTGGGGTTGAATCGGATTGAATGCCGGCCAGGGCAAGTCTAGCCGCTCTGATAACTGGTGACGCGCAGTGGACTTGACATTCACGGAACACAGCTGATCGCTGTCACCGGCGGTTATCGCAGCCAATCGCAGTTTCAAAGGGACCGGGCTGGATTGCGCAATTCGTGGGTAATCCTGCCTCACATTGAGTCAAGTTGAATCGAGAGCCGCGGCCGGCTTTTAAGTCGTCAAGGTCCTGTGTTGAAATTCGGTAATGTCGAATAGGCCCCGGATGATTGGCCGCGACGTCTCCCACCCCGCACAGTGGGCCAGAAGACCGGTGAAGGCGGCAAAAATTCTAGACGCGTTTTGAGCGCCAGAGTCGCTAAATGAGACTCGAACCGGACGTGTGACCCCACCAATGGATTGCTCTCCGAACGAGGAATCAATCGGTGGGGTCACACGGTCGGTTCGAGTCCCATTTAGCAACCTGGAGCTCCAAAACACGTCTAGAGTTTTGGCCGCCTCCACCGGTCGTCTGGCCCACTGTGCACCGCCCCCTTTTTCGTGGAAATCGGTGGAAATGGTTTGACAGAGAAGGAGGAGCGGTCTCTCTCGACTCGAGCGTCTGCGGGAAGTGCAGAGACAAGGCTGTGGATAAGTGCGCAGCGCAGGTTGCCAGCCCTGCTTGACGGTTTGCGGTGTGGGTGCACTGGCCAGGAGACACTGCGCGACTGATCTTCAAGTGCATTCCCCTCGTGTCCGCGTCTATCCACGTCTACCTGGCGCGACGGAGTCACGCGACCGATAGGTGTCAACGGGTCGGGCCAAGTGGTTCAGCCTCGGCCAGACAGACAGCCCCTCAAGTTCAAAGTGGCTCGGCGTCAGAGGGGTTGCCTACCTCGAGGCGCGAGTCTGCCAGCGATATCCGCGACACTGTACGAAACGGCGCCGCCAGACGGGCACTGTACCACACACTCGCGGCGGCATGGTTGCCCCTCGCCGATCGACTCCAGCCCATCCATCAGTCTACACTATTACAATGTGGTTAATTCGCTGAGCGATCCCTCCAGTGCGATAGCAGAATCGTGCCCCCCCGTGGCGGCATCGGCGACAAGGTGCGAGAGAGCTCCAGCCCCACGCGCTGCACTGGAGTGTCGGCACACTATTCTCATCGCGCGAGACAAACAAACAAAATATTTCTATTTTTACAACAGGTGCTGGACGGGGTCGTCTGCTGTCCCGTTTGCCGTCCCGCAGCGGATTCTCGTTCGGCCGTCCTCGGCGGGGCGTTCGGGTTCGGAGTGGTTCGCAGCACCCCATTGGTCGGTCGGATTCTGCACAGCGCTTTTGTTGTTTAAGGCCGCTCCCGAGGAGGTGACACCGCCGGGCCGGGGCGGTGGTCCAGACGGTCCAGGCATCCAGACGTCCGGACGGGACGGACCGGGGCCTGGTGGGGACTGCAGGCACGCCGAGGCACGCGGCCGACCGGAGGCGACTGGAGTCTCAGCCGGCCCGGCCCGGACACACGCTTATTCAGTGTCATTTCCTCGCCTGCGTCGCATCGCAGCGACTAGACTTGCCTCCGCGTCGCTCTGCAGTCCTCGCCCAGCCCGCGCCGCAAGATGCTGCTGCGCCTCGTCCTGGGCACGGCCATGCTGGGCATCGCCTCGCTGGGCGTGGCGTCCGCGGGGAAACTTCGTGAGTAGAGTGTGTCCGAGTGCGCCGAGGGGCGTGCCTGCGGTGAACAAAGGGAACTCACCCTGGCGTGGCGTCGCGTCGTCGCAGCCCCGGTGATCCCACTGCCGGCGACAGGTTGGCGATGTTGAAGGGTCCGGGGGGCCGTAGCGACTGCCGTAAAGTGGGCTGGCCGGCCCAGACGCCACGCCGAGCGCCTCTTCAAGTAGTGCGTGGTCAGCACGGCGTCGGCGGGGCGCGGTCTGGGCGCCGCGCGGAGAGCCCCGCAAGTCCGCGACCGGCGCCGCCACTTGCGTGGCTTTGCGCGTCGCTCGGTCTGATTAGTCAAGTAGCACGCGAGCGGACTGGTGTTTTGGCGGCGCCGCGCCGCCCTGCCCGCATGCTCTCTAATGCAGCGGCCGCCGTCGACGTCATCGCGCGCCTCGCGCAACCAGCGACCGCCGGAGTCCTAATCATCCTGCTCACACATCGGGGCCACCGCCAACAGGCACTATTTCCATTCGCCGTGCCTCGGGCGTCCCGGTGACAACGTTGGCGGCGGCCCCGGAGAGGACCTCATTTCCGGGGGGTGGTTCCGGGGGAAGGCCACCAGAGGGGCCCGGCCCGCCCGGAGAGAGCGCCGGAGAAATCAGGGAATACCTCCCGGAACGATGCGAGCAGCGTTGTCTTTGTTGTGCGCAGAATGAGTACAGCACGAGCAGACAAATTTAGCACAAAGTGCTACGCCTCCGCCTGTTACAGTTGCCACGCGTGCGACCGATGTTAAATTCATGACCATAGTTTTCCGAAAGAACAAAAAATCGTTCCGCGCAAGGCTTGTTTTTCTGCGGCTCTCGCGGCTTCTCGCAATGATAATCACGATCAGGAAACGACCGCCTGCACAGCATGGCATCAAATTACAGGCACTCCAGCCTTTTTCCAAAATAATGATCCCAACGGGTTTGGAGCGCCACAAGTCACTGGCGGGTGCCGGCAATGGCACCCATCCCGTTCTCGGCGGCCTTGGCCGTGGCCTTCGAGGCCTCCACGGTGGAGTGGGGCGCAAGCCTGAGCCTGAAACACGGCTGCATCGTCTTACTCCACGGCGCCGAGGCCGTGGTGGCCGTGCTGCAGCAGCCCGTGTCCCTGTCTCTCTCGCACTCGCGCGCCGTGGCGTGGGGGTGCGAGAGAGAGAGAGAGAGGTGCCGGCAGTGGACGCGACACGTGGACGACGCCGCACGCCGGTCGCGGCGAACGTGTCTGTCATGCTGACCACTCGACGGTCACTCTAATTTCGTAACGGCCACCTTGTCTCGGAGAAAAGTGCGCGTCCTTGCGCTTTGCTTCTCTCTCACTCTCTTCCTGCCTGTCGGCGACCGGCAGCCAGTCGGCACCAAGTTCATGGGAACGCGAGCGCGCCGAGCAACGCGTGTGCCTGGGCTTCCCTGGCCGGGAGGACACTCCTAGCTTGAGGACACGGGGCTGTCGGTGGGATGGGCTAAAGCTAGGAATCGTTCCACGGAGACCCGAGCCTCACCCTGCCTTCACGTGGGCCCACAGCCCCGGACATCAAGCGCTGCGTGCGGTCCGACCCCGAGCTGTCCGAGTGCCTGCGCGGCGCCGTCGAGGAGACGCTGCCCAAGCTCAAGAAGGGCCTGCCCAAGCTGGGGCTGCCCGTCCTCGACCCGCTGTACGTCCAGGAGCTGCGCATCACGCAGGGCGGCCAGGGCCCCCTCAACATGGACCTCACCCTCAGCGACCTCGTCACCACCGGGCTGCTCGACAACGACAAGGTGTACTCGGCCAGGTAGGCCCGGCACAGTGGGCCGGTGGAGGCGGCCAAAACTCTAGACGCGTTTTGAGCTCCAGAGTCGCTAAATGGGACTCGAACCGAACGTGTGACCCCACCAATGGATTCCTCGTTCGAAGAGCAATCCATTGGAGGGGTTACACGTTCGGTTCGAGTCCTGTTTAGCGACTCTGGAGCTCAAAACGCGTCCAGAGCTTTGGCCGCCTCCACCGGTCTGCTGGCCCACTGTGCCCAGCAGGCCAGGCACCGGGACTTCCCTCCCCCCGCCTCTTTCCCCTTTCTCTCTCATCCTGCCATCGAAGCGTGGTTCGATTCGAGACTGGGCCTTCCCCCTCTTCGGTGCGAGTGAAGTGGCGACCGCTCCCTCTCTTATCTGGCACTTTGATTAGATTTGATAAATTTGAATGCCAAATGTGGTTATTAAGCAGTGCCACTAGTCCTATTTTTAAATATTTGGCGGGTTCGTCAAATTTGTCATTTTTTTGCACCGTTGAGTTAATTTTTTTTTGTTTTGCAGCATAGACCTTAACAGTATGACCATCAACGCGTCGTTCGTGTTCGCCCGCGCGGTGGTCAGCAGCAACTACACTATCAAGGGACGTGTGCTCGTTCTGCCCGTTGTTGGCCAGGGCGAGAGCAAAGTTGTGTTACGTAGGTGTTTTCTCTGAAGGTGGTTGACTATAATTTACTCTGAGACTTCCAGGGTACTTATTTCAGCTCATGTCTTTGCTCAGATGAGTGTTTCTGCGTGTGGAAAATACAAGGAAAGAAACTCACCAAGAAAGATGGCAAAGATTATTTTGAAGTGATCGGTGTGAATTTGAAAATGACTCCAAAGAAAATGGAGATGCGCTTTGATAATCTATTCAATGGAGACAAACAGCTCGGTAAGCCCAAGTCACTACCAGAGTTCCTTAAAGAAAAGAGGTGATAATTAATTTCCCATTTTTTCCCAGGAAATACTATAAACAGAGTAGTAAATGAAAACTGGCAGCTGGTCTACAATGAGATTGGATCATCATTTGAACAGGCTTATGCTGAAGTAATCAAACAGCACACTAGAAGTCTCTTCCTTCATGTTCCAATAGATGACTTCCTACCAGTAAAGTAGTGGTTTCTTAATTTTGGTACAGGGGTCACCTGCGCATGTTATTTAAAAATTAGAAACTTTGCCTATATAATTGTACCAAAGTGCATAAGTGAATCTGGATAGGTCCTTTTTCCAGAAAAAGAGACAGATTTACACTCAAGTTAATCATTCATTCATTATTTTTTTTTACCTATTGTAACACTACTACAGTACAGTACACTGATGCCTCTCGGTCACGTGATGTTTCATACGAAAAGTTTGGGGGAATGTTGTAACATTCAAATACAGCAATATAAGTTTCAGTTAACTGGTGGGAAAAAAGAAAGAAATGTATGAGCCAAATGCAACTTCCCTTGAAGCATGTAATACCAACAGAAGCAAATAAAATATACATCAATCAAATGCAGAATTTGAAATATAGGAAATGCTCATCCACTTCCACTCCTCACTAACTCACAGTAGCAAAATACATTCTAACACATAGTTTGATTGAGCAAGATGAAACACTCCTTAATAAAGTTTTGAAGTATGGAGATACCTAAACTCATGTGAGATACTGAAAACAATGACTAGAAGATCTTATGTGCACAAGTCCACAGCACCTTTTCCACTCCATTATTGTGAGTATCAACAACAACAAAAAAATACATAAAATACCCTGCTGCTGCTTCAAAAAATGAAGATTACCAACAAATTTGATGGAAGTGCATTCAACATGACAGATAAACAGCATAGCTGCGTACAAACCTAACAGATATGCACTATAGGTAAGAACCAAGGCCAGAGTGCATTATTACATCATTAAAGTTTGACTGACATATAACTATGCTGTAGTCTTGGTTCAGCCACATGTGATTAGTTTTTTTTTTAATAACCACTATAAAACAATTTTACTACATTTGTACAAGTTACTCTAACCTTTGGAGATCGGAACTGGATTACAACTATTGTACAGTAGGTTTGATTCTACAACTGAAGAAAAATGCCTAATTGTAGACCGTAGATAATACCAGAGAAAGGCAAAACTTATGGATAACATAAGCAGTCTTATCTATTTGAACATACTTACAGATGTGAATTTAGTAAATTTCAGAATGGCAACAAGAGATTTCAATGGATAAAAATTAATCCTGTGCAGTGCGCCTTGCAGTAACAACTGAATTATACATGAAACAAAATATGATACCTGAAGAGTAGAGGATGACCCAAATGGAAATTGTTTTAGAGTTACAATAGTTATTTAAGTACCCCAAACTGAAGTTCAATTGAATTAATTCATGGCTGAGTAGATCTCTTCATTAAAGATTCTATCTCTTTTCAGTTGGTTAATGCTGTATAGAATTTTACTAGCTTCAGATACACCTTTGATTCAATGGTACAACCCATAACCGACAGTTTGGCTACTACATATCCTAACTTCCTCAAGCGATGAGTTTTCTTCATGTCCCACAATATTTCTATTGTACCAGTAGGTGATGATTATCGTTGAGGAGGTCCCATGGCCATTGCAGAATTTGGTCCCAGCAGAACCTACTCACAAAAAAAAAAAAAAAAAGAACAACCCAAAATCATATTAACAATTTTTGTAATTAAAACACAAACAACAATGTGCCTTTACGATTAAGACAAAACCTGACCTGTTTGGTTTGGTTGCGTTGTTGTTCTTCCATTTGAGCTCGTTCAACCTCCAATAAAACGGGAGCGAAGAGAATAAGCGAGGAACTAAATATCACCCAAAATGCTGACCGGGAAAAGCTATATAAACCTAATCAAGAGAGTGAAAAAAGTTCATTATTAGTTTAGATTTATAGAGGCATGCAAACAAAGACACACCGAAAACAACTTACTGACCTTTGGCACCACCTACAGCACCAGTAGAGAGTGAGTAAGATGCATTACGAACAGATTCAGGGAACATTTCAGTCAAGCCCCACAATCTCTCGGCCAAGGTTTCATCTAAGTCCTGAAAGACAAGTTAGAACATAAATATGTAACTCAAAAGTAGTGCAAATATGCAACTGCGTGACCATGAAGAGGGTGTAACTGAAAAACAGGGGAAGTAATACTTTGACGGTTTAGATAAATTCAAATAAAACTGTATCTCTCTGCAGTAAATAAAAGTTGGAGATGAATACAGCATATTAGTGCTGTGATACATCAATGACATAAAAAGAAATAAAATGTATGGAAATGAATTTTGAGCACCTAACCTCAACTTACAAACAGCTGTATGCCTACGGTAATTAACAGGAGTCTCGATTGAAACAAGACCAAAAACAATAGTGCGACTTTGGCCACAAACTTGAGTCCTTACCTCATCATCGTCGTCTTCTAGTTCTGGCAGAGCTTTGGGTTTCTCTGGTGTCATGTCTTTGCTGCTTACTGGCAATGACTCTACCCCACTGTCCAAGTCTAGTTCGCCGGGAGCCATAAGCCGAATTACAGAATACCTGGTCGATAAATGGAAACACAACTTAGAACTGAGTGGCGCTAAAGTTGACAAACTATCTGCCTTTAGGTTGTTTTGATGGGATAAATAAGCACAGCTACCGAAGCAGCGTGTTCAAGGGTTCGGCAGTTCATTTGCCCTGTGACGTCATGCTGGATAAAATTGACTCCGATTCAGATTCGAGGTAAATTTAACTGAATTCCGTAGCGAAAAAAGAGCTATTTGGCAAAAACAATTAAACACGTACCTATTATGAAGGTAGAACAGCAAGTATCAGAAAGAAATAGGTACAATCGGACGAATTTTAGCAGGAATCGACCGGTCCAAAAAACCTTAGGGGCACATGGGAAAGAATGGACTGCAGGGCGGGCAACGTGAAGAAATGCAGCAAACAACTAACCTTTTGCCCTTGCCGATTTGACACCCACGTTGATTTAACAAGATGAAAATGTAGCGTTAAAAGATAATTTTTCAGCTTGCTTCCCACAAGTTATATCAACAGAATAAATTTATCCAAACTAAGCAACAAAATAAATTTGGCTCTCCTTATCCGGCCTTGGGCTCGTGGTATGAGAAATTAGTAGATACTTTTCTAGTGAAAGCAGACGCTCTAGCAGACAGCAAGTCGGAGCAGAACGTTCCCAGAGAAACAAGTGGTTTAGGGAAACATTGGCCTAAAAGACGCATTTTATCATCGAACATGTCTATCGCCATGCGGAAAATGAGTCAGCAGTTCCTGAGTGGAGTTTCTGTCAGCAAAATGGATTTCGCAGTGGGTACAATGTTTTAAAGAGACCATACTGGTCTGAGAGAAAACCTTTAACCTGTCAATAATCATGTCTGGCATGGTGTTTTTCAGGAAGTTATTTACGATCTTGCAAATTCATTCTTTGGTGAATCTAATCAAGATACTTTACTTTCTCTTACTGTTGATCATCCCCTAGTAGCAGAGTACCCTTTAAAAGTTGAATATCAACAAAGCTTTATGCGGAAACTTGTAAAGGAGGTGAGTTATTGTTTTCAAAATGAATTTGTTTACGTTTATTAAAACTGCGTGAGCTTATTTTCCTTTTTCCATTCCAGCTTGAAGCGAGAGGAGCTGAAATTTCAGGCCATATTTATGAACGCCTTGTGCAGCTTATTCAAACTAGGAATGGAGAAAAAGTTTTTCGGCATTTCATGCTTGATAATGGATCAGTCATTTCAGTCAGAGAAAGTATAAGCATAGTATCAAACGGTACTACAGGCCTTTACATTTGGCAGGTGAGATATTGTCTAGTCAATTTTAGGTCATTCATAATTTCATGTCTCTGATTTAACTATCTTTGAACTTCTTTCAGGCTGCACACGTTTTGATAAACTGGTGCTTTAAAAATAATGATATGTTAAAAAACTCCACTGTTCTTGAACTTGGAAGTGGTGTTGGGCTGTGTGGTATTGCTGTAAGTCTTTTATGTAACCCTTTGCGGTACATATTTTCGGACTGTCATCCTGCTGTTATGAATGCCTTGGTGGAGAATATTAAAATTAATTCAGGAATAGAAGGTTCTAATGACGATGCAAGCCTTGACTTACCTCCACTAAATGATAGAATTATGTGGTCTGGCAAATTAAGTGACAGCAATATAGCCATAGCCCATCTTCCTTGGGAAGACATTGTTGAACAACAGCTTGCACCTGCACTTGCTCCAAACTATGTGATTGCTTCTGGTATGTATGGGGTTTCTTTAAAGGAAAAATAGTTTAGAACAAAATTTTCCTTTTTTTTCTGAAATCAGTAATATTTTTTTTTCAGATGTGGTGTATGATCCTGGTCTATTTGACCCATTAGCCAAAACTGTGAAAGAATTCACTACCATAGGGAGCCAAGTTATTCTAGCATGCACAGAAAGAAATTCTGGAACATTACAAGAGTTTCTCAAAAAATTGGGTAGGTCCACATATTTCAATCTTTCAAGAGGATAATTTTGCTTTGGCTTGGCTTCACTATCATATTTTTTTTTTTGATTCCAGATTCTCTGTCACTGAAAGTGCAGGAAGATGCCATGCCTGAGGCCAGTATTATTCCTGTCTGTAATGACTGGATTGTGAAAATCTATAGGATTACAAACAATTATTAATTTTAAAAATTTCATTCCAAAAATCTTTGGCGTTTTTAATTTTATTAATTCTATTTTAATAAGAAATTCTTATGTACCTGGTTCTTCTAATTCATGAAATTACACTAAGCTATTCTCTGAAGTCTATCTCTACTGTCCTCCCTGACCAATCTCACTCACATCAACCGTTGAAGACTGAGATGGTGAAAATAAGAAAGGAGGAAACCGTCGACAACTGCAGTGACAGTACGCCCTCGCGATGATCCGACGCCTCAATCTCTCGCTGCAAATTCAGAGGACTCCATGCCTGCGACTGTGACAAAATCTTATTATTTGCCCATCCCCTTTTTCGCGTTGTGGAAATACCGCACTGAGCCATCCCCACCCCTGCGGCATACGGTGATCCGGTTACCACTCTTCGAAGGGGTGAAAGAGAGAGAGAAGAAGAGGGTGGGGGTGTAATCTCGTTTGGCCGCGCAGCTCTGCGCACCACCGAGTCCCCCAAGGCCCCCGCGGCGGCCAGGCGGCAGTGCATTGACTCTGCTAGGGCGAGTCCGTTCGCGTGTCCTCAACTGCGACACTGTGACACTGCGACGCCACCACTGGACAGAGGGTGCCGTGGGCCGCCGTCCCCGCCATGCACCGGCTGCTGGCCGCGCTGCTGCTGAGCCCTCTGCTCGCTCAAGTGAGTAGCTGCTGCTGGCACCCGTTGGGTTGCCTACCCCGCCGGCGCTCGACGGCCAGTGGCCGCTGAGGTTTTGACGCATTGGCGCGCGAGTGTGCAGGCCGAGGCGGCGGAGGTGCGCGTGACGGACCAGGTGTACTTCGACATCAGCATCGGCGGCGAGGATGCCGGCCGCATCGTCTTCGGGCTGTTCGGCGAGGTGGCGCCGCGCACCGTGCGCAACTTCGTGTCGCTGGCCACGGAGGGCGTGGGCGGCAAGACGTACCGCGGCTCGCCCTTCCACCGCGTCATTCGGAAGTTCATGGTGCAAGGTGAGGTCCCCGTCGTGCTTGCGGTCACGCTTGAGGGCGGTCGGGCAACGCTTTCGGTGCCGGCCGGCTTGAGTGCGCCGCGCCACGACGGCCAAACGACTTTCAGGAGACTCATGCCGAGAGTCGTTTTCATCGCGCTGCCTCTTTCGCGCCTGAGCGGGCGCCCCATGAGAGGCAGCGACAGCCTGCCCATTGGTCGCATCTCCGGCTGCGTCCGAGGAGGCCGACGCCGCGTCCGGGACTGCAGTGCAGCGCAGTGTACCCCCCGCGGTGTTGCGTCACTAATCAGACCCCCGACCAGTTCACACTAGAAGTCGCTGGACGCGCCAGACAGCCGTCCCGTCGCGACGGCAGTCCTTCCGGCGTCGTCGACAACGTTTCCATTATCTTTCCTTTTTTTCTGGAAAGAATGGAGCGGAGAAAGGTGTGAGCAGCCTCGACACGTGCTGGCTGTTCACACGCCGAGCCATGGCCAGCACGCCAGGCTGCGGATGCAGTACCTGCACTGTGAGCACTGTGCACGGTCGCATTGTTCATTGAACCCGTTTCAAGAGCAGACTGCAAGCGCAATGCCGCCACGCCGCGCCACGCTCCGGGAATGCCCGATGAGCCTCTTTCGTCAATAAGAAAGTTTTGGGCCCGTTTTCTGGTTTGGCGGACGTCGCGGACGTGTTGTTGACACGTTGTTGCGTCACGCCGCTTCCCTTCCAGGCGGCGACGTGGTCCACGGCGACGGCAGCGGCTCCGTCAGCATCTACGGGGACCACTTCGAGGACGAGTCCTTCGACATCCCGCATAACGCGCCCGGCATACTCAGCATGGCCAACGCAGGTCGGTGCTGCCGCACTCCTTGGGGTTCGCGACGCACAGTGGGCCAGAAGGCCGGTGGAGGCGCGGTCAAAATCCCGGACGCGTTTTGAGCTCCAGAGTCGCTAAATGGGACTCGAATCGAACGTGTGACCCCACCAATGGATTGCTCTCCGAACGAGGAATCCATTGGTGGGGTCACTCGTTCCGTTCGAGTCCTGTTTAGCGACTCTGGAGCTCAAAACGCGTCTAGAGTTTTGTCCGCCTCCACGCCTTGCAGTGTGTGACGCCCTGCCGCCCGTTCCAGGCAGGGACTCCTGCGGCTGCCAGTTCTTCATCACGACGATCGCGACGCCCTGGCTGGACGGCAAGCACACGGCCTTCGGCAAGGTGATCGACGGCCAGGACGTGGTGCACAAGATCGAGCTGCAGAAGACGGACTCGGGGGACCGGCCGCTGCAGCCCGTCGTGGTCCGGGACTGCGGCGCCCTCCCCACGCCGGAGCCCTTCTACATCTCCCACAAGTTGTAAGTGGTTTTTTCGCATCGAAATCCCTTGTGTGGTTTTTTTTTACTGATTCGCGACCGTGTTTGCTGTCCTCGTCCAGCATGTGGATGTGGGTGCGGAGCTCGTTCGTGCCACTGAGCTTCTCCATCTCCATCCTGGCCTTCTTCCAGTACATGCTGCGCAAGCTGGACAACTAGGACCCGCCGGCCGGGCCCTGGAGCCTGGACCGATTCCAGCGGCGGCCGCGGGAGACGCGGTACTCGCACCGAAAAGTGACCAAGCCTCTTTTTGGCAGTGTGGTGGGGGGCGGGGGGCGTGGCCGAGTACCCACTTCCGTTTACAGTGTGGGTCAGGACGGTCGGGATGAGACGCCCGCGGAGATCTGCAAGTTTCGGCCTTTCGTTTTATGACTGTCATTAGTGGAGCTGGGGCCCCGGTGGGGCGGGGCGGGGCGGGGCGGGGCGGGCGGCGTGTCCACACTGGCGCCGTGGTCAGACCGGCTATGATGTGTCGGGGGTCGTTCGACGGGAAATATCACTCCAGTGAAACTCTCGCGCTGGGCAGTTTCCTGTTTTATTTCCTCTTTTTTTAAAAAAAATAATAAAAAAATAAAATACACAAAAAAGAAACATCTCATTTAAAAGCGATAATAAATATTTTGACACACATTTCACTTGGATTCTTAAGTACAAACTGAAATGTAATACCACCAACTAGCTTTGGTCTAGGTCTTATTACATCTTCCTACTTATCATAAAAACAACAACAACTTAAATCAAACTACCAACTAGTCAACAAGTGATTTAAATAAAAATTTACGTTAACTACAATGGGCAAACAACAAAAGTCATACAGGCTATGGCCGCTTGTTTCAAATTTCAGAAGTTACAGGCATATTGACGGTCCAGAGAGATTATGCCGATTTCAAAACTAGTTTGCCAGAGCCAACAACGCCTCAATATCATTTTTAAAACAGAAAATCCTGGCAGTAGTACCGGTTTTCTTTCATGGCGCGGGGTCCTAGAGCTGACTAGGTTTCAAAATAGGTACAAAGTGACAGTCTCTGGTCGCCAGAACAAGGAATCACAGGCTTGTGGGCGACGAACAACACGGTGTTTCGGGCTTTCAAAACGTTTTTCAGTGTGCCGGCGCGGGGTGGGCGGCGTGGCTGGTGTACGAGATCTGCGCGTGGTAGCCGCCCTGGTCGGCCCAGTACTTGACGCTCTGCAGCCGGCCGTCGGGCAGCGTCACGAAGTACTCGCCCTTGGTCATCTTGCCATCGCGCGTCTCGGCGTGCCCGAAGTCGTTGCCGGCGTGCTGGTCGCGGACCCGGTACCCGAAGCGGTACTGGGACGCGTACTCCTCGGGGTGCTCCTGCAGAACGCGGTCAAGTCAGTCAGAGAACAGTCGAGTCACCCAGCCATTAAAACCGATTGTTTTTACCTTCTGGTCGTGGTAGAGGCCGCCCTGGTGAACGGGCTCGTGGATGACCTGCTTGGCGGGCAGTTCGACGTGGACCTCCGCCTGGGGCGGGGGGATCTTGACTTCTTCCTGGCGGTACACGTACACGGGCTGGTGGACCTCCTCCACGGTCACTTGCGGGGCGGCGACGGTGGAGATTACATGCTCATGCTGAATAGGAGCCTGAAGAAAAACATTTTCGTGTTATTTTGCGTTTAAATTTAAAGAAACGAGGAAGGCTTTAAGAGCACGCACGCCGATGATGTGCTGCTCCGGCGCGGGGTAGCTGTGCATGGCTTCCAGCGAGACGGGGGTCTCCGAGTCCACGGTCTGTTCGATGGGCGTGGCCTGCAGGTACTGGCTGTGGTCCAGCGACTGCAGAGTCTGCAAATGAAACCCTCGGTGTAGCAAACTGCATAAATGCGATTAAAAGTTCGAAAGTTGTTGGTTCTAAAGCCCACCTGGTAGGCTTCCTCCGGCTTGTAGCTGGCCACGGGCAGGGAGATGGTCTGGTACGAGTGCTGCGCGCCGGAGAGGGGTCCGGAGAGCTGCACGGGGTTGAACTTCTGCGACGACTGCAGGAGGTGCTGGGGCTCGATCTGCTTGGGCACGGAGACGCGCAGCGGCCCGTTGGGGGTCACCAGGGCCTCGGTGTGCTGGCCGGGGATCGGGGCGGGCGACGGCGTCGCCTTGGCGCCGAGGATCTGGCGGTCGGACTCCACCACGATGGGCTTGTTGGGCGGGGGGATGTCGTTCTGCTGTTCCTGGAGGACAAGGTCAGGTTCAACGCCGTGCCAGTGGCGGTGCCAAACCGAAGCGACTCTCGGCACTCACCTTGATGGGCTTCATGCCCTTGAGCTGGTGCTTCTCGTAGGGCGCCTGGTTGAAGTTGATGAGGGCTCCGTAGGGCTTGAGCGGCGTGGCGTGGTACACGGGGCGGTAGGCCGGACCCTGGCGCTTGGCTGGAACACAGGCAAAAAAGTGTCGTCTGCTGGGTGGCAAGGCAGGAAGGCGCCTGGGAGGTAGGCCGTCCCGTCGAGCAGCCGTGCGTTTGGTTGCCTACCCTGGACTCGACAGGCGCTCCGAGACAAGGGGTAACCAACTCAAGATTTTCATGTACACTGATTATATTTAGAGTATGATTAGATGTGATTTCTTTTGATTATTTTATTATTTATCACTGATTGTAGGAGGTTATTATGTTGGTTATTGGGAAATATTGGGGATTATTTGAGCGCCGACCTCGGAAAGCTGTTAAAGTGACGGAAATTCAATATTGGTGACTTTGGGCAGCCACTGCGACCAATTTAGTTGCGGTCATAGGCCTCCCTCGACGCCTTACTATTCTGAAGACCCTACTCTTTCATGCCCCGCCTCGGGAAGGCTTTGACCGCTGATAGTTTGGGAGCAGTGGTCTCGCAAAAATAGTCCAAGTGAATGAATTTCTGAAAATTACCGTTTTTGCCGACTTTGAGCGGTCACTGCATCCAATTTAGTTGCGGTCAAAGGCCTCCCTCGACGCCTTACTATTCTGAAGACCCTACTCTTTCATGCCCCGCCTCGGGAAGGCTTTGACCGCTGATAGTTTGGGAGCAGTGGTCTCGCAAAAATGGTCAAAAAGTGAATGAATTTCTGAAAATTACCGTTTTTGCTGACTTTGAGCGGTCACTGCATCCAATTTAGTTGCGGTCAAAGGCCTCCCTCGACGCCTTACTAATCTGAAGACCCTACTCTTATATGCCCCGCCTCGGGAAGGCTTTGACCGCTGATAGTTTGGGAGCAGTGGTCTCGCAAAAATGGTCAAAAGTGATTGAATCCCCGAAAGTATGATTGTCATTTCATTGGATGATGTTGATTATTTCACTGATTACCAACCAGACGTGCAATGATTATCCTGAGTCGTGTAACCCTTGCTCCTAGAGCTGTCACCGCCAGCGACTTTTGCGCCTCTTTCTTTCCTCGTCTTTGCTGCTTACCCTTGGCCAGCTCCTTGTCGAGCAGCTTGAGGGCCTGCTCGTCGGGGACGCCCAGCTTGCGCGTCTGCTCCAGGAAGGACTTGAGCGCTCTGACGTGCTCCTCGCGGCCGAGCGGCGCCTCCCTGGAGCCGGGCACGGGCTTGCCGGACTTGTGCAGCGCGGGGGCCTTCTTCTGGCGGGTCTGCGCCGTCACCGAGTCGGCGTAGGAGTAGGAGCCGCGGGTGGGGTAGGCGGACGACGCGGACGCCGCCATGGACGACGTCTTCCTCTCGGCCTGGGACGGCGTCGACGGCGTGGGCTGCCGCTCGGACCGCGCCTCCTGAGAGGGATTCCATGTACTGTCACCGCACCGCAAAAAAAAAGAGCAGCGGGGGATTCGAACCCGGGTCGGTTACGTGGCTTACCTGCGGCTGCGCTGGGGTCGCCTGCTGCGCGGGCTGGCCGTTCTTGGAGAAGCCCATGGGCGTGGCGGGGATGATGAAGCCGGGGTCGGGCAGGCGCCGCTTGTCGCGGACGTGGTCGGCGTCTTCCTCGGCGGCGGCCACGGCGTCTGCCTTGGCGGCCGCTTCCCCGGTCGCGGCGGGGACTCCGTCTCCGCTCGGCGAGATCGTCTTGGCGGCGTCGGCCGCGTCGGCCCCCCGCGGCGCGCCGCTCGAGTCGATCGATGCGGTCAGCACGTCGACCGCGCACAGCGCGCTCAGCGCCGCCACCAGCACGGCGAGCTGCAGGAAGGGAGACACGTGAAATGAGCGACGGTCTCGCGACGGTGTCGCGACATGCCCGTATCGGGGCACATCCGGGAACGGCGTTGTTTTCGGACTGCTCGTTGTCGGCCGCGCCTCGCCGCCTCGACGGGAAGCAGCCCTTCATGCCGTTGCCCCGGCGCGCCGAACCCGGGCCGAACCTGCCCGCCGACCCAGCCGGCCCTGCCCCGCCCCGCCTCGCCCGCGGCCAGGAAGTAGCGGACAGGGCGCGCAGGGATGCAACGTAACCTGTTTGGGGCAAGTGTGTACCCGCTTTTGCATCATCGGTGACATGTAAACCTCTCTGTCACACGCACACACACGCACGCGCGCATTTAAGGCATGCAGCAGTAATTGGCCCTTGGACATGACGGGTCGCGGAGTGGACGGTGCGGACGGTGCGGACACTCGGCCGGCCTAGTGAAAGTCGGCCCGAGACGTGTCACCGCTGCAGTGCTGCAGCCTCGCTAGGGCTTTTCATTTTTTAATACTTCGCAAGGGAAACGCAAGGCGCGGCCCTATGACGAGTGACAAGCAATCTCTCTCGCGCGCTGCGGAATCTATCTGCTTGCTTTTCCCCCGCCCCGGCGGCAGAGGCAAGCCTGCCCGGGCGGAAGCGTGTGGCGGCGACCTCTTCCACGAACACCTCGCCGACGCGCTGGCCACGGCGCCATCCTCGTCTCGTCCGTCCTCGTCGCACTCGTTGCCGCTGCATGTAATCACCGCCAGCTCGTTTTTGCAAAGGGCGGTCTTCGCCTGCGCCGAGCCAGCGCTGACTGCCTCCGAAGAGTCCTGTCTCTGTCGCGCGCATGGGGCGTCCCGTAAGGGTGCGAGAGAGACAGAGGGAGGCCAGGGGGAGGCTCCACACGGCGGCGAGGGTAGCGCGTCGTTGCGCAAGCGAGTGGATTATGGGTAGCATCGCAGGTGTGGTGTGGCGGTCTTTGCCTGCCGACTTTACGAGTTTTACGAGGGCGCGTTGCCTGGCGTGGCCATGCTTACCGGACTCGCCACACGTAACCCGCGCGGCCGGAACAACGCTTTACGATAGTGTGGGTTTCGAGTTTCGATATCTCGATCTGGGCGGCGTGGGCCAGCGCGAGGTGAGGGGCGCGGCCCACGAGGAGATGAGGTCGGCTGGACTGATACAGGAAGCCTGCAAATTTCAAGAAAAGCGAGAAAAAAGGCTTTTGTAACTGCGCACGTCGTAACGGACTGAGGGTGGCCGCGGTCCGGAACTTTGTTTATGCGTGTTACGTCATTCATGCACGGGGCCTTAATGACCGCCATTACACTGTTTCGGCGGCGCGAATCGAAGCAGCGCCGCGCTTCGGATGACAGCTTGGCAGCTGCGGCGGCCAGCTGTTGTCGAGGAACCCCCTGGCGCGAGGAGCCTGGCCTGGTTTACGGGCAGCCCCGTGGAGCAACAGCGTCAAACCAACCATTATGAATTTTTAAATATATTGTTTTCGCGTCTAGTTGGCTGTTTGCGTTTAAACGAGGACGATTCGCCCATTGACAGCAACGAGTCGCGAGAACGTCGCGTTTCCCGAGCCGCGCCGCCGCCAGCAGACTGATTTTCCGAGAGCCAGTCTCGTCGCTCTATCCCTCTCGCACTCATGGGGCGTCCCGTACAGGTGCGAGAGAGACAGAGCGACGAAACAGTCTGCCGCAGCGCGGCGCGTGGCGACCGCAACCGCGACATTCCCAGACCATTATCACGCCGCGCCGTCCGTCTCCCTCGCTCCGCCACGGGGCGGCCCGCGAGTGCGAGGGAGACAGAGCCCTGCCTCTTTCCGGGCGACTTCCCCTCCTTCCGGTGTCCCGAGCGCATCCTGACCGCCGGGCTGGCGAACCGGAAGTCGGCCGGATTATATTGCATCTTAATCGGGATGAGGATGTGCCGTGCGGGTCCCGGCCGGGCAGGCGGGCAGGCAGGCCAGGGGTCACGTGCTAGGCGCGCCTCTCCGCCGCGGCAGCGTCCGGCCGGCCGAACGGGCCTTCCCCGCCGGAGGAGCAGGAGGAAGATGAGGAGGAGGAGGCCCCTTCATAACAGTGCCGTGGCGTTCCCGCGCGCAGCGCCGCGGAGAGTTGCTCTCTTTTCTCATGCAAGCATCATTGCGCGCAGCATCACATACGCTACACGCCCGAAAACCGCCAGTGGAGGCACAAAGTTTGGTTCTGGATTCAAGTGAAGCCGAATTTTTCGCAGTTTGTTTGTTGTCCTGCATGTAATAGTTCGTTCCTTTTACTTTTTGGGTGGATTGCCTGTTAGACCCTGGACCACCCAAACTGTCGTCCCGTTCCAAAACCGACACCGCCGGCGCTCCTGCTCGACACTCCGGTCCACGCTCCCTTGTCCCGCCTCGGTTTTCTCTGCTAACAGCCCCGAGCTAACTATGCTGCCTGCCGGCCTGCCCGACTAGAATGCTTCTCTCCGCGCATGCCCGCCACGGCACGCCACGCCGGGCCGCTCCGCGCACCGAGCGGATGTCGCGACGGTGATCCCGGCTGACCGGACTGGTCGACATTTTCACTTTCCTGTCTGGCGGAGGATAACACGGACCGCCAATAACCTCAATCAAGCAAACCGACTGCGCGTAATAAGCTGCTGCCAATAACGTCGGTAATAAAGTTGCAGATGCGGGGGGTGCCTCATAGCCCCATACTCGTAAAAATGAATGTTAAAGTAACTAATCGAATGGACTTCAACTTATGGCCTTGTACGTTATCAGTCATTTTAACACGAAGAAGGAAACCAAATTAAGTTTAGTGTAGAAGGATGTCAGTGTATCTGTACAGAGGTCTCAATAATGGTCCAGCTGGTTTTGAGGGGTGTCGCTTGAGCAGTGGCACTCAGTGCTGTCACTGTCATGGTTATTGTCACTCTGCCTTTAACACATTTTTGAAAAAAGTTCTTTATACTCATTTTAAATTAAAATTAACTTAGTAAATGAAAATGTTGAATTTTTTTAAAATAAAAATTTAACTGTCTGTTTCCGCGCCTCCCATGGCCTTGTTTGAGATGAACCCAAGTGGTTGTTCTTACCTGCATGTATCTCGCCATCTCTGAGCCCAGTCGGCACAATGCACTGACACCGATGCACACACACGCACGCACACACTCACTGTCACGCACACTGGACCGGGTCGGGCGGCCGATCGCACTGTCCTCTCCGCGCGCTCAACGGTCACTGCAGGCCGGCGTCACGGGCAAACAATTTAAGACATCGCCAGAGCGGATCCAGTTCTGCAGTCCTCCGGCCGGCCGGCCGGCCTGCCCGCGGAGGAGCTGGCCAAGCGAGGGGGGAGGTTTCCCACCCCGCCCCCACCCCTGGCGCCGCCCCCACCCCAGCCCATCTCAACACGCCGTGTAGCAGTTTCTCTTTCTAGCCGCGGTTCGACTCCCGGTTCCGCGGGCCGCTGGACCATCGGCCTGCAGACTGATGCCGTTGTCTGTCTCTCTCGCACCCACACGGGACGCCCCATGAGAGCGAGAGAGACAGAGCGACGAAAGCGTCTCTCGGAATCAGTCTGCTGGCAGGGCCAGTGAGCAGGCGGGGCGGGTTCCCCGAACGACGAAGACGACCCACGTGCCCGAGGACGACGCGACACGCGTTGTTTTTTATCCCGCGCTGTAAGGCGCTGATTTTTTTCGCGACAAAATTTCTCCGCCGTCTCGTCTTTAAAAGCGGGTCGTAAGTCAGGATTCCTAGCACGTGTCCAAAGGCCAATCAGGAAGTGGACTAAGACCGTGGCGGTTTTAAGGGTCCAGGGTGACAGGGGGCATGGTGGCGGCCACACTGCTACAGCAGGAGCACGACGTCCAGTCCCTACACGCTAAAACTGCTACGTATTTTCGATGGCAACCGGGCGTGCCCTGTTTCTTGCCCCCTTTCGCAAGGCTCGGCGACATCGAACGGCGACGGCGCCCGCTCCCGTTTGCAGCCTGTCCCGATGGTGTCGTAGGGCGGCATACTGATTCCGAGAGTCGTTTTCGTCGCTCTGTCCCTCTCGCACTCACAGGGCGTCCCTGACAGGTGCGAGAGAGACAGAGCGACTCTCGGAATCAGTCTGCAGGGCGACTCAGGGAAACGCCATTAGAGCCGAACTGACGAGGCGGTCCCGTGCCACGGATCAGTGATGGGCGGGGCCCGAGGCGAGCTACCATGCTACACCGCAGCGCGGCCCGGACGGCCCGGACCCAGATCACCCTCGTTACGTCACGCTGGTATTTCGCCGCCCAAAACGTGCGAGTGTGTGCACTGCACGCGGTGGCCGGCAGAACCATGCCACGGCAGGCCACGGCACGGCAGGCCACGGCAGAGCGCGGCCAGACGCACGCATCCCCTTCTCCAGGTTGCGTCACCGCGCCGCGCCGCGCCGCGCCACGCCCTGCCGGTGCGACCGGTAGCGGACGGCGGACGGACGCTGCGCGCTGGCTGCGGGATGACTCCGAGAGTCCGTCTCCCTCGCACTCGTGGGGCGCCCTGTACGGGTGCGAGAGAGACAGAGCGACGAAGACGACTCTCGGAATGAGTCTGCCGCTCCGCCGCTCCGCCACAACGGACGAGACGGGAGCGTGCCGAGCCGCAGCCTGCGCAGCCACCGCTGGAGATGAACCGCATTTTTTCGAGAAAGGCGATTCATTTCCCTCGACCGCCAGTCGATAAAGCACACAGACAGACGCCACGCACACAGACGGACACAGACGGTCGCAGGCACTCACACACAGACGAAACACACACTGACTCTCACAGTTCACACACACATTCGCACACACAAACACACACGCAGGCAGGCACGCATTCGGCGAGGATTTGGAGAAAGAGAAGGGGATTAGCGCACTGGACGGTCAGCGGGAAGTGAGAGGGCGAACGGGTGCAGGGCGGCGCAGGATCCCCGACGACGACGGTCCCCGAGGCCGTCGATGTGAAGGACGTTCCCCTACACTATAGCAGGCGCCGGCGGGGAGGTGCCCCGTGCATATGCATGGCGTCGTTTCCTTATGCGTTATCACCTACCTCGCGGACTCCATTGTCTCGGTCAACACCATCGCGCCGCGTCCCGCCCCGCCCCGCCACGCCCCGCCCCGCCCCGCCGCGGTGGGCGGGCGAAAGGTGAAAGCAGTAAAACATCCGAGACAAACACACTCGGCTTTTGTTCCCTCATCACCGCCTCTTCTTCCCTTCCTCCCTGCTTCCCGTATCACGGCGCCGTCCCGCCGTCCTCCTCGAGGTATCTCGAGCGGAACTTCGATACTATCGACGGCGTCCATTTGTTTGCGAATCGTCTGTCGTCGTCTGTCAAGCACGGTGTGGGAGAAGCGATATGGAAGAAAAGTGTCGATGCACGATGCCCGGCCGAAGAAGCGAATCAAGAAGCACGGAAAAAATAAACAAACTAACACGCAAACTAATCGAAACAAAAAACTGGAACAGATAAATCGAGCGGATAACCTCGATTCCCCGGTAGTCAATTGAGCCGTTTGACCGTTGGCAGCCCGTTCGAAGCACCCGAGTTTATCTGATGGCTCGCAGTTGGCACTCCCGGCGCCGGCCCTCTCCGATCGGTTGGGCGGCCGCCAGGCGCCCGATGACAGCGCACCGCCAGCACGGCCGCCAGTTGGGCTGCCTACCCGCACGGCGCTACTCGAACCGGGCGTCGCGTCGCGTCGCTCGGAGCGCCGTGCCGGCAGGCAGCCCAACCGGCGCGCCTGGGACTTCCCTCTCTCTTCCTGGCGCTCTCGTCCTGCCGCGCGCTCAAGTCTCCACGCGCGCCGCCGGCCCGTGAAATGGGATGGTGCGTTTTGAATTTGGCGGTCGAAATCCCGGGCGCGTTGCGAGCCCCAGGTTCGCTAAACAGGACTCGAACGGAACGAGTGACCCCACCATTGGATTGCGCTCCGAACGAGGAAGCCATTGGTGGGGTCACACGTTCGGTTTAAGTCCTGATTGGCGACTCTGGTGCTCAAAACGCGTCGAGGGTTTCGGCCGCCGGCGCTGGTCTTCTGGCCCACTGTGCAGTGGTACCAACTGTCCGTGGGAGGACGTGCGGGGCGGTGCAGTGGTGCCAACATGCCATCAGGCGAGTCGTCACTGACGAGGCCACTAGGCTGCGGCTCCATGCAAAGCAGACATGTCGTTCTACCGACTGTCCGTCTCTCCGGCGGGCCGTGGGCGGCTGCCTGCCTGCCTGCCTGCCTGCCTGCCTGCCCGCCTGGGGCTGGCGCCGCCGCGTCGCAGGCCAGGCCGGGGCCAGGCCATGCATGGCGCGGACGTCCCCGTTCTTTTTAACAGGCGTGAAATGGAAGAATGGCGACCAGCTGTCACAAGGAAAGGGCGTCAAAGCTAACCCAGCCCCCTTCCCCCTCCCCTCTCCCCTTTGCCCCTCGCCGGCGGTCCACCCCGACGCGGCACGGACCGTGTGTCAGCGTGAAAGTGGAGTCAGCCGCGAGCAAAAATATTTTTTAAAGTGGCTGCAGGGACCAACTTACCAATTTCTAGATTTAACGACGAAGTCACTCAAGAAAACCGCAGTATTTTTTTAAGACACGGCAAAAATCAATGTCTCATTTTTTTGAAGCAACTTTTAATCTTTCCATTTAGCTTCCTAGACCCATCAAAGCATCAGATTGCTTTAAAAAATGTAAACATTGAGTTGTGTTATTTCAACCAATCCACTGACGTCAAATCGGTTGGCTCGACTAAGTCTTTCTCTCTCTTTCTCCCTGTCGCTCCCTTTCGATTTGCGTGCAGGCGGCTTGGCCGTTCCAGGCGTGGCGGGGCGTGGCGTGGCGGGGCGGGGCGGGGCGTGATGCGACATGGGGGACCTTTTGCCGTGCCCCCGGCGGATGGCGGATGAGACCCGACGGGCGAGTTTTCAAGTGAAAAGTGTGCAGATGAGCGCACGTACGCCCTGCGCGTGCGCGCACGTCCACACGCACACGCTCACACACACACGCACTCACACACGCACGCACGCACACACAAGGCCCGAACTCGTGCTCGGCGGGTCTGCCCTGCCGGTCTCTTCCCGAAAATCATTTCGCCCCATCCCCTGCGCCAATTGGTCCGACTGATCGCATTCCGCCGGACGCGCGCGCGTTTTGCGCGGGAAAAATTTGAAATTCAAATGCGCGCCGCCGCTGCATTCTGGTTGGCGCGCTTTCCTCGACCTCGGCTTGATGCACGGCGTCCGTCGGCCGCATGCGCCTCGCCGAAAACGCCGCGCCGTAAACACGACAAAGTAAGGCCGGGCGCGTTACATTTTACGCGGGTACACTGCCAAATACAAAGTATCAACTCCGTGGTCTTAGGTCTCACCGTGCGGCTGGGTTCCTCAGGGAAATGAGAGACTTTTTTTTTGCCCGAGGTTGGCAAACTGCGGTTCCACAATCACGAAAGGAAAGGCGGTCCGTTCAACGCGGCGTTTGGTTGCTTCGGACGAGGCAAACCCAGGTGATTTTATTTTTTATTAAATTTTATAAAGGCTCTTATAAAAATTTATAGATATTTATAAACTTTTAATTGAAATGTACAAACTTGTATTAAAATTTATAAGTGACACTGTATAAACGTGTATAAGACCCTGTATAAACTTTTATAAAACCCTTTATAAAACTTTATACACACCTGTATAAAACTTTATACATGACCAATCGCTTCGTTCAACCATATACAGATTGCATACCGCTGTATATAATTTAATACAGTTATGTATAAGATTTAATAAAGGTGTTTATAAAATTTTATAAAGGTCTTTATAAAATGTTATGAAATTTTATACGAATGCCTTTATAAAAGCTTACATTATCATATAAAACTCCAATAAATTTTTATAAGAGCCTTTATAAAATTTAATAAAAAATAAAATCACCTGGGAAGGGCGAGAGTTCAAATTATCCGACTTGATTTTTTGTCCCTCTTCGTTGCTCTGCTGTTCCGTTTCACCGACGTGAGCTAACAAACTCCGAGACAATTCCTGCGGCCAGTCCCGGTAGAGGACTATACTGAGTGGAACAGGAATGCCGGCTGACTAGCCACTGACAGACAGTTCCACATGGGG